GAGGGGTACCTTTGTTTATATCTTGGTATATCAAGTTTATAAAAATCCTTCCAAAGTCAGTACCTGGTGGGCAAAGTTCTTGGAGATAATAAAGTGCTTATAGTAACAGAGGCTAGTCTTTCAAAAGAACAAGTTATCTCACACTGTTACAGATTGCTTCTAATATTACCAAAGCCATACTGCAGCAGCAAATATAGCCTAAGACAGAATATCCAACCTAATGCTTGACTTATCAATCTAATAATAATACAGAGCTCTGCCATGTTAAGACTAATAGCAAAAATACAAGAATAAAGATAATGACCATCTACAGCTTGAGGCAGCTAATAACACAACCAAGCAGATACATTCTGAAACAAAATAGTGGAGACATATTGACATTTCTCCAACAGACCCTCTCTGGCAAGCACCTTACAAGTACACTACTATAAACAACTATCCTACCAAATCTACTGAGGAGTAAAGGCTGGGCCTGGAATTGAAGACAATGTCAACATCTAATCTTTAGAGACTTTCTTAACTCACAGATGTGAGAAAGTTAAGCAAGTATGAATATAAAATGTACTTAATAATCTGAAGAAATTAATACATTTTTAATTTAAAACAGTTGACTGACTATTTGCCATATCAAAATTAATTTCTCTGGAACTTCAACAGAAATCCCAAGAACATAAAATGTGAAAAAAAAAAAAAAATTAATAATATATAATCTCCCCCACTCCACCCTTCTTTAAATAAAATATATCCTGTATAGTACTGGATTTGCAATTATGTAACACATTTGTTCTGTTCATGAGAAACACAGTAGCTTAAACCATTGTAATTTTTTGTCCCTAATTTAGCACAGATTACCACTGATAATCGGCACCTTCTCAATTTGCTATACAGGGTATCAGGGTATTTACATCATGTGCACCCTTTCCCACAGTCACAACTGGGTGCACTATCTTTATTTTCACAATTATCTTTAATATTGTACAAAGCTTATAAAAATAAATGTTATGAAAATTTTTTACACCTTCTATAACAAGGATCCTAATGCAAGTATATGGCAGATTAAGGGGTCATTAGGGGTTCAAAGTTGGTATGATAATGGATTTGGAACCTGTGTGTTTGTGTATACACTGTACAAGGTATATATGAGAGAGAGAGAGAGAGAGAGAGAGAGAGAGAGAGAGAGAGAGAGAGAGAGAGAGAGAGAGAGAGAGAGAGAGAGAGAGAGAGAGAGAGAGAGAGAGAGAGAGAGAGAGAGAGAGAGAGAGAGAGAGAGAGAGAGAGAGAGAGAGAGAGAGAGAGAGAGAGAGAGAGAGAGAGAGAGAGAGAGAGAGAGAGAGAGAGAGAGAGAGAGAGAGAGAGAGAGAGAGAGAGAGAGAGAGAGAGAGAGAGAGAGAGAGAGAGAGAGAGAGAGAGAGAGAGAGAGAGAGAGAGAGAGAGAGAGAGAGAGAGAGAGAGAGAGAGAGAGAGAGAGAGAGAGAGAGAGAGAGAGAGAGAGAGAGAGAGAGAGAGAGAGAGAGAGAGAGAGAGAGAGAGAGGAGAGAGAGAGAGAGAGAGAGAGAGAGAGAGAGAGAGAGAGAGAGAGAGAGAGAGAGAGAGAGAGAGAGAGAGAGAGAGAGAGAGAGAGAGAGAGAGAGAGAGAGAGAGAGAGAGAGAGAGATTTGTATACTCGACCTCATGCTAACTTTGAACCTCAGAACTTAAACATGTACAAAATCCCTGACACACCTGATTTTTTTTAACATGTTTAAGTCGGTATGACACTGAATTTCAATCCCACAGACGTACATGTCTACCTTACACACACACACACACACACACACAGACCACCCTCGTCATCGCCACCTCCTGCCCCCCACCCAACTCGCACAGTCTGCCACTACAACAAAATTCAGCCCAAAAGAGCCCGCACCGATAGATATAAGAACAGCACCATCCCATCTAATGTTAAAATAATAAACAACTCCTGATTTATGTACTGTACAGCCCTGTAAATGTATTCAATGCATATTATATCATTATGTCTAAATCAAATGTAAGTCTGTATATTTTCAGCCACCAGCTGCAACTCTATTAATAAACCGTTTATTATTATTATTATTATTATTATTATTATTATTATTATTATTATTAGACACAGGTCCCAAAACCAGCATCATATCAATTTTGGATCTGATTTGATCCTTTAATTTGCGAGATAAAAACTGAATTGTCGTGCATATTTACTGAACTTAAGAGCGACGAAGTCCAAAGGAACTAGAACAAAATGAGGGACGGACTTCTTCTATTTATCAAAACATCTTCCTCACGTCCGTCACAACTTGAAAGAGACTCCAAAACTTCAGTAATTATTTGTTTCTTTGGCATAACAATTATTTAGCTGAAAACTTTACACACTTAAAAATATCTTACTCAAAATACATACAAAAGAAACAATCATTCCTCTGCAGAAGAGAAAATTTTTCTTTAAAGTAACCTTTAAATTTAATATTACAAATTACTATATGCAAAGGGAAAGAGAAACAAAAATTGATTAAATAACAGCAAGGTTATAGACCCAACTAATGGTGAGAGGGAACAAGCATGTGTCATGATGCTCAAAGAAGTGTGACAGAGTGCAAGAAGAAAGACACTTACAAAATCAAACTGAAAATGCATAAAAATGGTTAATATCAACAATGGACAGCTATCAAAGGAAATAAATCAAAACCACATATATGAGATAGTATAGTAACAGGAAACATATCACTTAGGTCATTTCCAATTATTTTGTCTGTTAAAGCATCAGACCAAAAGAGATTAGGATACTATCACTTTTTAAAATAACATGACTAATAAATTTAAGATATCAACAATCTTTTTGAAATTCTATGTCTAATCAATTTAAGATGATACTCTAGAACTGTCAAAAGATATCTACCAACATCAGTTGTGTGTCAAAGAGACCTAAAATCATCCTTCGTAATGTGTCAGAGATGTCTAACAATGCTGCCAGTGTGTCAAGAGATCTGACATCAATGGTGTTATCATCATCATCAGTGGTGTGTCAAGAGATGTAACAAAAACATCAATGGTGTGTCAAGTGATCTAAAATCATCATTCAAAACAAAACAGAATCCATGAAGATAATGTCTCTCTTAATGGATAGTATTGTATATGGAGTGGCCCAAGTCAACACCAGAAGCACCAATATGGAAAAAGTACTAAGGCAGCTCTTTTCTCATTAACAGCCCTATTCTTTGACCAAATTCACAGAAACAATTACTTGTGGCCTAAACCAGTCTCATTCTCTGCATTACTCTCACTGACTATATTTTTGCATTCTCATTCTTTGTTTCACTTCCTCATACATATCCTCAATTTGTTTTCTTCCTATATCTTCCCTACTTGTGTATGCTTACTGAGATACCTTACCCCTTTCACAATTCTTGTTTCTTTTGCAAACAAGAGGCAACTGCTTCCTTTGTTTGACAGCCACACTAGAATGCAGAGATCTTCTTCAAATGTTTCAATGTTCCTACACGTCTTGAATAATTGAAGGTCACTGAAATGTTTGAGGAAGGGGGAGTCACCAAGGAAACAAGGCTTCCAAGCCATGTGATGTGATGTACTGTACCATTTTCAATTTACACTACAGGGAATGAATGAGAAAAAAAAACATGACCCATTCCTTCAAATAATTTAACTAAATACCGTACAATGTTCTATTGGAAAAATGTATTGATCCAAGATTCATTGTGCCATGCATGACTGAGAAAAAGACTGAAAAAAAGTTAAGATTCCTTAGTATTCCCAGCTAACTCAATCATAATCTATTCCAAATACGATGGTCAAGACACAACTTGTATTAATCCCTGCTTTCTCCCATCACTTATGTGTTCCCTCAGCTAGTCTTTCAACTTCAGTGGAGGTTATGTACCAGTATAATGTGTACTATTATAAAGCAGTCATTCATCACAACTGGGTTGGACTTAATACACTCACATCAAATGTTTGTTTGTACCTCATTACAGATAAAAGCAAGCAAATATTTTCAAAGCAAGCCGTATTAAACATATGAGTGATTGACAAGACCTAACTATGGTAAATGCAGAAGTGTTCAGGGATACAAGGTAACTGTTATTACCTGCCTACAGTGACAACATTCCCTTTAATGTAAGTGTTCATTTGTCTTAAAATCATGACTTAAATATGTGGTAAATTGGATTAGGAATGAAAAGAACGATTGGACCTGGGTACAAAGTAGTTTAACATAAGATAAATAAAGAAATCAACAAAACTTCACTGGTTAGACATGCAGAAAAAACTAATTTCAAGATTATATTCATTGAAAGATGAGCCAAGGTAGTAAACTGTTGCCAACTGAACTACTACTGTATAAGTAATATGAGATCAAGAGGATGACCTTTCCTTTCATGACACACCACTGAAGTTTCTCAAGTGACAATACACACACAGCAGCCAAACTAATACTAAGTTCTGTACCAGCCTGTACTAGTGGACTGTTGTTTCCTATTTCCATGTCTTGCTCCCCTGATGCTCCTCCCCTTATAGAATTTTAAACTTCTCTGCACTGCCATTCATGAGCATTTTCATATACCCTGTACTGTACAATATTAACATTTTATTGTTTCAATAAAACTAGTGTTTTGTTATGTTTCACTCTTTGGTAAGTATTTTTATGACAAATGAACCAAACTGTTAAATTTCTGAAGCTGGATTTTAAAAGAACTCAAGGTGGGGTGGTGACCAAAATGAAAGGAAAAAAAATTGATTTTTTTTAAATGCTAACAAATGGCGTACAACCATTTTTACACACTCAGGAATTGACATTAATGTTTTAAATTCTTGTAAAAATATATTGCATTTGGATTTATCATTAAATAAATTTAGAAGTTGCAACACGTTTGCATAATTAAATTAATAAAAGGAAGGTTGCCTCATCAGGTACAAATGTGGGGAGCAAGTAGTAAAAAGGAAACACAAAAAATACAGAAAAAAATATGGAAACTTTCAAATTTATCAAAATCCCTAGTGGACTGTTATATTATGGGTACAGTGGGTGGATGGCTATCATACTGGGATAGCAGTTAACTGTTTCTGCAATAATATCATCATTAAGGCAGTAATAAGTGATTGATTTTCAGTACAAGCCAGTACAGTACCACCATAAATTTCTAGGCCAGAGGATGATATACAACCATCACATATCAACCTGACTGTGACATGTGACCCAGGTCCATGCAACAGACACCCTGGGTTGCCTTTCAAATTTCATGATAAACTAGCCAAGCCTATCTTGAGTTTAGGTCACACTGTCAGTGCACATCCCCAGGTGAATCTCACCAAGTCCATAAAAATAGAGGAAGATAAAACAGAGAGCACACTGTGATTAGGGCGTTTTCATGGAACAAACATGCCGATTCATTACTCATCCACATAGGATGCAGCTTTCTGTATAAGTAAAGACCATGATTACATGGCAAGATGAAGCAAGTTATTACTGAGAGAACCAGAACCCAATAGGTCAATGTGTTCTGACTAATATTTTGAGATCTTTGTTTTCTGAGGAAATTTCTCAGAAATGTCAATTCAGTACAGTACTAAAGCCCAGACATATAGAACATCTTTGTCTGTTTGTTTTCCATTCTGATCTCTTTTTCAGGTCCATCGGTGGTACAGTATCACCAATAAATTTATGAGAAACATCACAACAGTCACTGGCCCTCAGGAATGCAAATGAAAGAAACTATATTTGAGATTGATATTACCAGTGATTAAAAATATATACAGTATACTGTACGGTATTTGTGAAATATCAAGAAGACTTTTAAAGCCAGAATTCTCTCCTCCATTGAACTTGTGCAATAGGAATCTGGTTTATTCCCATGCAGTGGGTAAATATGACAGAGTGGTTGATCAGATCAGTATGGTATATTCAGAACTGATCCTTGTTCTCAAACAGGAAACCCAGATTGGTGCCCCCATGGCTTATGAAGTTATGACATGGCTGGGGGAAGGAGCATCTTCTGATGGCAGCCTGCACCACATAGTGACAAATTTCATACACACTTAAGTATCAAGATGAATAACTCAGTAGTGAAAGAGGATCATCACCATATCTGATATACCCCACCCCTTAACACACAAATGTGTCTTGTAACAGTAACTATTATTTTTTTTATATTAAACATTTGAGAAAAAACTCAAGATATTAAATGCTCTAGTTTTCAGTCCATTTGCTATAATTTTGGTTTAACTGGTTTAGGAAAGAGTGGCAAGAGAAAGAAGGTAGGATAAAACACCATAAATATGCTTGGAAGACTAAACTATGCTCCTCCCTTTCTCCTGTCTATGTCCCTTTCTTATACCTTCTGTCTCCCTCCCCCCACACAAATATTTCATGTCTAAATCTGTATCTCTCCCCCTCTCTGCCCATACTCTCTAATGACATTTAACTGTCATAATTTCAAGTTTTGCCACTGACCTTGGTTCACCACTGTGTTTCTGGCTCACCCACGACACAAGCCTAGAGTGACCATCATGATGAACAATGAGGCTACTAAATGTCCTAATAAATGTAGTGGGCAAAATATACAAAATAACTGTAGGTTCATCACATTGCATAAGTTATAAATATTAACATAGGTATACATATTAACAAGTGCAGGACCATCACAAATGAATCGTGATACATCAACAACTAGTGGTGACTGAATGACTAATGACTACGTGACAACTGGCACTCTCTGTTAGGTAAAGACAGGCAGACAGACTGGTTTTAACTTAAAAAATAAGAACGACAGTCAATAGTGGCATCTCAGTTCTAAGTTCAGTTCCTCCCCCAAGTAACTAAATACACTAGTGACAAACCATCAGCATGGATATTGCAGATAACTAATTTATATTTCCACTTTGCATACCAATCCTCACATCACATTTTTACATAGTTAAAAAGTTTACAGCTGTTTATATTATTTGGATATTTATTTATAAATTATTCCATATTAATTCAAACTGTAAAATATATTCAAAGGATAAAGCTAACCTGAAATAACCTTAAAGCATCTTTTTACTTGTCACTAACTACTTCAGTTAAGAAAATGGTTGAATGGTTTCCAATGGTCAAAAATTGAACATTAGACAGACACTATTATTCATTATGTACATTACCTACATCTTTCTTTCACTGGTGCAGAGAAGTACATTGAATATGAGTAAATTTTTTTTGAGCTGGGACATTTTCTCCACAAAAATGTAAACAATAATAAAAAACCCAAATATATGGAATGATGGGTAAAACAAAGGTTTTACACACATACAGCTCACATTCTAGTATGGTATCTGTCAATGGCATATGGTTCGTGACTATAGGTAACCATTTAGACATGATTATAAAAATTATGTCTATGTATTCATTACCCCAACAACATATTAAATATATAGGTACTCTTCATTAGCTGCTAGGTCATTATACACACACACACACACACAGAAAGAAAGCTTCAATGCATTTTGATTTCTTAGTTCTTTTCCACAAGCTCACTACTGTATGTGCTTCTTATATATTTGTAGGATGTTTGATGCTGTGTGCACAAGTCTAGTGGTGTTTCTTCTCTCTTGTCACTGGCTGTACTTGGCCTGCCTGACTTGTGTGGCACACCTATCTTTTATAGTTCAGTGACCGGCAGTTGCAAAATTCATACCCTGCTGGAATACTGTGAGCATGAACTACAATATTAATCCTAAACACGCAACAAAAATAATTATCAAAAAGAATAAAAAAAGTAATATCAATATACGGTAATATTGCTCGAAATAATGATTGATGCAATAAAATGCTGAACATGAAATCAAGAGTTGGAGTGCCAGTTGGCATCCTCAGAGAATCTAGGAACCCTTCCACTTATGTGAAAAAAAATTAAATAAAAATCCCACCCCAAACTTTAAGATATTTGGCGCAACTTGTATTAAAACTTTTGTATATAGTGAAGAATATGTGACCCAAGGTTACCTGTGTTTCCTGGATAATGATTATAAGCTACCTACAATGGGGCATCTATGTACACTAGCTATGAGCCCTGTTGATTTTAAATAAAGCTACAATGTACTTTACAATAGTTATCTGTAAATGTTGATGATTTTGTTACTTGGCAGTTAAGAAACTAAAAACAGTCTAATATTTATACAGTAAATTATCTCTTATTATTTAAATATGACTTATGGTATAAACCCAACTAGTGCTACCTGAAGGTAGAAAATATGAATTGTCTTTTGCATACTGGGAAGATTTCTTACAACAAGTTAGCCATCAACAAGAATTTTAACAGGAATAAGAAGCACAGAATTGAATTGGCGAGACAGTGGCTTGATGACATACACAGCTTGAGGTGGTGTGTTACTGCGGCAGCCCTCATCACTGTGACAAGAGTTCAGGCTCTCACTCACAGGAATGGGTTGTAAGATGATCCACTGGAAGGCATTTGAGGGGTGGCCTGTAACACATGTAACAAGACAGACAACTATACAGTAGTACATTTGGGAAAATTACATTCAGTACTTCATAATTCTTCTAAATACTGAACAGAGAAGTTTATGTGGCAGGAATTCCTCCCCATACATTCCATTCTGATAGTATTCACCTCAACTGAACAGACACATACATCAATCTTCTCTTAACATACAGTATTTATTTGTCTTGTCTGTCTATTCATGTACAAATCAACTAATTTATTTTAATAATTCTAAATTATCTAAAACACTTAACCTAGTTTGAAATATATTTCATCTTTATAGTTACAGTATATTATTCTCAAATCCATATTTTCCCCACACATATACAGGTAAAACATATAATTGACCCTAAGGGCAAACACATAAAGGGAATATACATTTCTTTGTACACAAGTAAAAATGTAGCCCCAGTCAGAAAATGTTATTCGCGGATTTGGCGATTAGCGGCCATTTTGAGAACCTAAGCCTCATGAATTTGGGGGCCCCCTGTATTATAATCAGACTTTATACACCAGATTGCAACTTTTTAAGCCCCTGCCCCAATAAAAAAAAAAAGAATAAATAAATAAATAAAAAATAAATAAAAAATAATAATACTGTATTACAGTATAATAATAACAAATAAAATCACTTTCCATAACACAACCACTAACAGATTAAAATCAAACAGGAGATCTCTTATCCTCCTTTTCTACACATGTCAAGCATGTGGCTGCCAACAACCACGGTCATTTACCCATCAATTAATTACATCACACCAGAAGTTAACTCACCATAAATGGGTTTGCAGTTCCATTACTGGTCATCCACTGCATTTTTGTGTTTTGTGGATGCTGATTGAAATTTGCCCATGCACCATTATTAGCTGATGATGTACCATTAATAGGTGCATTATTGCCAAACTGGTTGAAGTTCGGGTCAGGTGCTGGAAGAAAAATGCCACATTAAATATTAGACCAAAAAAGTTTGATATTACAAGACACATTCAATAGGTCTAATGACAATATTTTCCACAGACAGATCTATCAACATATTCCATGTATGAGGACAGTATGAGAAGTTCAATTTGAAAAATAATTGTAACAAGAAGAAATGATAAGTTAGTACTAATGCCACAAAGATGTCAGGCATAACACCAGTAGAGTGACTTGCTTCAATCTCTGATGAGCACTGCAAACTAGGAGACTTTGGAGTATACTGTGCTTTTCTACATGAATGTTGAACCTTGGCTGATGACTGCCACAATCTCATGTAGCCATCTGTATAAAGATTAATCTAATGTGCTCAAGAGCACCAAGCCACCAATAATGCTGCATTTTTCTTTCCCACATCGAATATTAGATTCATGGATAGTACTATGGGTTTAAAAACCGTGCCACATGGACAGTCCCCACCAACATTGAGCATACCCTACATTTATGAACACATACAGTAGAACCTTTATACACTGGACATCAAAATACTGGAATTAACTTTTTTGAGACTCTATGAGGTGCTCTGGACACACACACACACAAACACTCCGGATGGTTTGTTTGTTCATACATGTGGGTGTCGTGAAACACGTCTCAATCTGAGTCTTATCTTCTCATATATCGTATCAATGCACCACACCTCTCTACCTACACTCATTAACGTGAACTTTTTATGTAGAGTACATACTGTCTTTCACGGGGATATTTGAGGGTTTTAAGAAATGGGTAAAATTATGTAGAATACCTATTTTCAGAAATTGGTAAAATTATAAAAATGCTTATGAAAAGAACAACACTTGCTCACTGAATACTATACAGTGTTCTAATGAGATATGCTGCAGGCCTAACGTGAGCTACGAAGTCCAGTACAAGAGGTAAGACACTGAGTATGTAAAAAAGACGTGGGGGGCAATGTTACATTTGCCAGGTTTATTTATGGATTCAGTATTATATTATTGTACAATCACTCTCTTCTGATGTAAGATTCACCATGATTAATATCAAATCTTCAATAGAAAAAAATACCGGTACAGTATAACACGCAATTTGTAATTTGATTTGAAAATACTGTACATAAATGAATCAGCTGTACTGGAAGGTATTCACTTAGAATGCATGAGATAAAGCTTTCAGGAAATCAGCTTACAAAAGGGTAATTATAACATACTGTATAGTATTTGATATGGAGATACAATGCTATGTGATGGTTCAATTTGGCTAATTGTACACTTAGACAACTGATTAATGAATAAACCAGGGAATATGCAAATGCATAACACACTACAATATTATTTATTAAGTGCTGGTAAATACATTACAATATTATTTACTAAGTGCTGAAGACAGATGTGGTAAGCATGCAAGATGGAAAGGCTGGCAACATGGTGAGGGAGATCAGCTGTTAGGTGGTTTGTAAAAAGCACTGGAAATTGAATACGACTCAATGACTCAACTGGGTTGAGTGTGGCATTCATTTTATGGGAAAGTTGATTATTTTACAACACTATTTTATCAACCCAGCACCAAATGAACCTAAACACAGACAGACCCCGACTTACGACTGCTTCGACTTACGACCGTCGGGACTTACGACCGCCTCAGATTTTTTATTAAAATTTTTTTTTTTTTTCTTCAAATGACACACGCATTTTCTATACCGAAACGTTTCCAGTTAATGTAGTCTCCATGTATAATTAGAAAATTATGGGGGCCCCATGTGCATTCAGCTGACTACATTAAAGGTAAGTGCTCAGTCACACTGTAACCATTCCTTATTATTTATTACTTTCACTGTACTGTATCCATTCCTCATTATTCATTACTTTTACTGTACTGTATTTCATTGTAGATTATTTATTTAAAAAAAAAAAAAAAAAAATTTTTTTTAATCTATGTCGGACTTAGGGCCGGATTGATAGTCATTACGAAGCACAATGCCAATTGATAGTGTTCGTGCTGGTCTATTAATAGTCATCCCGATAAACGAGGTATCGGAAGGGAACCATACGCATATCCCTGAAATGTTGGAAACAACATCGGGTGGCTACCCCCACCCGATAGCTGCCTTACGACAAATAATAATCATCATTATATTTTATGAAAGTTCTTCCAGTACTTTATATTACAGATGTCTACGTCGAATTATATTATTTTTTTTGATAAGAACAATTAAAAGAAGTGTTAATACGGATAAATGAACTTTCACAACACTGTTATGAACTTGAAACATTATTGGAATGTTGACATCACAGCTCCGACTTCGATGACGACTGCTGTCTGTGCTGTGAGCCTCATCTTCAATTAACAATTACTTCTGTTATCATTTAAGATATGTTTCTTATCTTTATTCAGTCATACAATATTTTTGTCGTAGTAGTAATAAAATTTCAACCATCTGAACCGGGAAATTCACTTATGTTTTCCGGAATGAGGCAAGCCAAGTGAGCTCACTCTATCTTGAGTTAACAAGGAAAATATCACAGTTTTTGGCCCAGTAATAAAGTTTTTTTTACTTCACTGTGGTCTTTAATAATGGAGCATAACTCAATATGTAAGGTAATTCACCTGTGAGGTTTTATGAAGACAACAAAAGGAAAGAAATATACATTTATTTTTTTAATAAATGTGTAAAAATTAAGAAAATAAACTATAATTTTTCTATACATAGTTCTGCATTTCCTGAAATTCACAGCTTATATTATAGATATATAAAAATAAATCTTAACTGCCATACTTTGGACAATATTTGTAACTGACATGAAAATATTTCTATCTTGGGCACAAAAAGAAATGGTTCACTCCTTCTCTACAGCTATTTATATCAATGCATAAAATTTAATAAAAGAAACATATCCTCTATACAGTACTTTGCACAGTATAACATATTTTATAAATACCTGTATACACCAAACAAAACTTTATTCTTTATCACAGGAAATAAATTCAATTTTTGAAAATCACAGCCTTTATGTATATTATAAATATTCATCCCCCACAAATAATTACCTGCCATACTTATGACAGCTTTTGTAAACAAAAACACCTTTGTCAAAATAAACACCTGTATGTTTATTTCCTTCAAATAAAATTAGTTGAATATGTAAGAAATAGAACGAATAACTTTTACTTTAGATGCCAATTTCTGAAATATTACAACATCATTCATATGTTTTAGCCATGGCATCATATGCAGCTCCTGCTTTCCTTAAAACACTATCTAACAAATCCAAAGAATTATTCAATTTTTCATGTGTCTTTTCAATTGCAGTTTGTTGTAGTTTTTGTGTTAACATCATTTTTTTTTTCAGTTTCATTTCCTCCTCATGCTCCCTATTCAATCTGTACAACTTAGATTTATGTAACTCTTCTTGTCTTTTATCACACATTTCATAGACACTTGTCACCCTCCTAGTTCGCCTTGGTTTGCTCCTTGGCCGAGAACCAGATGCCCTGGACACTGAATAAAGGTGTTGGTTGGAAGCATGAGCAGGAGGGGGTGAGGCAATATCACTCGATAGTGAGTCAGGGGCATTGACTGCCGAGGCAGGAGCAATGTTTGGTGAGGCAGGAGCAATGACTGGTGAGGCAGGAACAATGACTTGTGAGACAGGAACAGAGGGTGAAAATAGAGGTCGATAAACAGTAGATGGAACTTCAGTAAATTGTGCAGAAGACACAGATGATGGCCCTGGGGTAGGACCAGGTAAAACAAGTGGATCATAGCTGGCGTTGAATGAAGCAGTAATTTCATCCCAGGCCTTTCTTTTCCTATAATTTATGGTGTTGCTTGTAGACCTATCCTCAATGATTGGCCTTTGCTCAATATGGCGCAAAAGTGCCATACGTTGGGTTTCAGACAGAGCTGCAGAACGTTCTCTTACTACCTCCATGTTTGATAACCCGCGCGCAAACATTGTTGCCAAGTACTCAGATGAAAAAATTATCTATTTTGTTTCGAACAGATAATAAAGTTCAATTTTATAAAAAAATATATTTTACAATATATTATTGTGCCGGTATAAAATAACAACTAAATATCTCTCAAAATCGTCTTTCTAATTATGTGAAATAATACATTTGGCACTAGCGCATGGCAAAAAAAAATTTTGCCATCCGACACGAGCTGCCGTGTTTACACGCTCATGTAAGGGTCTAGGAATATGGCACTCAGCGTTGGGTGGTTGCATCCCGACACACGATCATCGAGATGATGATCGTGATCGTCATTATCGTCGTAATGACTAGGAATACGGCCCTTACGACCATGTCGGACTTACGACCTGGATTTGGGTCCCTAACCCCGTTGTAAGTCGGGGTCTATCTGTATTATGGGAAATTGGGAATTATGGTGAAATTGCATAAAGATGTGTTAAAGGGCCATGGAGGAAGGAGGGAGAGCCAACCCACCCGCACTACCTCCCGCCTGCTTCTCCCAGATACACTATCATCTCCCACACATAATATACCCCTCTTTATTCTACTGTACTGTATATAATTTTCTCTTTATTCATAAGGCAAATTCTGTGGTTAGTTACATATAATACTTTACAGTATGAAACAGTCATATCAATGAAAACAGTTGTCGACAACCAAACTTATGTCTGAGTCTCTTGAAACAGTCTAGGGTTATGTTCAGACTTTAGACTTTTCTGGACTAGGATCTGCCCCAATTAGTCCAGTGTATCAAGGTACTACTGTATATACGAGTACAGTTGTGAACCAAGTTCCCTCAAGACTTTAGTAACATCTGGATTTCAACTGGAGGCCTGTAGACATGGGGATTGTGATTTCAAAATTCACTAATCAGATTTATCTTAGTATTATCGAGTATCTTTTCATGTTATTCTAACTTAAACATAACTCAAAATGAAAAGCAGCATTTATCAGCAATAAACCATTAACATCTACGACCCACAAGTTGATGCCAGATACTGTACTGCCAAGTGTTATTAAATTTTGGCCATAACTCTACAGATTCACTTTATTTTTATTTTTTTATTCTTTTTTATGGGGATTAGCCCACCCAGGCACAGGTCACTGACCCACATCGAGGCCTCGGAGGAGAAAATGTAATAATATGCACAAAGACATAATACAGGATATACATCTATCCTCTCCCACAAACATAAAACAAGTAAACAGGTTTTGAAATAAGAAATTCAAGATACTGTACTCATGTATCTATTTCTCTAACACAACCATTAATAAAGTTCACAAGCACATACCCCATTCAAATACTGTACAATCAAACCTATGTAAACACAAATGCAACCACACACAGACTAACACAAACACATGCATACATCTTAACTGAAGCCATACACAGCGAACTCTTAGCAACACCAACTTGATCTTCTAATGAGGCACTGAGCTTAGTCTGTTACCTTGATCTTGGTCCCATTATTGCCATAATTAACTGTCTTGATCCAAGGTTATTGCCCAACATGTGTGAAAAGCTACAATGATATGGGTTCATTGGTTAAACGGAGAACTGATACATATAACGACACAGTAATACTTAAACCAAGTGAAAGAGAGGCCACCTTTAGCATCATCAACAACAACACCAAGCATACATACAGACAAACCCAGAAGCATACACCCACATGTATTCCCAGCCCCAGGTCCACCAAAATAACCTGCACATAAAACACACAAGCAGTGGAGATCTACTTAGTTTTACTGTACTATTTTATTCATCCAACCCTTCCCATACATAAATGAATACAGCCAAACTCACATAGACATGTACTGTACCTCTATACATACAAGGGAGTATATTAAAATGCCAAAATACCTCTAGTCTCCTTTATGTGAAATTTAGCATACAAGAGATGAGAAAATATCATAAAAATTAATAATGGGGTATTCCTGTCCCCTTGAATGTGAATGTGAACTTAATGTACACAAAACATCAAACATTACTATGAAAAACTGACAGTTCTGAATTAATACTGTATTTTTCAAAATCCAATAACCATCTCCATAATGCAGCAGGAATTGTGGCTACATAGTTTCAAATTAATCCACTGACTATTGGGGAAATACCTGATAAACCAAAGATCTATCCCTATAAGACCTGAGAAATGACCAATAACCAAGGTCAATGCAGCATCTTTTCAAAAATATCCTCTAGAATGCACCCCTAAAATCCATCAAATAGGTGTTACCTGGGATAGTGGTAAGGAGTTAGACGACAGTGTACCTAAACACTGTTGTGTTGAAGGCTAACTCAGACGAAACAGCAAAAGGTTGAAAAACCCAACTGCCCACACAAAACATCCCAACTGTAGTCAAGCAGCTGTCAGATCCCTTGATGAATTCCAATATGTCTTATGATCAAGCATGAAGGAACACAAAACAACCACAAGATTGGGTATATCACATACAAATCCAACTTAACTAAGGTGGGATAACAAGCACTTACTCCCAAAATGGAAATTTCTTAACATTACAATGCAGAATATACCCATAAGGGAACCTAAATCTCCTGAGTTGTGTGTTGTGGAAAATTAAGAGTAAATCTGGGTGGAGCAATTGACATTGTTTACCCACCAGTTAATTACTCTGTAGTTAGGCAAATAGTCTTTGAATACCTCAGGGAACTGTGACTGCCTTGCCAGCTAAGATGATGGTTGGAAGACCTACATATAATGCCCAGTTCCCACTCTGTAAAACTGGGTTGGTGATAGGAAGAGCATCCAGTCAGAAAACTTCCTCCAAAATTGCCTAGTGGCAACTGGTTCACCAAGCCATTAGGTAATCATGGCTAACCAACAAAAGCACGGAAAATGGCCATAAACGATGATAACAAGACACTATTTCTCATATAAGTCCCCTAACTAAAAATAATGCCAAGTGAGATGTCCGATCAGCTGAGTAATGACTAAGGTACTGAGACCACAACAGATTATAATTGGTTTGATTAAAATCAGGTCAGTGGTTCAGTAGTTGAAAGCAGAATGAAAAAAAGAAACCTATGAATAAATGAGAAGGGAGGTATTTATTATACAAGCTTGCTGAGGTTTTCAATCAGGCTACCTAAATGTACGTGTGAAGATAAGGTTATGTGAACAGTGCCTAACACACAGTTACTGTCAAAATAATCATCACTTATACTGTACTGTATATTATTTACTGTTACTCATGTATATGGATACTTTTTGTTCACATAACTATAAACTGAAATCACACATAACAGAAATGTACACATATGGCATGACCCAACAGAGCTACATGAAGATCAACATAAATACAAAAAAAGAATTTCTCTACACATTAAATAGTAAATATGCAAAATAATTTTATACTGTACTTACCCCACATCCTATATAAAGCTGCAAAGAGTAAACAGACATTAAGAAGACACGAAACCACTTCAATTAAAATATAAATTCACCTTGTAAGAACTAATTAAGGCAACTTGCTAATAGGCCTCTTTTTTTTAGTGAGAGAGAGAGATTAATGTTCAATCAATATTAAACATAAAAAACAGCTTATTACTTAGTGAAACTTACTTGTTCCAAATGGATTGGGTTGGACGACAGAACCAAATCCCTGCTGAGTGTGTGTTGTTGCCAATGAACCTCCTCCATTCATCCATGGAGCACCATTGTTACACCCTAAAAAAAATATATATATAATCAGAGCAAAATCAATACAGTATAAAAAAATAATAGAACTACTCATTGGACAATTATATACTTGTACCTGCTTCATATTATACAAATACCGTATGAGTACAAGAAAACAAAAGCTAATAAAACTACACAATTTAATCATATACTGCAGGAAATCCTCGACTTTATGCAAATTGGTATCCAGTGATTCACATAACACAACAAATGAATCAAGATTAATTTTTAGAGGTCTCACTATGTCAACTGTTTTATTGCACCAAAATCACACATAGCAGCCCCATGGTGAGGAGAGTTTGTATCTCTTGTTATTAATTACAGCTCCAACTACATTAAATAAAGTACAGTATTGGGCACTACAGCTATTACTGTATTACAATAAAATCTAATAATAATGGAAAATACGAGGAGAAGAGTGGTCATTCATCAAGAGGAGAATGTTTAATGTGATGCAATTTGCCAATTGGTCTTTTGTGTCATGTCTGAACACAGGAATACTCTTTGTTTTGCTACATATGGTCAAAATATATACAGTGGTCCCTCAATTAACGAACACAATTGGTTCCAGAGTCGTTCGTTAACCGAAAAATTTGTTAACTGAATCTATTATTTCAATGGGATATTGGGTAATTGGTTCCAACTCACAGAAAAAGTACATACAAAGCACTGTATACTGGTAATAGAATTAACAAAACTTTAAATATAAACTAAATACAGCACTGTACTGTACAGTATACTGTATAATAATAAATAAAAAACATAGAATACAGTACTATATTTTAATTTACTTTGAGGTGTGTATGTCGTATTCCCGGCAGCTTTGTTTACATATCAAACAGCTGATTGTAGAGGCAGTCGATGATGACATGCCATATTCTTTACAGAGTGCATTGGTTCTAATGCCTTCTTCATGTTTCATAATAATTTCTGCACTGTATATTATCAATATTTTAACTTAATTTCAGAATGACCAATAATTTTATTGTAAAAATGCAAAAATATTCAAGAGACCAACAAACTGGATGTTCACTCCACTGTAAACAAAGTAAAACTGAGAAGCATTGGTGGGTGATTTGATCAGCTGATTGGCACACAAAAACTGTTCCCTGTATTGTACTGTATATATCATCAAAATGTGAACTAAATTAGAATGACCAATAATTTTAATATAAAAATGCAAAAATATTCAAGAACACAACTTTCTTGAGATTTACTCCACTGGAAACGAATGTAAACATAGAACCAATTACTGTATTGGCGGACTAGACGATCAGCTGATGCGCACAACAAAACGTGTTTGTCGTAAGGATTTAGTTAATCAAAGTTTTGTTCATTAATGGAATTGAAAATCCTTATAGGAGCTAATTCATTAACCAAAATTTCGTTAATTGGACCGTTCGTTAATCGAGGGACCACTGTACTGTACTATAAAGTAAGTAGAGTATATGGTTGTGGTCAAGAAATAAAGAAAATCCAACATATTCATTAGTTCAAAACTTATGATGAGTAAGAGAAAAAATATAATATAACTTTCCACCACTGTATTATTTCATATTTAATAGACTAATCCTTAAGACTTCAATCACCCTTTTACATTCACCAACAGGATTTCCATCACCATTCACCCTTTAAATTTCAGGCACACGACTTCCCCACTACTTTCTCTACAGACATACTTCTAGAACATAAACCCTAAAATAATGACTCAATCTCAGTTTTACCTGAAAATGGGTTAGCACCAGTGAAGTTAGCCCAGGCATTGCCAGCATTTGGGGGAGTGCCGAACACCCCAATACCCCCGGAGCCACCTCCATTGACAGTACCAAAGACATTATTAGAGGTGCCAGGGGAACCAAACACACTTCCATTCATAGTGGAAGATGGAGAACGAAATACAGAAGAGTTTTGATGACTTCCATTTGGTATGGGCCAACTGCCTCCATCATCTGTGGGTAGTCATATCCTTAATTTTGTTCAAAATTCTTCAAAATTCTAAAACAATAATTGTGAATCTGAAAAGGATTAATAGCCATCTATTTTACTTGTCTGTCCATCAATTTTATATTAATTACCTATCTACCAGCCTCCCTGTTTGTCAGATTGACCTCAATAATCTTTGAAACTCAAGAAATGGGTCATATATGAGTGAACACTGCCAACATTTTTGATACATCTCTGATAAAACAAGTGGCTACAGCTTAAAAAAATAAACTAAAACAAGAGCTACAGTACTACATTACTTTTCCTTACCAGGATACAGTAACTTTTGACCCTGAAAACTAGTCAGTATATCATCCACAAGTATACTTCAGTGACTAATTGAACATCTCTGATATCAGTATAGCAGTCAATGCTTTACCTGTTCTGGAAATGTTGTGCTCAAGATATTGAGTTACTAAACCTATAATCATCTTCATGACCTATAACCCCAAAGAAACAGAACAAGGTCACCAATAAATATTCTCAATTTAGCAATAGTGTATGAGACATTATTGGAATAACAATGAATTACAGATACAGTTCATATATATTTGTTTTCGAGATACAGTACTGCACTGCAATCAAATTATACTCAATACTATTGTACATGACTAACATCCACAGGAGAAAAATACAAACACTTACTGGAAGATACTGTTTCTGATTCTTTTTGTGTCTTGAACTCCTCATCTAGATCCTTCAAGGCTGCATAACGATCTTGCACAGGTGGATTTGATGAGGATTGGGTGTTGGGGACAGATGCGGGAGGAGGATTGGAAGAGGAACCAGGGGCCATAGGAGTAAGGGGGCTAGTGGAGAATGGGAGATGTGGGCCCAAAGGGGTTGATTTGTTGCTGGATGTGGAGCCTGCAAGATGAGCAGGGGTCATGCCACTGTCAGTAACACATTGGAAAGGCTGTTGCTGCTGAACTAAATTTTCATGCAAGAACATATCACTACAACTAAAATCACCCAAACTTCCAATTCGTCCAACCGCACTACCAGCTGAGGGTGGATTCTGCCGAGCATTAGTGGCAGGCTGTAAAATCGACACAAATGGGTTAGTCAACAATGATGCACGAGGTGGACACGCACTAGGAAAACTGCTACTAAGGCTGCTGCTGGTGCTGATGTTGCTGCTAACAGGTATAGGTTTGGAGGTTTCTGCCCTTCTTTTAGTAAAGAGGGGCACCTTATCAAAAATGGCATTGTCATCAGTGGGTGCAGAGAGAGAAGCACCATCACTTTCAAATGGGTTAGTTTTGTCACCATTATCAAGTACTGAAACAACAGAATTACTTACCACTTCAGGCTTTGGATATCCATACTCCCTTGTTAATGATTTATCACCTATATTTTTCTTTTCTGAACATGAGATTACAGAGCCCGTCTCAGAACTAAGGTTTTGATAAGAGGTTCCACTTAACTTAGAGGTTGATGAAAGAAAAGCAGCAAAGCACTTTGAACTTATCTCATTGGATTTAGTATTCAGGTGAAAGTAATTCCTGTTGTTCTCAGGCACATCAAAGGAATTAGCTGGTGATTTAACATTCTCAGTTTGAAAAGAATCCATGTTCAATGCAGAGTATGAAAAATCACTTTGATTTGGATTGTGAGGTAGTTTCCTCCCTAACTGGTGTGAACTAGTATGAGAGAGACTAGTTTCTGCCTGCAACTGTGATGCCTGTACACTCTTTGAAGCTGTTGGAAAAGAGTTTGTCTGACTCGTTCTTGGTTCGGGTGACACATGCCAATTAGACTTATTATTCATGGTAGAGGAGTTAGATATGGATGACAACTGCTTTGCCGAGGACACAACTTTAGCTTCCTCCCTTGAACATGCTTTAAAGTCTACGTTAGTTGGGCACACAAACTGGGCACTCACGCCCGAGGCAAACATTATATTGGGAATTTTTCCCTTGTTAGTCTGTCTACCTGAGGCATCATTACATATAGTAGGAGGAGATAGGAAGGTTTCTGACAAAGGGATAAGTGGGGTTCCAGCATTCACCTCACCCTCAAATGCCTCCCAGTTGGTGAATCTAACAGGACTGAGGCGAGGTGAGGGAGTGCGTGTTGAAGGGAGGGGAGGAGGAGGAAGAGCCACAGTACAAGGCTGATCCTTAAGTGTCTGACACGCTGACTCAGGCTCTCTTTGTGATGGTTGGTCTTCTGAGGAGAGAAAAACCAACTGCGACTGATGCTCTAAAACCAAACACACTATGATGTGACAAATTTAAGGGAAGCAGTGAACAGATTTAATACTAAAAAATTTACCATTTAGCAAATATTGTTTAGGATTAATATCTTTCACAATTTAAAGATGGCAAAAGTAGGTATCAATGACACATGCACTGATTATGTCGCATCACAATAATGGGTTCACATGAAATTTATTTCCTAAGATGTTAGGGTGAATGATGCAAATGGCACAGCTTCTGTGAACTGCTGAGTTTCACTACAGTGCAACAAACCGACATATTATTCCTCATTTAATACACCACTGTATGGTGTATTTTATTGTGCTGTACTCAGTTATTTAACATGAATTTCATAAGTATCACCAGTCTTTGGTTATATACATAAGTTACTTTCAAAACAATACTGGTGGGTTCATACCTTCTTCCGGCAAACATCAGTCTTTTCCACAATTTACTCACTTTTAAAAAAGAAAAGAAAAATAAATTGACAGAGGTATGTCCAGTAAATGTGCTGCAAGATGATCTGTAACCATGTCAAGAAAAAATAACAAACAGAATACAAGCACAGTACTGTACTAAAAAACAATTAGTAACCAAAGGCAATACTGTACATCGAGAGAAGACTAATTAATGTTCACCACTCCTGGAAAAAAAATTAAGAAGTTGAGAGATTTTAGAACCAATTACATGTACTGCACTCAACTTATCTTTAAGCTTGACTCATACTATTGCAAGTGTTTGCGGAAATTATACTCAATTTATCGCTTTTCTCATTGATGTCATATACATTTTACTTAATATGTGCATGGAATGAGTAGCCTCACCTTCTTGTGTTATTAAATGTAATTGGTGGACTGGAACATTTTCTAGAGAGGGCAAACCATGTCAAAGGAGGAACTGCTGAGCTGACTTTATCATATGGATGTGAACATGGACTCTGGATACTTGAGGAAGGAGCAAATTAGAAGCATGAAAAATTATGTACTTGAGAGCAATATATGGAGCAAATAAGATGCAAAGGATATGTGATAGAAGAAACTGGAAATGTGGAGGCAATGAAAGTGTTTGGATTAGAGTGGTTCAGGGTTTGCTCATATGATAGAGTCATACAGTAATGAGAGAATGAGATGTGAAAGAGTGGTAAAAGGAGTGTATAGTTCAGAGGTGGACAGTAACAGGGAGAGAGGAAGACCAAGAAGATGGAAAGATGCACTAAGTGAAGGGGTGGACATCCAGGAAGTGGCCGAGTTTGTGAATGAGCAGAAAGCACAGCATTAAGTGATTTTGGGGGAAGGAAAGGCAATTGATAGGTGATGCTGGCTTGTGTTAAGTAACAGGAGTACACCAGATTTAGGGCTTTGTTTCCATCACCAAGCATCAAGCTGTAAAATGAATAAAAAAAATAAAGTAAACTCAGCAATAATAACCTTTTCATGTACTGTATGAAAAAGCAAAATACTTACTAGGAGTGTTTGTAAAGATATTCGCATTCTCAAAATTAGCAAATGAAGGCTGCGAAACTGAAGTGGGTGCTTTGGAACTTGTTGGAGAGGCAAAAGGATCATTAGAGTTGACTGTGGAGCCAGACTGGTTGCCCAAGTCTGCTAACAAATCTAGAGAAGCTGAGGATTTTGGGGTGGAGTTTTTTGATGCAGTATTGGTGGCACTTGTTAGCCCACCACTTACTGACCCTGATGACTGAAAAGAACAAATAAAAATACTATCAGCATTCCATTCTATAGTTCACATAATAACAAAATATGAAGTCAATTATTTCAGTGTCATCAGGAATCACTAACCAATGTCATAAGTTGGATATAAAATACTGCCATAACTAATGGAATAAGTTTTATGCAGTAAGCAAAACTAATTGCTCAAGCCAATGAACTAATGCTAGTAAAAATTCTAATCTTTTTGAAAGGTCAAGATGAAAATACAAAAGTGTGTGACGACAGATAAATAAGGAGAAAATGCCAGGGAAATATTATGTGAGAGGTTTGCTTTAATTGTTTCTTTAATTTTCAGTGTGTATAATCAGTAAGTCTTAGGGTTAAGTCTCTTACACCAGGGCCAGAGATGCCTAGTAACGAAGTAGCAGTACAGTATTGTTACTTTAATTAAGTAACTTTCTGGATGATTTGCTTACTGTATTTACATGAAATTTACTATTTTGTACCTTTGCTTGTATTTGGGTAACTTTGCAGCTTAAGTAATGTATTTCTACTGGGTTTCTTTGTACAAGCCATCTCGTTAAATTCAGAAGTATCTGCCATGGACTGAATTTGGATAAGCCAATGAGAACATGGCAAAAGATGTGTAATATTGTCCCAGCAAGTCACATTAGTGCAACCAATTTCCTCCACTTGCCATTATGTTTACTCTCAGAATGGCTACTGTTATCATTATGTCAAGTACTCTGAAAATATTAAACCAGAATGGAGCATATTACAGATAAAAGAACTGGAAGGCAGCGACCATGACAACCATCTCTTCCCCACTGATGTCACATATTGAGTAGCTAAAGCAACTATCTGCGCAGGTGGGGGTCGATATGCTCCGCAATTTTACATGTGACTAGTGACAGCCCTCATATACAGTAAGCCCGTGTTTTTCGTGGGTTTTTTAACGCAGTTATGACCATTCGCATTTTTTTTTACTAAAAAATTATATACCGGGGTATACCCGGTATATAAAATATCCTTTAAAAACAAAATTTAAATTTCGCGCCATTTTCGATATTCCCCTGTGAGGTGCGACAAACAGACACCACCCTTTCTCGCCTCAGACACCCGCTGCTCCAAGAAGCCTCAGTCCACATGTGCCTACCGTACTGTGATTACCTCTTCTGTTTGTCCTCCCACGTGGCTGCGGGATGTAAGCCAGCCTCATCAAAGGCAAATATTACTAGCAAAGACTCCAAAGTGACCAAGAATAGTGATGAGACCTTAAAGGAAAAAACAGTTTTATTGTACAAGCTCAGAGGTGGTATGAGCTATGGCTTGAGGTGTGGTGAAGACTGACAATTCATTTGTGTCTTTTGTCAGAATACTGTACAAGTCTTCAAGTGGAGGAATGTGGGTGGAAGAAGACTGGCTGGCTGGCGTGACTGCGTGAGGGCGGGCAGACGCCGGGACAGCAGGGAGAGGCTGGCAATGCAGGTGTTGCCGACCTCAGCAAATAAATTTTTTTATTTGCTTGTAAATAAACATTTTTTGTATATAACTGTGTTTACGTTTTTCCATTCCTATACTACAATATGATTAGTTTCAAATAAAGATGTTAGTAAATGCCGGTACAGTGCATCAGTGACCAGTGTGACCACTGGGCCGTGAGTTGAGAGCATGGCATGGTGAAGTGCATGACCTACCCTGAGCTGTTTGGTGGCCACAGGTGCAGTGATTCCTAAGAGTATTCGCGGTTTGGGCTTTTTGCGGGGGTTTCAGGAATGCAATTCCCATGAAAAACACAGGATTACTGTACCAAAATTTATCGTCCATGGTCTCATATTGTTTCCCACAAAGTATTCACAGAGAAGTTGTTTTAGCTACTGTACAGTACAGTATACCATTATTATATTATATTGTGCATGTAAAGTATACAGTATGCCAGGATAATTCACAGATTTTTATTTCGCGGTCCTCTATTATTCGCGGATGACACCCTGGATGTACCCAAGATTGTCTAAGGGTAGTTTTAAAGTTGTTGACATTTTCACAGCCAGGACAGGGAGTCATTCTCAAGTCTACTCCGTGCTTTGTTATTAATAGTGCGCGGGGTGCACTTGAGAGTAGACTCAACATTTTTAATAAAAATTGTCTGATTATTTGTGAGAGGATTTTCCTATTATTATTTATGTATGTGTTTTGTGTGTGTATCTATACACACACACACACACACACACATAATTGGAATACAGTAAAGCCTCCGATAATAAGATAACAACGGTTCGACCAACAACTTTTCATATTTAAAACCCTAGTGAATTTAGGACCCAATTCAATTTATGTCCTTATTTCATTGGTATTTATGACCAAAAAATAATAAAAATAAAATTACATTTTCATATGAATAATAACTAAATCCTGATATGCATTATAAAAAAAAAATTTTTACTGTAAAAAAATTAAGAGCACCTTGTGCAAAGAAGCTGCCTTGCTAATGAGTGGTAAACAACAGTCAGAGCATGGCGGGCCTTTTGTTTTCACGCATCTGGAACAGGAACAGGAGAAAAACTTTCTGAGGTTTCTTACAGCATTTTTGCATCCCTATTCAACATGAGCAAGAGAGCAAGTGATGGTAGAGTTGTTTCAAAAGCTAACAGAAAGTGTATAAGCTTAGCCGAGAAACTAGATGTGTTAAAACAATATGAAAAAGGTGAAAGGTCTGTGGATATTATATGGAGCAAGCAATGAACATATTTTCTGAAGTGGATCCATTAACAGAACAATGCATTAAAATTTAAATAAACGCAAATGACCTCTACATAAGGATGTACAATGAGAAAAGAAAGCAGCTGTGCAAGGTTCTTTCAACAGCTTTATTATTCGAAGGCCTAAACCATCAACTTCAGCTACACCATCAAATTCAGAATCATAAGCAGCTTCAACATCAACTTCAGGTTCAGTAACAGTTTCAGCAACAGCTTTATGGAAAGCTACAGCTTCAGCCAGAGTTGAACCTGATAAATTCGTCATCTGAGTAAAAACTCGCACAATATTCATTGTCTTCCCTTATGTTTTAGACTTTACCACCATTGGTGAGTTGAATTTTTGTTTTACATTCATAAGTATTATTTAAAACATATATGACCAGTAAATAAGTGTTGCTTTCATATATATATGTAGAGAAATGACGACATGTTTTCACATGTACGCACTTACTGTACATACGTTGGCGTTCCCAATCGTCTCGCTTTATTTATTTACCATCAGTGGTTAGCTACTTCTAGTGTTCCATTTATTAATATTAAATAACATTACTGAAAACATACATACAGGTATTCAATTTTTTTTAAATTAAGTTCACTACAGCTACAACCAAGGTTTTATTTTCTTCAGTTTCTTATGTAGAACCATAGTCACTCACGAAAACAATGCCGTCTTGTCTCCCCGTGTGTGTTTTAATATTCTACGTATCATTAATGAATTGCATCGTTCATTTCACATATATAAACATTAATTCAACCAAATACATTTTCAGTAATAAACAATAATGAATCTTTTGTACATATTCTTAATATAAATGACTATGTTTCCTTGAGTGCGCATGTATACACTGGCGTTCCACTATCAGTCTCACTTTTTCTTTTATATCAGTGGCTACTTCTACTGTACAAATCTTCTTAATTACCAGATGAGAAGGTTGGGTCATCTTACCCTCTGACCTGACTACTGACTGCTGCAGTGCTTTTTGAAGATTAGTAGGGTCACTACCTAATAACCTGACCATTGTGGACTTAATCTCACCTTCCTCTACTGTATATATATTTGCCTTGTTATGTATTTCTCCTCAGTCTGTACTCACGTCTGAAGATGTGAATTACACGAAAGCGCTTGGGAACTTCGTGTTTTCATATTCCTTGTGGTTATCAGCATATACCTAGATCACGCGCACCTACAGTGATTTACTTGCATATATATATATATATATATATGTGTGTGTATGTATGTATGTATGTACATGTATGTATGTATGTATGTATGTATGTATGTATGTACAGTATGTATGTATGTATGTATGTATGTATGTACAGTATGTATGTATGTATGTATGTATATGTATATATATATATATATATATATATATATATATATATATATATATATATATATATATATATATATATATATATATATATATATATATATATATATATATATATATATATATATATATATACTTGATGGGTGCATGGAAGCCATTTTGAATGGTTAGAGTACAGTATTAAGAGTAAAAACACTTAAACATGCACAAACGCTGTGGCAGCTTAACAAAGACTGGTGATGCTACGATGCTCCGCGGGTGAGAGCGTAGCGTGCAAAGTTGAGAGAGGGTGATGAGCCGTACAAAGTAGTCCGTGACAATGCTATACTGTACTGAATTGATGGGACGTTGTTTGAATCATGGATATCTAAAGAGTAGCGACGTTATAACGAGTCATCGGGGGCAATGTTAAACGAGGACTTACTGTACACACACATTTCTAAAGGAATCTTTCACAAATTTCTACACAATATACCTGTATACTGGACCAGGAGCCTCGGTGACCTTTGCACATTTTGGTCAACTAGGAGTGATGAAATGTGTGGCCAGAAAGTGTGTGAGGAAGTAAGATTTACGCAAGCTTCTTGAATGTGCTCTTTCTATGCAGTGATTTATTTCCTCAGGGTGTCAGGTTCTCATTCATAGCCAATAAATGGCAGGTAAAGGAAAATATACCAAACTCATTGGAGCAAATTTTCCAAAAAATGAAAAGTAAAGTCAGTGCAACAACAATAAAAATAAATAATAATACTAATATTGTACTAACAATACCATAAGGTCTCCCTGAACTTGAAGTCTCAAATAATTAAACCAGAGAGCCATCTCATTAGTTCCTTTGTACTTTTCATTAGCCAAAAAATAAATAATCTCTCTCTCTCTCTCTCTGCTGTTATGATATACTGTAATCTTAAGCAAGAAGATGATTTTATCCTCAATTTTGTGCATATTCTGTAAGAGAAATAACTGTTGTACTGAACCATGCCCTTAGTGCCAGCAAAATTTTGGGGGAGGAAAACTAAAATTATAAAGTGGTTGAAACTGAAAGGAAAGCTTGAAATCATGGACAAACTAGTGGTGTGGTGTTGACATATATGAAGCCATTCACCTAAGGTACTGTACTTGCAAATGTATTGAACCAGGGCAGTTTCCCAGATGCATATAAGCATTTATTGAATTGAACTACAGTGTATCTTCCATTCAATTTTCACTGTATAAATGCATTAAAGAATGTACCCCACATGGAGTTTATTGTACCAGTACAGTTCAGTATTTCAATTCTTCATATTCCCATGAGGTTACTGTATCATTCAGCACACTTGTTTCTTTATTTTCCCATGTTTTAAGCTTACTATTTGATGGCTAAGTACAGTGTAATTTAAATATAAACATGTGTATGAATTACCAGAATATATCCAGTTCAAAGAGACTTTTGCCAGGTTATAGAAGTGTTTGAGTGACTGGAATCCTCCCTTAACGAGACTGGCCACTAACCAACGTGGCCTGTTAACCCTTAACCAGCGGCTAAGGTTTCTCTATTCCACCCCCTCATATGCAAATATGGAAGGCAAGTAACTTGAAACATCCAGTGAGGATGGCTGCCATCCCTACACCTAACTTCCACTGACAATGGTCACCTTTTAAGGATTTAGGGAGACTTTACTGTATTTTATATAATGGAAAATTTGCATTCAACTGGGAGACAACAATTCAATTTCAACTTTAACAATAAATTGGCTATGAATACAACCTGTTAACGGTCTAATCGAAAGATTAGCTTCAAGAAGAGGCTACATAATAACACTGAGGACAAACAAACTTTGTCTCCTGTGGAAGACCATGTGTTGTCAGGACGGACAATTTTCAGTGGAGGTAAAAAGGGTTTTCGGTCCTTCCAACGGCCTTTTGCAGACTGTAGATAGCAAACCATTAGAAGCTTTTATTTTTAATACCAAATTAACACTTAACCTCAAATACCTCATCATGTATTGTTCAGTAATTTGGAAGCAGACTTCACTAGAATTCAGTAATCCCAACATTGGAGGAAGATACTGTCTGCAGCTAAATTTCTGGGTGCCAACACATTAAGATGTGGTACAGCCGGGTACAAGTCAACAGTTGAACTTTATCTACACAGGTTCTTGAGGTTTAATTTCATATGAAATCTCATTACTCACCCAAAATTTGCCATCTGTAATGTTCTATTAGAGTAATGAAAAACCTGGTGATATATTTTTTTAGGAAAGAAATCATATTAATTGCACAAAAAAAGTTTGCACCATGCTATGAGACTCACCTGCGAGGCTGAGACATTTGGACGCGAAACTGAGGTGTTTGCTGTTGGTCCAGCCTTACTAGTTTCACTACTTGGTGTAGAGGCATTTGAAGATGTGGCACTAGAGTTTTGTGGAGGCATGTTCTTCACAGCAATACTTGGCTCTATATAAAACCTGTAATATTAAACATTAAGTTATTATCATGCTGTATTGTACTGTCCTATTACAGTGCCCACAACACATCCATTCTGGTAAATGTTAACAAGAAAGGATATGACTTAGAATATTGTCTGCATGTGCACACATGTAGTACAATTTACTTAACACTTAAAAAGCAGGGCATTGCTCACTAATATAATTGTGGAAATTATTCCACCATGAATCTGTGGCTTGCAAATACTGTATCATAACTGACAATCTACCCTCAGTAGCCCTGTAACATGTAACATACCAATTAATTGTTGAATGTATTTGTTGTCAGTCTCAGAATATTGTATTCTGGTGAATAATTTAATGGAATAGCACAGAGTCTGTTAATGAAATATAAAAACTTCTAAATTGAATGTGTTTCTTTGCCTGATGTCATTGGTTTGACATACTTTTTGACAAATAAAGCTATATGCTCGAGTTGAGGGCAGAACAAGACAGACCACCGCTGAAGTATGACAAGACTCAGTTGCTTGGCATAATCAGCCTTATAAGGAAATCCAACATTGGCAGAGCCTCATCAAATTCAAGATACTGTAATACAAATTCATATCCCCTTCCTGTCAAGGATCTCAGCTGAGTATCTAAATGTGATTGTAGGAGAAAAGTTGTTTCACAGAGATTAGGGAGAGGTTAAGGTAATTTTCATTTGATTTAATTGCAGTATTTTAAATGCATGGTGGTAAATCACCACAACAATGAATATACTGTACTGTACATAACTATATTAGGGAAAACTTATAGCATAAATCATAATTTACCAAAGGTGTTGGTATCCTTATTCAATGAACTTTCTACAGTGAAATTAGCTATTAAAGATAAAGTCAGTTAGTAAGAAAGAATAATATACTGCAGTGATTACTTTTGATGTAGCATTGGCATAATTTAGTTTTTTTGTTAACATTTTAAAACTGTCATATATACTATACAGTACATAAAGTACAGTATATGAGACGCTCCGGACCATAACCTAAGAGCCATATATCGCAACAACTCAACATCTTTAAAATACAGTATAAATATTTTAAAGTAAAAGTGAATAAAGCTTAGTTAAAAGGTTAATTTTTAACATACAACTCCATAAATAAGGACTCCTCATGTAAAACTGACTTGCAGTCTAATAGGCAATTTCTCATACCTGTTGGAGAGAAGACAATGTGTAAACTTTTGAAATTGTTCTTTAGTGACTGAACCTCAAATATGCTGCACAAGTACTGTATACTGAACAGTACAATACAGGTATCCCTTGATAAATGAATGCTCGAAATACGAAAATTCGCTTATATGAATTTCCTAAACTGACACCACTATTTTGAGATACAAAAACTTCCTCGCTGATACGAATTTGGATCCGGGCAAAAATTAAAATTTCGCTTCCTGCATCTTCAGCTACCAGTCCCACTCCTTCTACCAGTGGATTTTCTTCCACTCCTCCCACCTTTGGTGTGACTGTGGTGTCCTTGGCAGAAAGCAGTGATGAGGTGGAAAACCCTCCTCATCTCTCTGAGTAGTGCCCTTACTCAGTCCACCCTTGTGGTGGTGAGCCCAGACTGCCCTCCCATAAGGTAATGTACCAAAGTTAAACAAAATTTTATTACTTTTTCATGTGGTAGGTAGTAAATTATAGTTGTGTACTATTTATCATTAGTTAGGTAGGTCTTGTTCTTGTTTGTAAACTGATTTTGCATTTTTGGGGGGTACAATATTGGGGTATTTGGGGCATTGGGGAACCATACCCTATTTTTCCCATATATTCTTTTATTTGAGAAATTAAAATTAACTTGAGAACTGTTTTTTGTATCTGTACCAATTCATATACAGGTACTGTACTGTATTGAGGAATACCTGTATATGACAATGCTGTAACACACACACACACACACACACACACACACACACACACACACACACACACACACACACACACACACACACACACACACACACACACACACACACACACACACACACACACACACACACACACACACACACACACACACACACACACACACACACACACACACACACACACACACACACACACACACACACACACACACACACACACACACACACACACACACACACACACACACACACACACACACACACACACACACACACACACACACACACACACACACACACACACACACACACACACACACACACACACACACACACACACACACACACACACACACACACACACACACACACACACACACACACACACACACACACACACACACACACACACACACACACACACACACACACACACACACACACACACACACACACACACACACACACACACACACACACACACACACACACACACACACACACACACACACACACACACACACACACACACACACACACACACACACACACACACACACACACACACACACACACACACACACACACACACACACACACACACACACACACACACACACACACACACACACACACACACACACACACACACACACACACACACACACACACACACACACACACACACACACACACACACACACACACACACACACACACACACACACACACACACACACACACACACACACACACACACACACACACACACACACACACACACACACACACACACACACACACACACACACACACACACACACACACACACACACACACACACACACACACACACACACACACACACACAGCCACACACACACACACACACACACACACACACACACACACACACACACACACACACACACACACACACACACACACACACACACACACACACACACACACACACACACACACACACACACACACACACACACACACACACACACACACACACACACACACACACACACACACACACACACACACACACACACACACACACACACACACACACACACACACACACACACACACACACACACACACACACACACACACACACACACACACACACACACACACACACACACACACACACACACACACACACACACACACACACACACACACACACACACACACACACACACACACACACACACACACACACACACACACACACACACACACACACACACACACACACACACACACACACACACACACACACACACACACACACACACACACACACACACACACACACACACACACACACACACACACACACACACACACACACACACACACACACAACAATAGAATATAATTATTACTACCAGGATAAGAGATGAAATACACAAACTGGAGGTTGGGGGGAGAGAGGAATGAGGCAACACTACCACCACAGGCTCCAGGGGTAAACAAAACTGCCCAATGTCAACCCCCCCCCCCCACTCCACTCCCCGATAGTGATAGGTTTGGTGAAACTTGAGTTGCGTCAATGGGATCAAGTACACATGACCCTAACACACCCTGGCCTTCACTGATAGCCTAGCTGAGTCCTCGTGGGGTACAGGAGCCAGAATAATACAAGAAAAATGATGTGAAAATGAGGAAGACAAATTGTAATAAACTGTTAAGATATATAAAACTATAATAAATTAAAAAAATAAGTAAACAGTACACAATGAAAACTAATGACAAATAAAAAATATCAGTGAATGGAAAATTAATTAGTAGACTTTGTGTGAATAACCAAAATATGAAAATTATAAAATGTATAACTGAGAAGATAAGTTATTTATAATGCCAGTCATCTCATTACACTTGTGGTATACAATTAATTCTCCAACATTTCCCGAATCTTTATCTTAAAAATAATTATTGTTTCCTCCACACAAGATAACACACTCCAAGACTGCTCCTGCTACTAACCTCTACTCCACCACTCTCCTCCACACACCCACACCACCACACACCCCCTACCCACCACCACACTCTTCCACACCCACACCACCACACTCCCCACTCTCCCTCCACACCCACACCACCACCTCTCTCTTACCACCTCCACCACACCTACACCACTACCTCCCCACCCCACCACTCTCCTCCACACACCACACCTCCCTCACTCTCCTCCACACACCTACACCTACACTCCTCTCCACACACCACACACCCACACCACCACACCCCTCTACCCACCACTACACTCTCCACACACCTCACACCTACCACACCTCACCCCACTCCTCTCCACACCTCCTCCACACACCTACACCACTACACAACCCCACCCACCACCTCTCTTCCACACCTACACCACACACCCTCTCCACCACACACACACCCACACCACCTCCTCCTCTACTCCACACCCACACCACCACCCCTACTCCCACCACCACTCCCTACACACCCACACACACACCACCTCTACTCCACCACCTCCTCCCACACCTACACCACACACTCACCTCCCTCTCCCTACACACCTACACACACCACCCTACTCCACCACCACACTCTCCTCCACACCCTACACCACACCTCACCCACCACCACACACTCTCCCCCACACACACCACACCTCCCCACACCTCACCTCACCTCCACCACCACACCTCCCACACCCACACCACTCACACCTCCTCCACACTCCACCACCACCTCCCTCCACACACACCACCTCCCTCTCCACCACCACACCTCCACACCCACACCACACACCTCCTCTACTCCACCACACTCTCCACACACCCTACACCACTACACTCTCCTCTACTCCACCACCACACCCTCCACTCCACCACCACACACCTCCTACTCCACCACCACACCTCCCCCACTCCACCACCACACCTCCCCTCCACTCCACCACCACACTCTACACACACCACACTACCCCACCACACTCTCCTCTACACACCTACACCACTACACTCTCCTCTACTCCACCACCACACTCACCTCTACTCCACCACCACTACACTCTCCTCTACTCCACCACCACACTCTCCTCTACACACCTACACCACTACACTCTCCTCTACAGTCTACACCACCACACTCTCCTCTACACCACCACTTTTCCCTTGTAAACTTACCAGGCATCACATACAACAATGTTAATGGTATGTCTGGCCACATCTGCCATCACAGTTGTACATAAACCCACAGAAAACACTTATATATAAACGAACAAACAAATGTCATTAAATGCCTCATGCAAGACGCAACTTGCATTGGAAATAAAAAGAGGCTTGTCTTTTTGGGGGGTCTATAAGGAGACCAGGCTAACTCATCGTGCTCATTTAATTTTTTTTTCTATTATCCAATAAATATTTTCAACAAATTATAAATAATCTTTCGTCTTTTCAATCTGATGTATAATGAAGAAGACTTGTGAGTGCCGTCAACTACCATGTTTGTTTGTTCTGGGATTCAGTTACAATGAAGACTGTGCTGCAGTTATCTCAGTTATTATCAAGTTTACCAAGCTGCTCAATATTGGCTGTGGCAATCCACATGTGGAATTTACTATCATGCAATGAAAAATTTGTACAGATACAACATTTCATAATATTTTCTTAGTTTCTACATAAGCCAAGTTAACGTACAGTATTACAAAGTGAAAACAGTAAATAATTAACTGATTATGCTAATGAAAAATTTAATTAATCAAGCTTTGCTAACAATTGCCTAATGTACTAAGAGGCACTTTCTCAAATGAGTTTGGGAAGATTGTGTTTTTTGGAAATTTTTATATAAATAAGATGGACAAATATCACTCCATTCACTAGAAAGGGCATTCAGTGATGACATTTAAAGAAATACTGTACAAGAGTCTGTCTAATGAGTGACACCACAAGAATTAAATTTGTTTAGTTTCTTCAGGTACAATAATTTTGAAAATCTATATTACATATTACAATAAATATCTTTGTGCAAATCACAGATTAAACTTACTGTACCAACAATGGGAAGCAGAGAGTGTCACAACTCCAACAAATCAAACTACGTATAAACTGTACTGAACAGACTGAGAACTGTGAAAATATATACAGGAACTCTCAAGCTCCTCCCACACTGTACAAACTCCACCCACATGCTATCAAGTCCCGCTCACACCCTACCCCTGTAGTAAAAGCTCCGCCCACACACCCTTTGCTCAACCAGTTGTTTCAAGGTCAGTACACGCAGTGCCAGTGGTACAGGGTGGAACGACAGTTTGTAATCCCTCACAGCAGACACGTGACAAATGTAGCTGTGTAAGCTCTATCATATTACACTTACTGTATATCAATTATAAGTGACAACTAGACACCTACATTATATCATGAATACCATAGAGGTAATCAAACATAATCAGAATTATATAAAGTTGACTTGGACATCAATAAAAGTTTAATAATCAATTACATACAAAAGATTGATTGAAAGGAGGAAAAGAAGTTGCCCAAAGGGGAAGAAAGAGACATGAAGGAAAAATGGGAAAGAAAAAATGGAGAGTAACGGTACAAGATTGGGAAAGAGGTGTGTGTGTGTGTGTGTGTGCTTGCATGCATATGTGCATGTGTGTGTGTGTGTGTGTGTGTGTGTGTGTGTGTGTGTGTGTGTGTGTGTGTGTGTGTGTGTGTGTGTGTGTGCGTGTGTGTGTGTTGTGTGTGTGTGTGTGTGTGCATATGTGTGCTTGCATGCATATGTGCATGTGTGTGTGTGCATAGTGTGCTTGCATGCATATGTGCATGTGTGTGTATGCTTGCATGCATATGTGTGTGTGTGCTTGCATGCATATATGTGTGTGTGTGCTTGCATGCATGTGCATGCATATGTGCTGTGTGTGTGCTTGCATGCATATGTGCATGTGTGTGTGCTTGCATGCATATGTACATGTGTGTGCTTGCATGCATATGTGCATGTGTGTTTGCATGCATGTGTGCTTGCATGCATATGTGCATGTGTATATGTGTGCTTGCATGCATATGTGCATGTGTGTATGTGCTTGCATGCATATGTGCATGTGTGTGTGTAATACTACTAATAATAATAAATAACGGTTTATTGAAAAAATTCTGCAGCCCGAAGACTGAAAATATACATTGGACATAAATGACTTATTACATACATTGGTGTGTGTGTGTGTGTGTAAGGAGTCACAATACTGCAGTACTTTGGTACCATCACTCTATAAAGTATAAAGTGATTTGTTTAGGTATCGTGTGTTTGCCGGTCTGTTTCGCATTTAGTTCACCATCACGTTGTTCAAGGCTATAATGGTGCACTCACAACCCAACAACTATTTCCACCATCTAAAAAGTGACTAGTACTCTAACTCTCTTATGGTAATGAAAAATATGAAAGTAATATTTTGTATGAAAATTATTTAAATGTTTAATTCAACAAAACCAAACTATGAAAGGAATTTAATTAGAAGGAAAGAGAAGAGATTGAAATATCGGAGCGTAACAGAACTCATTGGCCACAAGAGTCCTTGGTGCCTCTTCACCCCTGAGATAAAGCAGGACATTACCCCCCCCACAGGCAAAGCACTAACCCTGAAACTCATTCAATCTGTTCGGGTAACATCCTCATATCATCTATTTGTTCATGTCACTGTGTTCATAAGCTCATGGGACACATAAAGGCAAGGATGGTTTAACATATAATACAATATTTCCATGTCCTCTGTTATACTGAAGGCAAGTGGTAAGGGACACAAAGCAATAGAGTACTGTACTGTACTGTAAATGGAACAATGGATATGCAGTGAATTCTGTTAATAAGGAAAGTTCAATACAGTAATAATGTAAAATGCATTAATAAAAATACTGGACGGACTCTATATCACTGATTTATATTTTAAAATAAAAGCGTCTCCTCCAAATCATAGAAAGGCTTACAAATGAATGGGCAAAAAGGAACAATATTAACTAATGCATGCTAATATATGCCACAAATTGCTATTCAAGTACAGTACAGTATTTGTTTTAGATATTTCTGGTGCACTTATGACCAACTCTACTACAGTACTATAACTAAAAACACTAACTGCAACAATGACTCACAACACACATGAACCTCAGCCACACAACACCATAACAGTGTCAGTACGTACCTTTTCTTTTCATATTTCATTATCATGAAATCTCTAATCTTATGCTCGTCTTTGGTGTCAGGAAATGGACTAATCTTTGCATCATAAAGCCCCAGCCACACAGCTCCACAATACTATATCGTGGAGAAGAAAAATGACACAATTAATACTTCAATGTTAGTTATCTTTACATTTCAGATAGAGTATTTTTTTTTCTTTGAGAACACAAAATGATAAATATATTTAAGGACATGCAATAAACAGGAACCAAAAAAATTAGCAGGAACAAAGTCGTATCATTGCTAAGAACATAATTATATGTTCTTCTCAATATGATGACTTCATTCATACTGATTTTTAGGTTCCTGTTTTTGCATATAGTACCTGTACTGTAATCATTTGGGGTTCTCGAATAAAACAAAAATTACCCTGTACTTTCTATTAGCAAAATGATCTTAAAATATAATAGATTAAAGGACAGTACAGTATATGTGGCCATAGTTCTCACAGCACTGATAAACCACAGAACTGGGACTTCCAGCTACAATTCTGACACACGACACCCATCATCACAACAAAATCAAGGAGTTTACCCTTAAAGCTTAAACTTGATACAACTTCCATACTATTTCCTATTCTCCTTTGACAATCTCTTTACTTCTGTTTCTCTCTACTGTACATAATTCTATCGAAGTCTGGGTAGGAGGCCAACTCTCAGTTTTGGTTTTCAAGAAAATTTTGGTTTTAATCACATTAACACAAGATATAAAGGAGTTACAGTCTTATGCATGATGAAGAGGGAAAGTTAAGGGTAAAAATGAAGACTCATCCTGATAATCATACTCTATAACTCATGTACTGTACCCATCAACTAATGACCCCAGTTTAAGCCTCAACTTTAATGGCTCACACTTAATCAAAATTATCATCCTCGTGTCTGGGGATTGGAGACTACATCCCTTCACACCAAATGTTTTAAGGCTGTCTTTACCAATCCTCCCAAATTTTGTATCTCTCCAGGGATCCAGCTTTCAGTTTCATCTATCCATCCCAGTCTTTGCCCTCACTGTTTTAAGTTTTAGTACTGTATGATAAATCTTGTTTTTAATTTAGGCATCATAATACAGTACCCAGTTCACATTCAACTACGTAAAGTCCTCTGTTTTGCAATAAGCCATATTAAGTCCTCTGCTTTAATTTTAAGCATGATTAGTCCTGTTTTATATTTAAGAATTAGTAGTCTTGTTTTAAATCTAAGCAAGATACTGTAAACTTGCTTTAAGATTATGCACGAGAAATCCTGCATTAATTTGAAGCTTTGTAAGTCCTCTGTTTTATTGGTGGAAATATTCTTCTCAGTGAGAAGTGTGATTGCATTGCATCTGAGCAGTCAGTCATCCTGTGTGATCTATATGGAGTAACGAGATAATGAAAAATGTCACACTGTTTGTTGTATGTACAGTATACTCGTGAGGCTCACTGATACACGGAAAAAAAATTCTATTGTTTTTCTATCTTATAACCACATCCCGCTAAAATATTCTATTTTAGCCACTTATATTTTAGTGAACCTATTGTCAGAGACCATTAACACACCACTAACTTATTAAAGGATAAAGTGACCCAATTTAAGACATTTTTACCTCTACTGTATTTGCAAACTGATACTGTACTATAAGTATTCTTTTTATTTTCTTTAGTGCTAATACAATTTGTCTTCTCTTTAGTTCTCAAACATAAAAACAATGATTTTTTCTACATTCACATTCAAAGTTCAATACTGTTTGACTGCAACACTGATCTGAAACAAACTTTTTCTAAGCTCTACAAATCTTATTTTCAATTTCCAAAGGCAAGCATAATTCTTTGAACAACATATTGCTCAGCTCGTCAACCATTAAAGTGCTGTAACAACTCTCTCTACACCAATGATGAATACCCTTCTTGACCAAGAGCAAAAACTTACTACAGTATTTGACTACAACTCATCAATTCTGGTGTTTTGGTATGCTCTTTTGCATAATAAAACCAATATTACCATCAATATGTTTCTTAATGCACACCCTGAACACCATCTAAACAATTCATTGGTCAACTTTCCTTTCTATTGTCTTAATAAGAAGTACTACCGTGTACATGTGTTGAAAATAAATGCACTGTACATACAAAGAATACCACTACAGGCTGACCTGCACTTATCAAACTCTATATGATTATAACTCTGGATAAAACTAATTACAGTATATAGTAATTTTCTAAATACATTTAAATACATTTGAAATCTTGTTGTGGTATATTTACATACTGTACCAAACATGGTTAAACTTCACAGCTGCTTCTTCAAGTTATGGTGATCACATTGGAAAATACCCCCCCCCCCAAACACACACGTGACAATTTCTATGCAGTATCTGCCTTTTTGATAGAAGGAAAGATCACTTACCTGGTTGCCCTTTGATTTTATTTGTTCAATCTCTTCCTGTGTGAAACTGGCCATGGAGATGGACTTGACACGATGCGGAGGATTTAATCCTCGACTGTAAATACAAAAAAAATTCCATGGTTATTTTTGGTAAGGACTACATAAACATCCTACATCTTATTATAATTTGCTACAATTTCTTTATAGTACTGTATGTATATGAATCTGGCTCCAGTCTGGTTTGTTGCAATTTGGGATAAATGGCGATTATCGACAACTTCTGTGTACTGTACAGTACACTACAGTATAATGTACCTGTATACACAATTTTCTTCAATTTTTATTCTTTACTGTTACATGGACACAATCGTTTATACAGAAAGTGAAAACAACAAATAATAATATAATAAATGATTATCATAAGGTCAAAAACATAGAAAATAAAAATTTCTTCACGTGTGGGAGTTAGCACACGATCATAGGCAGGAAGGAGTAGGAGGGGGAAGTGCGCTCCTGCCTCCTGTGACCTACGTGAAATGATTTTATTTATTAGTACAGTACTGTACCCTGTACTGTATTATTTTTATTTATTCTTCACATTTATGGAGGAATACATTAGACCACGGAGAGATAAAGACACCACACTAATCCGCAAATACATAAATCTAAATGCCTCGGTTGGTGAAATGGTATACAGAGTGAAAACTTTGGATACATGGAATCAACGGACAGGAAATCCGTGGTTGGCGAGGGTCTACTGCAATACAGTTATACTGTACTGTATTCCACTACTCTACTGATCTTAAATTTTTTTTTTTTCTTAAGTACAGTACAGCATGCCCTTCAAATTTGCGGGGATTAGGTTCTCAAAATGACCACAAATCGCCAAATCCGCGAATAACATTTGCTGACCGGGGGAGGGGTGTATATTTTACTTGTGTACATAGGAATGTATATACCCTTTATGCATTTGCCCTTAGGACAATTATTTCTTTTACCTGTATTGTATACAGTACCGGTATATGTGTGTGTGTGTGTGTGTGTGTGTAGACACACACACACAAAACACATACAAATAAATAATAATGGGAAAATCCCCTCACAAATAATCAGAAACAAATTTATTACAAATGTGACCGTCTACCCTCATGTCTACTCAGTGCTTTATTAATAACAAAGCACGGAGTATACATGAGGGTAGACTGTCACATTTGTAATAAATTTGTTTCTGATTATTTGTGAGGGGATTTTCCCATTATTATTTATTTGTATATGTTTTGTGTATGTGTCTCCACACACACACACATATATACAATAAAGATAAAGGCAATTACTGTCTCGAGAACAAATGGCTCTTTGTCCCAGCCACGAAAATGACGGCAACTTTAAAACTACCCACAGACATTCTTGGGTACATCCAGGGTGTCATCCGCAAATAATAGAGGACTGCGAAATAAAAATCCACAAACTATCCAGGCGTACTGTACTTTGAATTATGAAAACTTTTGTAATTTTTTCAAAACACAGTACTGTATCCAATAAATGAGAATTTGGTGTAATGATCATAATGTTTTAGAATATGAAAAGTCAATGAATGAACCTGTATTTGATCCAGCAGGTAAAATTCTGAGTGAACCAGATCACATTATCATTTGTGGAGACAAGCTAGTACTGCTTTGGGTGTACAGTGAAAAACAAAACTATCTTCCCAGTTTTGGATGAATGTACAGTATCGCTGAATACTCGAGCCTTCTAACTTGTCCTCTGAGAAATTTTAGAACAGTTGGTGGGCCTGAAGAGGACTTATCCTGAGCTTCATGGGTACAGGTTATCCCTCGTGACATGATGGGGTAGGTTCCAAAAAATAAATTCATTAAGTGAATTTTCATATCTCGAATAAAAAACATATGGGAAAAATAGGGTTCGGTTCCCCAATGATAAAACAACCGCAAAATCATGCCCCCAAAACACAAAATCAGTTCAGAAACAAGAAAAAACTAGCTAACTAATGATAAATAGTACACAACTACTATAATTTACTACCAAACACATTAAAAACATTGATAAAACACTAACAACATGAAAATATGCAGCTAAAACTATTAAGGAAAAGCTAGATCAAAGTTTAACTCATGGCCACCCTCAAGCATTGCCATAGCAACCAGCCCGGCCACCTCTGCCGACCCGCACCGCTCCCTACCCTGCTCTCACGTGCAAAGAAATGTTTGTTCCCTTTATGATTTTGACCTTATGGGAGTTATTTCTTTTACCTTTTTTGCACATTATGTATGTAGGGTTGTGTGTGCATGTAAGTGGGAAAAATAAATAAATAAATAAAAGTTAATCTATCCAAAACTACAAGTCGAAAAATAATCATAACCTAAGTCCCCCAACTCATCCTGTTAACTCTCGATTGTGCACGAAGCATTGTTTATTCCCTTTATGTTTTCGACTATGATTTTTTTTTTTTATCCTGTATGTAGGATTGTGTGTGCATATATGTTTACATGCCCGAACTTAGGAGCTGAAAAATAACCATAACATAACTCCTGCCTCAGCCTGAGAGAGAGAGCATTAGGGGCATGTGGCTGCCTCGGCTAACTCCCGGGGACGCACGATTTGAATTTTTGCCGGGACCCAAATTCATATAAGTGGCGAAAACTTTTATAACACAAAGTAGTGGTGTCAAGTTAGAAAATTTATATAAGCGAATTTTCGTATCTAGGGGATACCTGTACCCCTGTAGTCCATTTATCATGACTGAAATACTGTACACTGTATATCATTTACCACATTAACCACTTTGGGATGTTTCAAACCATGATATGCCTCATGTTCCATAGAGAAAGAGCTTCTTATATCAGATTAATCATGCTACCCAGTCATGCATACCAACTGCTCATAGGTGGTTGAGGTAAATCTTTGAGTATGGGAAGATAATTTTGTTGCTAGTACAATGACTTTACAGGAAATACAATATTTCTGATGACTCAATATAAAGCTTTGTGTCAGGTAAGTTTAGTCAATGGGTGGCTGTAAGATTTTGTCCTTGATGTACTGCACGCCTGGTTGAGAGTCTGCAGCGCTACGTGACAAGCCACCAGTTCAAGCATTCAGTGTATGACACAGAGCAGTCCAGTATTGTGGTTGAGAATTTATTTTGGTATTTGGGACTGAAAAAAAAAAACCTGATAAGGAAGATGTCTGCATTTGCCAGATAAAACCCATGGCTTATGAACTCCCCCATTTTCTAAAATCAATAAAATATTAACCACACCATCCATAACTCTGATACCTTCTACATGCTACATCATCCCTTCAGTCTTTCTTTTCTAATTCAGAAATAAACAATACTGTACTGTAACAGGACAAGTACAGACTTAGATTAGTAAAGATACAGTAATTCCCACACAGCGACAGCATTATAATGTTGAGGCTTTAAGTTAAGACTTATAATATCTTCCAAACTCCTGTTCCATTTTTTCACACAATGTTTTAATATGTACTCTCTGGGTGTCATCTACTAATCTCTCCCAGAGATTCTTTACATTTGTGTATCCAGTTATCTCTCTTATATTGGTCACCTCCATTCATGCAGGTAATCCAGTAATGCTCTTTTTCTGCTATTAGGAATGAATTGTAACCACAGATCTAACAGGTTTGCTCTCATCTCATTCATATTAAGCACTTCAGCTTATTTCACACCCTAACACTAACTTAGCATAACCCACATGAAACTTAGGGTGCTCAATTATCAGAGGAAATAAGTTGGGGTATTTAATCGTTAAATGATAATTTTTTCAAAACCTTAAGCTAGGATTCCATTCACGTTGCAGCGGTAGCGATAGCGGCAATAATAGATCATGTTGAAATGTACACGGTTGTTTCCAATAGCACGGTTGCGTTAGCGTTATGCGTTTGCGGTACATTTCAATCGGTCCCTGTAGCAATTGAAAATGCAACCGCATGGAAACGGACGAGAGAATCCCACACTGTGACGTCACTAACCCCGTGTTTGCTCTCCTTACCCAGCAAAATGCCTCTAGGAAAAAACATTTTCTGTAGAGGACACCGAGAAACAAATTAAGATGTGGCCAGGAATAATAGGTCACTTAGTATAGCCTATATTGAGGGGTGTGTTCCTTCCCATGCATTATGGATGTTCAGATCTCCCCCCTCCTGTATCAGGGTTCTCCACACACACATTAGACAATTTAGATAGCGTGATAATATGAGCGTAAAGGCAGCTGTGAAATTAAGAGATTATATACAGGAATAATAGGTCACTCAATACAGTATAGCCTAGCAAGAAACAGATGTAGTATTATTGATTTTCAGACTTCTCCCTTTCACAAGGTTCTTCCATACACCAGACAATGTATTTAGTAGTCAGTGTGATAATAAAGTCAATCCAATAATAACCAAACATTTTTATTTCTTATCACCAGAGTATTGTAGACTCTATATTTGGTCTGATTCAGCAGCAATCTATGAACCAACATCTATGTTTCCTCGTCCATTTTTCCTTTGATTTACGCATGATCTTACACAAACCCAGGATGTTTAATAGTAAATCATCCTGTTCATATAAGACTCGTAGCTTTGATGAACTAGGAGCCATCTTTCATGTCCTGTTCCCGCTAACAGAAAGATAGCTGCATGCAAATGAAAACAGGGGTGTCCGTTTTTCAGGGCAATTTAACGCAAACGCCTACCGCAAATGAACTGTAAACACATATATATATCATCCTAGCTTTACGCTCCACCATTGCGAATACGGTTTACAGTACAGTATATCCTATCCTCTGTATCACACACTATCTCATGAACTCACTGTACTATAGACGATCTCTCTGGGTGTGGCAAGGTACTGTACTGGTCTAGGTGGGAAAATGTCCAAAAAGATTCATACCCTCCAAACCACTAAGATTCCTTGCATCAACACTGACCCTTCAAACCACTAAGCTTCCTTGCATCAACACTGAACCTCCATACCACTAAGCTTCCTTGCATCAACACTGAACCTCCATACCACTAAGCTTCCTTGCATCAACACTGACCCTTCATACCACTAAGCTTCCTTGCATCAACACTGACCCTTCATACCACTAACCTTCCTTGCATCAACACTGAACCTCCATAACCACTAAGCTTCCTTGCATCAACACTGACCCTTCATACCACTAAGCTTCCTTGCATCACCACAACCTTAATACAACTAAGATTCCTTGCATCAACACTGACCCTTCAAACCACTAACCTTCCTTGCATCAACACTGAACCTCCATAACCACTAAGCTTCCTTGCATCAACACTGAACCTCCATACCACTAAGTTTCCTTGCATCAACACTGACCCTCCATACCACTAAGCTTCCTTGCATCAACACTGACCCTTCATACCACTAAGCTTCCTTGCATCAACACTGACCCTTCATACCACTAAGCTTCCTTGCATCAACACTGACCCTTCTTACCACTAAGCTTCCCCGCATCAACACTGACCCTTAATACCATTAAGCTTCCTTGCATCAACACTAAACCTCCATACCACTAAGCTTCCTTGCATCAACCCCAACCCTTCATACCACTAAGCTTCCCCACATCAACATTGACCCCTTAACACCACTAAGCTTCCTTGCATCAACAATCACATTACCAAGCATCAGTCATTTCCCATCATTTGTCAAGAGTACACATTTGAACCCAACAATTCAAGCCAATACATTATCTCTCCCTCACACCACTGACCTAATACTGTACGACAATTATTAATCTCTTCCACATATATCCAATAATACTTATGCTGCTTTTTTTCCCTGATAATTTTTGACAGGATCTTCTCTATGATCTCTTCTAGACAGTACAGTAATTAGTTTTTACAATTTTTCCTTTGCTCCCCCACTACATTTACATTCTATATATAAAAACATATATGTCAGTGGCTATTGTACCAAAATATATTAAGCGGAAAAAGCAAATTAATGTACTGCAGATTATCTTTCAAAACATCACAAAAAATAAGCAAAACTTCTTTGCAAAATTAAAATGGCAACTTTAATTTTAAGTATACCTCTTAATCTTAGAGCCAGAAGTTCAAAAATTATATAACAATAATTTTCCATGCAGGACATAAATCAACTGATAACAAATAAAAGAGAACATACACTAAGCATTCTTAAAGGATCACATGACAATTATCACATGGACTACCCATGAAATATTCATGTACCACTTAGACTTGGGATGTGTTCAGGAATACTTTACTGGAAAATAATGACAATTCATAATATAATTGTCTCTTTTCCTGTAGTGGGAGTACTCACGTGGGAGGTAATGTGGGGTAGGTGAGGGGGTGTGGCTCCTCCACCGGGACATAGAATCCTGAGAAAATTTCCCAGAAAAATGATGCAACTTACCCAATCTCTATCCATTAACATAACTACCCACCCCTGGGGCACCACCTTCACAATTCATTTACACGCATACACAACCGACACGTTATCCATAAATAATAAGCGCAAACACATCTCATACATGGTAAATACGACAATAAAGCAACTAGTCATGTCACGGAAAGTCGCAGTAGCAGCTGAGGGTTGGGGAGGCTGCTGCTCCAGCCTACTTACAGGATGCCTGAGCAAGACGTGCACACAAAGGACCCCACAGTCATATTGATGTAGGTCGTCCCTTTCTGGTGGCAGTCGAAACATATCCTATTAGAAGGTTGGGAACCTAGTTCTCGCAAGGTTTTCAGGTTCTTCTCATCCTGTTTCCTTCTACTCGAAGCCATGTTTGGTGGGTCTACCATTCAGCACGCGACACACTGGTCTTCAACAACGCATTCATACTAATTTTTTTCAGGTTTACTTCTCTCTTAAAATTTTTATTGTGTTATTTTCTTTTATAAATTTAAGTGAACTGGAGTTATTTGTAATTAATTCAGTTTAATTTATGATACATACAGGCCTCACACGACTCATTATTTATAATAGTATTATGTATAATAAACTAGCGTTATACAATTTAGTTTTCATCCTGTTATTAAAAATATGCACCTTACATTATCAAATATGATCCTTCTAGTTATTCACGAAAATGGATTTGTATATATTTATATATATATGCATCGATTAATAATGTATACACAGCTTTCACAACAATTTCAGATTACTGTGCGAATGTTCAGTTCATTGCACCTTCAAAGTAATTCTGTCATTCACATACAGGTATATCCTCGTCCATATAAGTGTTATTAACGAGGAAAAATCTTCATCTCTCATAACTTCAAATCACCTGAGAGAGGAAAAGGTAACATTAACTGTCCCTCCTGTGTTTGTAGTACAGTATACAGTATGTAGTGATGGACTAACTACAGTACAAATAATGAACTGTAAATCATAACAATGTTTTAGTGCATAAATAAACAACCAATTAACGATGTAAGTGACTAATTTCACAAATATAAAGCATCACCTACCCTGTAAAGCAAATAAATGGAACAATATTAAACCAGTGTTTCTTCAAAACTTTGATGTTGAAATCATTTTCCTGTAATAGCCGATGGTACAATTGTTTAACGGTGTAACGGTAAAATTGTGAAGTTAATCACCTGCTCTGTACTGTACTTATTTTGTCTACATACAAGGGGAAAACCATGATTGCTCAACAAAGGCATAAATTATTAATTGCAGCATCTACCTGTATCCATGCTCGTGCTTCACAAATTAATATAAACAAACATTTCGGTAAGACTTAACAGCTCCATAATGTACAATCCTAGAGTCTGTATTACAAATTGCAAATATTATCTGTTAAATTACAGGGGAACAAGTGCCAGCCTCAGTTACATTAGCGGCATTTCAGGGACACCGTTAACTGCTTCATCAACTTAACGATTAAAATATTTAATTGTAAAAGTTTCAATGGCAATTAGTCGTCTACTGTATGACTATTTCTTGTATTCTGAATTACGTCAACTAACAAGACCTGTTGGAGAACAGCACAGCTCGCTTTTATTACTGGAGTAAGAAAAGGTATATTCCAGTCATCAGTAATGAAGCTTTATCAGCATAATTATCGATACAAGAGTTCTCTTGACAAAGTTTTCATCTTTTACCTTCCGTGACCTTGACCTGACGTGTGATATAAACTCATGTAAAGTTTCACCAAAACATTTATACCCATACAAGATTTATTACCTGAATTAATGCTGTTGCCCATTTAACATTGATAGTGGCCTTCAGCTTTGACCCAAACAAGGGTCACACTCCGGACAAGATTTTGATCCTGGCATTTTAAATTTACAGCCACTTTGAACTTGGTGATCTGCACTTTGCAAAGTGATGGTCATATTCCTGTGAAGTTTCGGAAACATAGAGTATCAGTATCAAGATAAGCCCTCGGAAAAGTTTTTGACTTATGACCTTCCTGTGCCTTGACCTTAGACAAAATTATTTAAATTTGATGATTGCAATAACCTTTAATTAAGGGAATTTAATGTTATTCTTTTCTGGAAATTCTACAGAACAGGTGTTGCGGCAAACAAATGGTTATGATTTTAATCTTTACTACAAATAACTGCTGCCATATTTGACACTAGGTCTTATCCACTTGACGAGTAGTGGTGGCAACCAGTGCTTAAAGAAAATTAAGAGACCCTGATACAAGGACACGTCAAGTGAAGTTTAACGAGAATTGGACAAAAAGTGGACTAAAGTAAAGTAAAAAGGTACCCCAAAAGCCTTGCCCAGAAACCAAACGTGGACGCCGAAACTACATATTTTCATAACGTGACATACTGACATTAACCCAAGGTGTAAATATGTAACAAATATGATCATCTAGAGTTAATATTTAAGACGATGTTTGTTTCCTGAAAATCTCGCAGTGTCAACTATCAACTTTATCAAGCTGATAGCTATATCAAAATGATGTTAATCGAATTTCCACGCTAAAAGTGCTTAAAGTTACCAGTTATTTACCACAGGGTGACTGCATAAACTGCAGCACGTTAATTATATATAATTGTAAGCAAACAGTTCATCATTTCTTGTCAATTATGCTGGATTTGTCGTCATCCGTGAATGTCACATGTGACTGCAGTTTTTGTCGCCTGTCGATACTTTTGTCTGTGGTCGTTCGTCATCGTCCGTGAGTATCGTTGTCCACGGATGTCGCCTTTTTTTTTTACGAGGATTAGCCCACCCGGGCACAGGTCAACGACCCACAACGGGGCCAAGGGGGCGAAAAAATAAGAATATAATTAAATTAATAATAGAAAAGGAAAGGGTTATATTAATCTACACCACGAAGATGCCGGAAAACCAGCTTTTTAAAGTGAGACAGATTGTAAGAGTATGGAAACACAAAAGAAGGCAGAGCATTCCACAGTTTGGCTGTGTGAGGAAAGAAGGATGTACTGTCTAGTTTTACGCCCTCTGTTGATTATGTCCGTGAATATCGTTGTTCGTTGATGCCATCGTCTATATCGTCATCAGCCCAAAGTGAAGCAAATTGCAATCACTTCTTTGCAAAGCTGAAGATAAGAGCTTCGGTTTCGTGACAGGGCTCCAGGAAAGGCCAGTTTAAGTCGTGGGCTGAAATTAGGTCACCACGGCCGACCCGGTTTGTTGGGTAACTGGGTCACACACCGGGACGTGGCTGTCCTTGACAAACTGTCTTCAATGGCTTCATCTTGCTTACTGGTGATGATAAGTTACGGATAAGTGAGGTGGTATTGTATTCTATAAGAGTCTAAGCTCTAAGGAATACACTAAATGGGGAAGGTAATTATACAGAAAATATGATTTGTCAACAATGGGGTAACTGTTTAAGTATATGATGAATGAGCAAGGGAAAATCGTTTGTGATAGATAAGAAAATATTTAAGTAAATAAGTGGGTACTGTACAAGTGTGATGAGTAAGCAAAGGTGTAATTAAAGAGTAAGGAAAAGTTAAACTGTATAAGTGCTTGATTAATAAATAAGAAAGTACTTATTGGCATTATGTGTCTAGAACACACCCAAGTAACCTAAACAAGTACAATAATGTAATAGTATTAGTGTGTAATAAGTAAGCGAGGGAGTAACTGTATAAGCGTATCGTTATCAGCTGAGCCCTTAACATTATTGGAACCTGGAGTGTCAGAGGTGTTTACGTCCAGCTGGGGTGGAGGGTCTGGCCAGTGTCTAGCTCTACTGTAGCTGTGTTTTTATTGCTGTGTGTGGGCGTGTGGCCGCGGCTGTTGGGATAATGACCATGGGAGACCACGCCCCTAATGCGCCCGTGGCTTCACTCGTCTTTCCGGTCTTAATTCGCCCAATATTGGCGCAGGTAGGTGTAAAGACGGACATGACGGGGAGAGAAACGGGAAGGACAGCGAGAGTTTGGTCAGGGGTTGAAGGTTGTGCTCTCAGGACAAAGCTTGCATACACCCTCATCGGGTGAAAAGTTCAATGTTAACTGTAAACCTTAACTGTTAGTGCCTAATAAGGAAGTGAGTCATAAGTACAGCTATTCTTGCCAAATGGAGTGTTCCAATTCTTGCATGGCCTTCAAAAGGCAAGTTTGTGTTTGTTTACTCGGCTTGAGTGAACGATTTTCATGCTTGTAATACCTGTTATTAAGGGTAATTGTTTACATTTGGGGCACCATCAAACAAACAATTTAGGATTTTGTTTACAGAACACTTGTTACTCTGTACTTAGATATGTAGATAATTATTCAATAAAATTGTCATACAAATCACATTTGCATGTTCTTAGGCATTGTGGATATACAAACATTGGTGGTAAAGAGTCAATTAAACCAAGAATAACCCTAGAAAGTGAAGTGAATATTTCCACTAGAATAATTAAGGGTGTATTCTAGGGTCATCACCATGATAATGGTTAAGTTTCTTCAGGATATTAATGGTATTTTGGTGGATTTATAGTAAAGCATCGGTCTTTCGTTGTTATTAATCTGTATTTCATTATGTTTAGACATTTCCAAGACATATTTCTTCTATGATATTTCCGCCGGAAATTAAGGATAACCGAGATAATAATTTTCCAATATTTTTATATTTGGTCAGTCACAAGTCTCGCCATTTGTTGTTTACGTCTCGCGGAGAAGCTCTGACCCCGCCGTTACCCAGTGCTCCTTACCTACGTGTTCGCTTCTTTAGCGTCTGCAGCGCATGTGCAGGGGTGGTGTGAGAGTTCCTTATTGGCTATAGAGAGAGGAGACTTATTATTGGGCAAGAGTTTTTGTTTTATGTAGTGAACAATACGTGGGAGCATCGGGAGCGGAGATTTGAATTTTTAGTACCAGATATGGCTCAACAAGTTGAAGAGTTGTGCCGACATTGTGATAGATTATTTTACATCAATTGCAGAGTTTCATCAGATAATAGTAAGGCCATTTCATATTTTAGAAAACACGGTGTATTACTGAACAACGTTTTGTCCAGTGCAATAATCAGTGTACACTGCATGAAGAACAACACATTTGGCTTGATTCTTCTTCAGATTAAGATAAGATGTGGGGTCATGAACAATGGGGGTCCAGGGGGGTGGAGCTCCCCTTGTTAGGTTAGGCCAGGTTCATTTTTTTATATTTTTACACAAAAGGTTGCATTTCTTTCAGTACTTTATTAGAAATATGTGTTTTCCTATGGTTTTTGATGAGTTTTTAAAATTTTTTGCCTTGTTCACTATTGGAAATCACTTGTTTCTGTGATTTACCCAGCAAAAACCTCAAATTTCCCAACAGCTTCCCTTGTTGGGGTTGTATCTCAAAAACGAGTCATTTCCGGCAAAAATGAATATCAAATTCGTTTGAAACTCATCAAAAATCATAGGAAAAAACATATTTTTAATATCCAAAGAAAGAACGGTGCTTTTCTATACATTTACCGATAATTTATATAAATTTTTTTGGTAAAGGTGGAGGAGATGGTTAACAACAAAAGGACTTTATGGATTTGCACCAAATTTTCAGGTGTTTGGATGATATTGAGTAATAAAATTGAAACAACACCATTGTGATTTTTTTTTTTTTTTTGCTCATCATTCGATCATAAATTACTTGTTAGTGGACTTTGGATGAAAGAAGAGGGAAGTAACTGGGTAAAAACACTGCGAACGCTGATCATATGGTAGTAATTTTATGTCTGTGCTTTGTGGGCGAAGGGATAAAATATTTCGCTACCGTAATTATAGCGCTGTCAAATCTCCCGTGGCGACCATGTTTTGATTCACATTGTCTGATATACTCTAGCATCTGCAGTCTTTGTTTAAATGTTAAGAAATGAACGACGATCTCATTGGGCATGATTAGTACGAATTATATGAGATTGAATTCGTAAATTTTTTCTAGAGATGTTGTTTGGATGATAGTAAGTAATAAAATCCAAATGCAATTTACAGGTTAGGAAGTTAGGTGCAGTTTGCTTGGTTATGTCTGGTTCTAATAGGTTCTGTGCATCCTTGCATCCATTTTCATGTTCAGTATCATGCAAATCATAGCTCCAGAAATGTTGGTTCAATTCCATAAGTTATTTGTGGTGCTAACCACCTCTTCCTCCGCTATCTAATTTATTTTTTATTTTTTAGGCAGTAGTGAAGGAGAGTGTTGCACATTGACCAGCATCTTAGTGAAATTTTTTGTAAAAGATAAATGATTTCTTACCTTATGAAAAGCCCAAAATGTTTGGAAAGAAACTTTTTTCTTAATATTATTTTAATAGTTTTATCCATCTTGAATGTAATGCATGTCCAATTGCATGCCACCAAAGCTCTGTTTATATCCAGCATGTTTCATTTCATCTACAGGAAAGCTTCTGGGATACTTTTATGGTTTGTTTCATACACATGAACGACATACCAGCTACTGGCGCATTACGTATGATTAATAGGATACAGTATACAGTACTGTATTAACATACTTTTTCAATTAAAAAACAATTATTATTTTTGGTACTTATGTTTGAATGGAGGAGATGTGGTAAATCCTTTGCTACCGATTAAAGGACAAGTATATTTTTAGTGTCTTTTACCTTGTTCTACCACCAAATGTGCATTCTATGCATTAATGAAAATCCCAGAGAAAACAAATTATTCTTAAGCTTTAGTGTTGGAACTGGAAGATGAGACAATTTACTTTGCAAGTGACCGGTAGACCATAGCCTATCCTTTGGAACATCAATGAATTGATAAAAACCACTACAGTACTGACCTTTCTTCGCAATAAGATCGGAATCTCTCGGTTTAATGATTGCTGTCAGGAAATTGAAAGAAAAATCACTCCCTAGCAGCTTTGTGCACATCTTCCTCTTCATTTGTCATCCCAAGATGGCTGCCATGCACAGAAATGCATTCATTGTTCTCTCCACAGGGAAGGACTACCTGCACGTTGCTTCTTGAACTCTTCTTGAGCCAGTTACCCACATGCAGCAAAAGTGTTTTTGTTCACTCGCTGCTGGTACACCATGTGACCACCTGTTATGTACGATAACATCGCTGTAGTATTACAGTACTGTGCTTAAGGATTGCAATTGACAAGTGTAGTGACTATGGTGTAATTTTTAGTGAATTAAGTGACTGTGAAATGTAAAACAACCGGGAAATTGCACTTTTTCATGCTAAATTTATGATTATGGATTGGATTGTGTGCTGAGGTGGTTTAATTTCGTGATTTTTTTAGCCTATTTGGGTGAAAACCCCCACTTTGACGAACTCCTGGAACGTGACACCATGCTAAATCGTGTTTGGTGTGATTGTTCATTTAACAATCATGTTTTCAGGAATGCAACCCTATTGTATTGAGGAATGCCTGTACAGTACTATACAATATTTATTTAGACTCATTACAGTAGTGGGCAGGGTCATGAAGCTGAGCAAAAATATTGTGTTAAAGAGAAATATAGTGAATAAGTTGTGTTATGATTATTGATTATGATGTTCATAATTTTTTTTCCAATACAGTATACAATACAGTGTTTGTATTTCATGCTTTGAAACAAAAATACTGGATCCCATCATGAAGATTTCAATAAACGTTAAAAAGTAATTGGGTTGTGATTCTCTTCTTAAACATTATCAGACTTTATTTACAATAATCAGGGTAGTGTTTGTGTGATATACCCTTACTGGCACTCATTGCTAATGTATTGATAGTACTGTAAATGTCCTAATTAAGTAACACAGAGCTACTTTATCATGTCCAGTAACTGAATTTCTGTGGCAAAGGAAAGAAAAGTGGCTTGCTGCTAGGGGCACAAATTAGCGATAGGTATTACATAATAAATTAGAATAATAATTAGCTGATGTTTTTTCATTTATTTATAAACCTCGAACTGTAAAATTTTACATGCGATTTAAGATTAGGCAAGACAGCTACCTAATGAAAAATCTCAATACTGTACCAAGGTCAGAAAACTTATTTCTTACCTGAATAATCCTTAGTTTCCTCATAAATAAAGGTGCTCCATCCTGTCTACCTGATGACAATGCCATGTTTTTTGGGGATTCACTTGTTCTTATGTGAATGGGAACATTTCATAGGCATTAATGCTATTTGACTTCTTCCTAGCTGAGAAGCAGCAACTTTAGAAAATTTCTACATAAATTATAAACAATTATTTATTTTTTCAACATTAAGAATACAGTCTCTCCTCGACTTACGACAGGGTTCCATCCCGACGACCAGGTCGTAAGTCAAAAGGGCGAAAATAATACAGTATAGAAATTCTAAAATGAAATGCAGTACAGGTAGTTCTGCTATAACGCGATAATTGTGTTCTTGTAAAATATCGTGTTATAGAAAATCGCGTAATAGAAATAACAGGGCTTATGGAGAAAATAGGGTTAGGTGCAGATTACTCGAAATCGAAAAAATTTAGTAGTTAGCCTAACACAAAGGATAGCACAGTCTAAATAAATGTTACATTCATATCTAATAATGAAATCATACAGTAAATTTAACACTTTACCTTGAAAAAATATGAATGTAACTTGATGGGGAGAAGGGTGATTTTGAGGTTGATAACATCAAGCTTCTCTTCAAGTGTTATATCCTTTCTTTTACGATAATCACCGGGAATTCTATCATCAGAATGCTTTTTGGAGATATTCTTCTTTACCATATTCACAGTTAATACCACAAAATTGGAGAAATAGTAAGCAAAAATCGCGTTATAGCAAACAAGCGATCGCGTTATACAAATATTGTTCCGAATTCAGAAATCGCGTTAGAGCAAATTCGCGTTATCAAAACACGCGTTATAGCAGAACTCACTGTACAGTAAAAATAATCAATAATGAAAAATGAATAAAGTGTTACTGTACACTTACCTTTAATGTAGTCAGCTGAATGCACATGGGGCCTCAATAATTATTTAATTAAACATGTAGACTACATTAATTGGATGAAGCAGAGGAGGAGACAGGGCTGAGTGGGTCATCAAGTTCACTTTCTTCAGACAGACTAATATACTTGCTTGTTGAAGGTATTGGATCATCTTTAGGGAGTGAAGAGGCAGCAGTGGTGGGGCGTGAGGAGACAGCGGTGGGGGACTTCTTAAAAAATATGTCCAATTTAGACTGCACAGTTTGCCTTTTCTTTTCATTGTAAATCTCCCTGTAGCAAGCAAGTGCATCTTGGATCAGTCTGTCAACTTTTGCAAAATGCTCAACATTTTGATCCATTTCTTCAAACATTTGCATCCCCTTAAATAGTAACAAATGCCTCTGCCATTTGTTTCACTGAAAACTTTTTGGGGGTGCATGTTCTTCTTCTACATTTTGTCTCTCTTCTTCCTCTGCAATTTTCTGTGCATCCAGTTCAAAAAGATCCTCATTACTTAGCTCTTCTGCTACACTTTCCACCAACTGCTTAACATCTTCATTATCAATTTCTAACCCCAGCTGTTGATCCATCTGCACTATCTTGTTACTAATCTCAGAAATTGCTTCATCTTCATTAAATCCTTTGAAACTGTTCACATATCTTTTCAGGACCTTCTTCCATATTCCATTCATGCACTGGCCTGTAACCTCATCCCATGCTGCAGCTATGTTCTTTGTACATTGCGAAATGTTGTAGTCCTTCCAAAACTCTCTGAGCGTTTTCTCACCTTCAGTAGCAGCAATAGCCTGAGCGAAGGTCGTACGTAAATAATATGCTTTAAAAGCAGCAATATCACCTTGATCCATGGGTTGGATGATAGAGGTAGTGTTAGGTGGTAGGTAGACTACCTTAACATCAGGGTGCAGGTCGTCCAGTTGTGGTGGGTGTCCTGGAGCATTATCTAAAATTAATAAAATCTTGAAGGCAACCCCTTGTTGCAGACAATACTCCTTGGCTCGTGGAATGAAACAACTCGGGAACCAATCCTTAAACAGTGCTAGGGTCATCCACGCTTTCTTATTACTGCGATAAAACACTGGCAGTGTGTGCTTGCTGACATATTTAAAAGCCCTTGGGTTCTCTGAATGACGTATCATGAAGGGTTTTACCTTGAAACCAGCTACATTCACCCCCCAACAGAAGTGTGATTCGGTCCTTGAATGCCTTGAATCCCGGAGTGGTTTTCGCCTCTTTGTGGATGTATGTTCATTCTGGCATGCGCTTCCAGAATAAGCCAGTTTCATCCACATTAAGTAATTTCCCTCCACGATGTCACGATCTAGCTCCTCCTTAAAAGCTTAAGCAGCATCCACATCAGCACTTGCTGCCTCTCCACTCACCTTTACACTGTGCAAACTGTAACATTTCTTTAACCTTTGGAACCACCCATGACTTGCTGTGAAGTTTTGGTCGCACTCATCTCCTGCCTGCTCTTTCAGGCTTTCGAAAAGGCTTCTTGCCTTAGCCTGTATGGTTAGAAGGCTGAAGGGTACATGCTTTTGCAGCTGATCTTCCATCACATCACAAGTAATTTTTCCATCTCATGAAGAGGACTTTGTCTTTTTTTTTGTTATTATTGTTCCCTTTATAGGTGCTGATCCTTTCACTACCTCACGAATTCGTTTCTTGTCCTTTTCATCTCAAGAGTAATTGACTGTATCTTTTTCTTCTCAGCACCACGAGAACTCTTGCTTTTACACTTTCCAGCCATTTTAAAAGGAATTTAAAAAAAAAATTTGTCGGTACACAGTGCGATCAATAACAAAAACAACGACGGCCAAACAACAACTGAGCGGGCTACAGCGTGGATGCTGTACACCACGAGGCGGCCCAGCCCACGCTGTCGTACGGGGTCACATTACGACCAAACGTTTCAGGACTCGCAAATAAGTAATGTGAAAAATATTTTATACGACCATGGCGGTCGTATGTCCGGGTTGTCGTAAGTCGAGGAGACTCTGTACCTGTATCCCAATAAAAAGACGACAGGGATTTGTAATTTTCATGATACTGTACAATATTAGTTTGGTGACACATGAACATTTCTTAGTGTCGCCTTTCCATACACATGAACACATTCAGTTTATGTTAGAGTTAATTTGGAAAGGTATGTTAGGTTAGGGTGTTAATATATCAGCTCACTGTGGAAATGTTGCTGGGAAACATTCTGTTGCTTAGTGTTCTGACACATGGCATTGTTAGGTGGGAGATGGGCTCAGTGTGTACTGCATATTACTTACGAGAAAAATTAAGGAAAAACAAAATACTGTACGTACTGTACAAAAAGTGCAATTTCTCCATCCAATTTGGTTTATTCTTCATGTAAGAAATTTTTTAATTTAAGATTTTTTGTTAGGTAGGTGGTTAACCAAGAGTATACCATCATGGAGTGTTACCAGTATGTTTAGTGAACCTTACTCTGGTGAAGGAAGATTTCTGTAGTTTATCTGAACTGAGGGTTTTTGTATTTTTTATAATAATCTATTTATAGAATGTTCTCATAGCTTTTTTAAATGATCATAATTGTTGTGAAAAAATCTAACTGATCTGTTTGTATTCTTGGAGTGTATAGTACTTTCACTCAAAACTGAATTTAAATGTAAAGCGCACATAAATTCAGTAGTTAAGAGTTGCAACTTTCATATTTGAAATTTATATTCTGTTAAACAGTTTTTGGATGGACAGTGTCTTGTGACACTTACAATCCCTTATTTTGTCTCGGGTTGACTATTATAACTACCTAATTATATACTGTACTGAAGACATTTCAAACATTGTTTAACAGGGTTGCCAGGCTTGTTTTTGTTCTCCCACCGAGGACTCCCACTACCCCATTCTTGATTGAATTACATTGGTTTCTAATTAAAGCTAAGATAAAGTTCAAACTCTGTATAATGACTTTTGAGACACTAATGTTTGGTGAGGCTAAGTATTTGGTCAACCTACTAATTCCACTGACTATACTGTACATTCTGAAGTGATTTTGTGTAGTACTGTACTGTAGTACGACACCTTGAGGAGCCTAGAGCAGTACTGTACAGGAATGTTCTTTTGTTGACCGATCCCTTTCCTATACAACACCCAGATTGTACAGTCAGTTGCCTGCATCCATGAAGCAGCTGACTTCTGTGGAGGTCTTTTAGAAACAACTTAAGATCTCTATTTTTTTTAAAGCTTATGATCCCAAACAGGGTACAGTGATGGAGAATTACAGGGCTTAAGAAGTAATAAAACTTAAGGGTATATGATTGATAGAAGTCGAACTGCTACTTTTTGTGATCTTTTATTGTAGTGCAGTATTTCTTTTTATTCTCAAGTCATTGACTTCGTTGTGTTTCAAGTGCTAGTGAATTCTTTAGAAGAACTAGCATTTAAAAAAAAAAAGATCAGCTATTATTCATAATTATTATTATTAATGTTAAAGGGGACAAAATACCTGTTGTGCATAGCAGCCATACACAGTAAAGTTTTAAAATACTGTACAGTAATAGTTTTGTGCTGTACATTGAGACTTTATTTATAAGCATTGGAATGTACAAGCTTTTTAGGTGTTAGTTTTTGTTTTGTTCAAATAAATATTTTCAATTTATAATAAAGTTATACTGTACTGTAGTGTAAAGCAGCCATTTTTCTTAAAATTTTAAATTTTCAAAGTATTGTACAGTACATAATGTACATACAGTGTAGTGGATATATTGAAAAAAATGTTCAAGAGATTGTGCAGTACTGTATACACAGTAGTTAAATGATCAAATGTTCTTACAGGTGGAGCGTGAAAATGTAGCATCAAGTCAGACTCTCCGTGCTGCACTGAGTAAGGTGGAGGCTGCACATCCGGGGTTCACCTATGAAATGGTCATGGGTCTAGTTCGTAAAGCAGACCTCAGTGTCAACATGAATGAGTCTATCCTCAGATTACAGGGTTCTGTAAATGAATCAGAGTGTACGTACGCAAAATATTTTTAGTTATTGTGATTTGTGGTGATATGTTTCTGTGTTGGGTTACTACAGTACTTGTATATGTACAGGTAATTATAGCTTTCAGTTACCTCTGGTATTTATTTGTTATAACAAAAAGTTATACAGTACTGTACAGTGTTTAATCAAGATATAAGTGAATGGTTCTGTATTGTACAAACCAGCTGATCATAATACATTACACTATCCATTACATTACTTTAATTACAGTGGCAAGACTACCGAACATATATATTTATTTGAATACTTATCTGGAACTTTCACTTCTGTAAAAAATAGGGTTTTCAGATGGATTTTACTATCCTAAGCAGATAGATTTCTAGACCCTGATGGTTTCCTCTAAAGAAAAACAAACTCTTCACTTCATCCTAACCGTAGAATTGTGTTCAGAGGTACAGTTCTTCTTTCTACTTATTTATTTTCAGTCAAGGAGAGGAAAATGGGTTTCAGTGAGTAAACTTTCAAGCCTTATCACTGCCAGGCATTTAGGTGTAACTTTGAGTGTTTGAGTAAATGTTGTTCAGAAATAATGTTTACCCTCTGCATGTGAGTCAGAAGGGTCCTTAGGTGGGAGTCACTCCCTGGAGATTGATCTTTGTGTGGATTTGTTTGCCAAGGCCAACAATTCCCAGCTGTTTGGGTTTGTTTCACCCTTTCCAAAGGCACATGCATATGGATTGGATTTTTTTTTCATTAGATTGGGAATCTTTGGGGAAAAATACATTTGTTCCCTTTTAGCTGTGGATATGAATTACTTCTCACAACCAAGGAATTTGGTCCAAAGCTTCTCATTGTTCTTTGAGTAAACCATGCTAATTGTTTAAGTCAATCATTACGTACTTATTTTCTTGTTTGGCCACAAAGGTGAGATAGGGAGTCACTGGTCTGTTGTATTCATTAAATATTAGGATTTTCTAGGATTACCTGTACTTTATTTCCAAAGTATATAGTCACCCACAAAAGTTCTGTTGCCTTTCCTCCTGAATCATGGACCCCGAGATTCAGACTCGTGAATTAAAGGGATTTTTGGATAGAATAATGCATCAGTGTCTTCTGCTTCAGTTTTACGAGTCTGAATCTTGGGTAGTTGAACAGCAGGAGAGGCGGCAGGACTGTTGTGGGTGTCTGTACATGTAGGTGTTGGTTTGGAAGGATTTTGTTTTTAGTTAAGGGTCAGATCTTATATAGGTTCCTTTTGGTGATGGTTGGTAGTCAAACATCATTAATGCTGGATACATATCACAAGCTGTTTATTGGGGTTGTGAATCTTAATCGATTATCTTATAGGAGGGATTCCTATAACAACAGATTTGTTTGATAAGAGAGTTGTTCTGACCTGTTAGTAGCTAGGATCAACTATCTTTTGAGGTGGTGTTATGTCTTTTCAGTGCTGGAGCTTTTGTAGCACTTCCCTCAGTTTTTAGTTGGGACTGGATTACAAGACCTCCCTGGTAAATATCATTATGTTGGAAAAGGAGGATAGATCTTGCCACTAGGCAACTCTAATAACATCCTACCTCCCATGGGATTTGTCTTTAGGTTGGTGGAACAGATATATTTTTAGAGTGACAACCTGGTTTAGTGTTGATTCGTCGGGGATGGGGCCATTGCTGTGGCATGGTGGTCACTGACTACCAACCATTGTTAAACACTTACTCACTTCATACTTTCAGCTTTCTCTCTTCTATTCCTTCCAGGACTGGAGTGTAAGTGTCACAAATCCCTTGTCATTTAAGGTTAGCTATTCATGGGTGGATAGAAAGGTGATCAGTGAAATGATAGGTATAAGATCAACTCTGACAGACACTTTGTGCCAATCAAAGGGTTCAAGGTCCCAATTGTGAGTTACCATATATTTTAAGATCTGCTCTAGCAGAAAAACTTTTCAGAATTAGCTATTCCTCCATATTTAAGGGTGGCACCAGTGGAAATAGAGGGTTCATGCTTACCAAGCACAGTACTTTACAGGCCTAGATGTGCAGAAGCAATGTTTGCTGAGTGATACAGTGCTTGCTGCCTCACAAGGAAACCCTGAAGGATGTATGGTGTGCTCGACAAACAGTTTTATTTTTTTCACTGCACCTTTTGAAAATATTTTAAAATATATGTATATTTTTAACTATCATTGTTAGGGAACTTGACAAGCTAGATTGTAAGTTAATTTGACAAACTATTGTATAATATGTAATTGCTGGGTAAAAATTATTGGCAATGTTTACGTTCTGATGACATTGAACCCCTTTGTAAAAATAGGTCCCATAGGGACGGTGTGGATATACCCTAATCCTAAACCAGCAACCCCTGGGACAGGAGGTGAGCATTGTATGTGCTCAGCCACCACACCCTCTTCCCCTAATAAGCAGCTGTACTTTAGTATGAGGTATTGGTTTACTGGGTCTACCAGAGAAAAGGATTTCAAGTCCAGTCTGCCAGTAATAAATTTATCATGACAGTTTTAAATTCAGAATACTCCCAATTTTTAACCAAGGATGTGAAACTTTTTTTTGAGTTTTAAAAGTACATTGCACAAAATTTTGATTTAGTAACAAGATTTTGAACTGTAAGCATTTGTCAAAATACAAGTGTTGTATGCCTTGCCAATTTTCTGATTGAAATGACCTGTAATCCTTTTTTTTTGCAAAATTTACATATATTTTGCCTCTAGTTTTATTTCTTACCATTGTGTATTCCAGCTGGTGACTACAGAGTAACTCGTACTGAAGATGCTTTCCAAGAACTAAATAAAAAATCGGCAAACCTCAAGCGTATTCTGTCTCGCATCCCAGATGAGATAACTGACAGGAAGACCTTCTTAGAAACTATCAAGTAAGGTTAAGTGCTGTCTGGGTGGTTAGCTGCCATCTGTAGTGTTGTATAGTATACAGTACAGTATATGGATGTTGGGAGGCAGGGCTGCATAAGAAGCAAGAATAAATATTATATTGTGGAGAATACTCTTAAGTTTTCAAGTCATATTCTGCTACACCAGAGTGCTTCTAGCTGTTTTGTCTCCTTGTACCACTTAATTTAATTGGAGACATATTTGTGTAGATTTCTTTTTTTAATCCTCCTACAATGGTTCTTGCTTAGTATCCAGTTCCAGTTAGAAAATTGAAGTTATAAGAAATCAGACTCCTCCACAATCTGTTAATCTTATTTTCAGACTTGTATAGAGTTTTTTGTGATGGTGCATGTTCTGTCCAATTGTTCCGTATAAAGTACTGTATCAGTGATTCAAGGGGCACCTCTTATACATATTTCTGCATTGCATCCTACCACCTTGATTTTAGTTTTCCTGGGTACCCATTCACTTCTACCTCATATAATCTTATGGGGTCACGCCAGGGGCCCAAAGTTGGCTTGACACCTATTTTGGAATGTGTGTGTGTAAACAAGTTTATAATATGCTTATGGGTCCTTTATGTAATGCCCAGTTCCCACTCTCTATAAGTGGGTGTGCCATATGAAGGATATCCAGCTATAGCTAAATCTTGTTTCAAATTTGGCTGAGGGCAACCAGGGCACCATGCTATCAGGTAATTATGGCTAACCCAAGCAAGTGTGGAAAATGGGAAGAAAATAGTAATGATAATGGTATGCTAACTTAATGTTTAACAAAAAAATGTTTGCCCTGATAGCCTCTCTCTTAGGGTTGTGAGTAGCAACAAACTTAAGTGATGAGGTGATTTTATTTCTTATTCTCTGCATGAAATAACTATTAAACAAGCAAGGCATGTACTGTACTTACTGCTTTCCTTCACAACAAAATTATTATGACAACTGTGTTATGCACTGTTAATTATTTTCTTATTTTTCATGGTGTAAGGTTTATATGAAGCTAATAAGTAACTCTTTCTGGCAGAGAAATTGCCAGTGCAATCAAGAAACTTTTGGATGCCGTATCAGAAGTATCACAGTACATACCAGGCTCACAGGGTAAACAGGCGCTGGAGCATCGTAAACGTGACTTTGTAAAGCACAGTAAGAAGTTCAGCAACACTCTCAAGGAGTACTTCAAAGAGGGACAGTAAGGCTTTTATTTTTTATAATTTTTTTTTAATCATTACACCACTTAATCAGCTTACTAGCCATTCAGGCAATTAGTGTGCCCTTTCTTACTATGTTTTGCTCTTTATTGTCCAGTGTTAGTACAGGAGGAAACTGTAGTACTGTACCTAGAGTAAATCTGCTACATTTTGTTGGGTCACACAGTATATCACCCTTCTCACAACTGTCCCAGGCCAGGGATTGAACCCAATACACAGTAGTACCATTGTATTTCCATGTGTAGTGTAGCTAAGAGTCAGACATCTTGACACATATCCCAAAAGTGAGAGAATGCACATACAGTGAGAATAGATATAAATTGATAATTAATAGAGCATAAGTTAATGAAATGAGAAAAATTTGATATCTGAAAAAGCTAAGGGAAGAGGGAAAGACTAAGTTAGGAACTGTGCCTGTGTGGGGTATCACTAGTTAAATAGGATGTCATTAAGGTTAAGTTTTGTATTTAAACTGTACTGTAGTTGTTGCAAATGGAGGTTTTGCACATGTCAGCAAGCTGTGTAACTGAAATTTAACCCATTTTGCAAACCAGTACAGTTTATGTTTAGATAAACAGAAGTTACATTACTGTACAGTATTTGAAACTTTAGCACTGTGATCACTTTTAAAATTAAAGGAAAGGTTAATTTAATGTCTGCTGTATGAGCATTTACAAATAGCAGTGATAAGATCTTTTATGTAGGTGATTGTTTTACAGGAATACAGTACAGTACAGTATTGAGTTACTGTATATAGGTACAGTGGGGTATGCTATAACGAATCTAATTGGTTCCAGAACCTCGTTCGTTATAGCATTCGTTTGTTAGGATTAATCCGTTCCAGGCCCCCAAATACAACCACTTAACACTGAAAAAATTCTGTGGAAATGTAAAAAATACAGTACTTTATCTTACCTTAGTGTTGTTCAGCATGCAGGACAGGAGGCAGTGGGGGAGGGGGGAGGAGAGAATTATGGAGAAGAGGTGGAAGGAGAGGAGTCATCCTTCCTAGCCCTCTTTGGTGACTGTTTCACAGGCACTTTGTCTGTAGGTTCTTTTGTTACCTTTGTAAAGAAGGAATCCAGGGTTGGCTGCTTCAACCTTGATTTCTGGACCTTCCAAAAGTAGTTCATAACATTGTCATTAAACACACTGATGGCCTTTTGCACAGAACCAACATCAGGATGATAATTCTCAGCAAGTTTGGACAGTTTGCTCCAGCAAAAGAACGATGCGGCTTTCCTCCTTGTCCTCCTCCTCCCCTGACTCCTCAGAAGTTAAGCTCCGCTTCAGTGTCTCATTTTCCTCTTTGTGAAGCTCAAGCAGCTCATCAGTGGACAGTTCCTTACTGTGCTCTTCCACCAACTCCTCAACATCATCATCATCCACTTCCAGGCCCATGGAATTGCCCAGAGACACAATTTCATGAACAACAGCCTCTTCTTCTAACTCTTCGAAGCCTTCAAAGTCTCTTTGAAGGACACATTCAGGCCACAATGGCCTCCAAGCAGCACAAAGACACCTCACAGTAACCTCTTTCCAGGCTGAGGTAATTAAAAAAACAGCGTCTGCTATATTGAAGTGACTCTTCCAAAATTCCTTCAAGCTAACATCACTGGAAGAAGTGGACGCAAAACATTTTCTAAACAGTGCCTTTGTGTACAGCTTCTTAAAGTTAGAAATTACCTGTTGATCCATGGGCTGGATGAGAGGTGTTGTGTTGGGTGGCAAGAAGTGCACAGTGATGAAGTTGAACTCCTCTGGCAATTCAACCATCAAATTAGGAGGGTGGGCTGGTGCATTGTCCATCACCAACAAAGCTTTCAGTGGAAGATTATGCTCCCTGAGGTATTCCCAAACACTGGGTCCAAACACCTCAATCACCCACTCGGAGAATAAATTCCTGGTCACCCAAGCCTTTGGGTTTGACCGCCACAAAACACAAAGGCGGGTCTTCCTAATTTTTTTGAAAGCTCTGGGGTTTTCTGCGTGGTACACAAGGAGTGGCTTTATTTTGCAGTCACCAGAAGCATTAGCACAAAGAAGGAGGGTAAGCCTGTCTTTCATTGGCTTATGGCCAGGGACAGAAGTTTCCTCCTTGGTAATGTATGTACGGCGAGGCATTTTTTTTCCAAAAAAGTTCAGTTTCATCACAGTTGAATACCTGCTGAGAAACAAAGCCTCCCTCTTTAATAATATTCAAAAAAATGTCATGGTGTTCCTTAGCTGCTTCCTTATCTGCACTAGCAGCATCACCATGTCTCACAACACTATGTATTTTATTTCTCCTTCTGAAACCAGTAAACCACCCCTTGGTACCCCTAAACACTGGCACATCACTATCACTTGCACTGGGAGTCTTGGCTTTAAGGTCCTCAAACAATTGTCTGGCCTTCTTACAAATTATAGCTTCACTAATGCTATCACCTGCCATTTCTTTCTCCTTTATCCACACTAAGAGTAAATTTTCCATCTCCTCAATCACATTACACCTTGCTTTGTTAAGTCTAGAGATTCCCTTAGCCACTTGCACTGTTTTCAACTCCTCTTTATTCTTTAAAATCGTACATATAGTCGATTTAGCCATCCCATACTCATCACTAAGTTTCGCAATGCTTGTTCCATCCTCACGTTTCTTTATGATTTCTTTCTTAGTTTCAAGAGTTATGAGCTTTCTCACTCGCTTTGGATGATTCATTGTCACAATTGTACACTTGTATAACAAAATATTTATACAAATAACTCTATTTCCACATCAAAAGACGAAATTTCAACAATAACATTGGTGCACTGGCTACACAATGAGACAAAGATGGCGCCTGATGCTCTTGTTGTGGGTCGCTGTACAACAATATTCATGCGCCAGGCGAAATAGTCCCGTATTCATCCGCGTTCGTTGTAGGAGTTGCATTCGTTATAGCATTCTCAATTTTATAGGTAAAACCGTTCGTTATAGGAATGTTCGTAGTAGGATCCGTTCGTTATAGCATACCCCACTGCATATAATTGCTGTAGATCATATTATATCAGGTCAGGATTCTACTTTTCCCAGTAAATACATTGGCCATGTTTTTTAATACAGGTACTCATATAAATACAGTCTGTAGTACAAAATATGCAGGCGATTGTATATGATAATTTGTTGAACATATTAATTTTTTGCATTATGTATTGTTTTGTCTTACAAATTAAGATTTTTAATTATTCATGTTCAGTCAAATTCAGATCTTTACAAATTATCCTTACTTGGCAGCACTGATCAGGTAATCATTTTCTTTGATATGAGCAAATCTCTGCTGGCTGTGGTACCTGTTTCATTAACATTTATCTTAAATCTTGGTATACAATACTGTACGATATTGATTTATTTTCTCCCGTCATCTCAGTGGGCTGGTAGGAGCATGATAACCTGGTAAACTTTAATGTCATCACGATACAGGTTGCCATGGGTGATAGTTCATTCTACAATGTGTTTTCACTGGGTCATGTGTTAAAGAGTTTCTCATTCAATCATCAGATGAGATTATCATCCATACTACATAGGGTTAACAATGATGCTTGTTTATGTTAAATATGGGAATACAACTGCAACATTTGGGTAAAATATTTTTGTCAAATCCTGGGGTATATTGGTGCAGTTTCTGGTTAATTAGTGAAATTGTATTAATCTGAAAATTATTGTAAAGAGTAGTTTGTGTTATTAGGTGTTGTAGTTGAGTATAAAATGTTTATTCAATGCAAAAATGATGTAAATTAATAGAAACATAAGTACTGTAGTTGGTAATTGGTAATACATGGTGTGTGGTAATGCATTACAGTACAGGTGTTGTATTTTTCTTACCTGTTTTTTCCTCCACCATGACAGGGCCAATGCTGTGTTTTTGAGTGCCACATACCTCATCCACCAGACCAACCTCATCATGCTGACCGTCAAGGATAAGTGTGAATGAGTATCATACTGTGTGAGGATAAGTAAGAGGGATGCAAGATGTAGTCACTGTGGTGCTTGAAGCTTGCTGCAAACCCTCCTGGAGGTATTTGATCTGTCCCTCACAGTGTAGGAATTCCTGTAGTGTTGGGCAGGTCATTTAAGGAGTCAGGTTGAGATAATTCAGAGAGCAGAGGTGAAGTTGGATGGCTTGGTGTGGGGTGTTTATGCATATGATGGGGTAATGATTATCAAGATTGTGTGTAAGGTGGGATTGCCGAGTGATTTTTACTGATGATGAAATCTACGTACATATTTTTTTGTGTATTGGGCATCGTGTTTTGATGATGGCTAACTGTATAGGGAAATAATGAGGTAATCAGTTAGCCAAAATAGCGTAGCTTTGGGGCAATAGGTGACGATGTAGGTTGAGGCTATAGCACCTTTCACATTGGATTTTAGCCATATGTGCAGCAGTCATAGTAGACTTCTTCATGTCTGCTTTTGGTAATGTAAATTAAGATAAATATTTATTCTTATGCTGAATGGTATAGGACCATACAAGTGTTTTATAATGTGCATATTGTGTACATACCGTCTCTTGTTGATTTACTTGAAGCCTGCAATGGGCAGTACCTGGGTGGCCAAATCTGGCACTGTTTACTCCAATACTTAGTGAGTTTTCACAAAGTTTTGAGCTCACGTGGTTAATGAAGTATGGAGGATATCATATACAGTACAGGTATTGTCGGTGTTTCTTGAAGCATCCTGTTTGGGCTCTACTTATTCTTGGTATTAATTGTTGATATATGTATATTTCCTCACAACCATAAAGTATGATATCAGTATTTATCTTTATTTTTGCCCCATTCACCTCAAGGAAATAGCTGCTAACATCTTAGCACTGAAAAATAAATAACAGCTTGGTCATGAACAAAATCACATGTGATCACAGACATACCCAGGAAGAAAGCTTCTCTTACAAATAATGTAATCAATTTGGTGTAATCAGAGAAGTACACTGTCTGTTTGGAAAGAGTTAGGTCATTGAGAAATATTTTTTGCTTCCAAAAGAAAAAGCATAATTCAAACCTATACAGTACTGCATACTGTACCATATTGTGTATGGGAGATGTGTGGAGATTTGTCAGTGGATAAATTTTTTATTCTGCTTGAACATGTTGAAAGTTATCTGGTAACATAAAGCATTTTCAACATCACTGTTTGTGTACATACAGCTTGTTTCTAAGTTAGAAGTAAATCTTAGTAAATGTAATTTTTGAATTTGTGAGAATTTTTTTTTAATTTTTGAGCATTTAAGTATAATTCTCTGTAATTTTTGATCATGTAAATATAATTTTATGTAGTTCTTTGAATTTACAAGTAACATTTTATGTTATTTATAAATTCTATGAGTTAGGTGTTATTCTTTCTCTCCAAAAAATGGTAAGATACATTTAAATAAGGACATATAGAATGCTAGATTTAGTATGGGAAAAGGAAGGAAGATGGATTGTTGTATAGTTCCTAAAGAGAGGCATATTTCTGGATCTCTGGGGAGGATACTGAAGAGGATACTGTTGTAGTGCAACTCATTAATTTATGCAAGTGAGACACTCCCAATGAATGTCTGTATTAGAGATAATGACCACAGAAGTATTGGTAACACTTTAGGATAAAAGGAGAATAACATATAGACTGTGTGAGACAGGGCCTTATAGGGTGTTTTTATGTACAGTACAGGGATCATGGGGAGTGTCACAGATTCTGCATAACCCTCTGGCAAAAGGGTATAGCATCGGTCCTAAGATGATGCTGTATAGTCTGTTTATATCTTCATTAGATATTAAAAAAACATAGATATATTTTAGAATTATGTAAATGTTAAAGCATGGGTTCTTAAAGAAATATTGGATATTTCTCAGAGGGAATGTTTGACCATACAAGACACACACAAAACACAAATATAACAGAATTACCACTCCATGTAAATGCTTATACAGTACTGTATACAAATTAACATGTACTGTAGTTTGACATACAGTGTACAGTACTGTATTTAGAAAGTTTTCCCATATGTTGATCTCACAGTTCATGCAGATTGATGTATAGCAGTGAACTTAAACAAGAATACAGATGAAACAAACTGTATCTGTTAAAACATTGGAGCTATAGGATTTATATACAATTTTTGTATGTAGAGGTGAGGATAAGAAACTGTCTGTAATGAAAATAATTACTGAAAATATATTGGACCTGTAGAGAGACAAACTGTGGGACCCATTGTGAGGGTATGACAAGTTTACAGGATACATACTGTATATATTGTATGACACTATTAAGTCAAACTTTCAGCTTGACTTTACCTATTGAAGTTGTAGTGTTATTCAGATATCCTCAATTAGCAGGAGTTTAAGGATTTATTCAATTAATTTGGTTATTTCAGCCATTTTTGCATACACAGTTAAGTAAAATACTGTATGTATCACTAGCACTCACAATATGATAGGATAATGACACATATATGTGTATTTTTAAATGTTAACATGAATGACTAAGATTTTGGCAAGTAGATACAACAGTTAAGTTTTGACATGAATGGTAAGTGTTTGTGTTATCAAATGTTACCAAGTTATCACACACTTCTCTCAAGTCTTTTTTGCCTGTTAGTTAAATTTTCAAAAGGTAAAAGAATTATTGTTAACAGCATTTAACATTACAGCATTTTGTATACCTAATAAGTAAAATTCTCAAGTTTGTCACTTTATTAGACCAAAAATAATGATTTAGTGCACACATACTTTCTTGTGATCTTTTATATAGCCCACAGTTCAAGGAAATCTTTTTTAAGTGATGTATAAATTGTTAGAGCAAGGAGAAAATCATGTTATGTATATTTAAAGAGAACATTTCTATATTTTTTAACTTTGGATCGGTAAAAATTCCATGTTTATAGTATAATATTTATTTTTAACTAATGTTTGATAAAATATTGAAAATATTTCAGAATGGCAGTTGATACTTATTGTTGGTTTTATTTAACAGATATTTCATAATTTACTTGACTTTTTAGCTAGAATAATAATTTCTAAGAATTCACTAAAAGAAACCTATTTTTACAACAATCAGATATTGTTGATAATAATCTTAAGTAAGAAGTGCCCCAGTCTGTGAATGTGGAGGTATAAAAGGGTTCAAAGTACTGTAGGTGGGAACAGAATCTAGGGACTAAAGAAAGAGGGAGACATGCAACAAAAGTAGATTTTTGTGGATGCACTTTTTTGGTTACATTTAGTTAGAGTAAAATGCAATTTTTCGATAAGGTACGGATAGGAATGGGCTATTTTAGAAAATGACCAAATGATGATGCCTTTTAGGTGTACGTCATGATTATCAAATACTGCATACAAAGTTCAGAGAGAAAAATAGGCACCTCGGTATACTAAAGGGGCAGTACATGTTGACCCAGCCCTCAGAAGCAAGTGATGCTTCTTGTAATTGTTGATAGTCACTGGTGGAAGAAAAATGTAAGTTCAAGCAGAGAGCTGGCAAACATGTGCCAGGTATGAGTCTCTTGACATTTTTTGGTAAGATAAGAGAGAATCTTTCGTTGGGGCTTGTAGACATTGGTCATATCTTTTGTTTGGACAGTTATTGAGGTAATGAGTGAACCAACATAGGCTATACGTATATAATTTTCTTATCCCCCAAGAGAATCATATTACTGTACTTATGGAGGTAAAGCTTAACGTGACCAGTTTGGATTACCTTGCTTGAAGACCAAACAAATCTTAGTAATCTATCAGGCATCATAGTTTATACACAATGGAGTGTTGATTGAGAGTCTCAAGTGAACACAGGCCTAGTTATGAGTTATAATTGGAGGAAAGTTTATCCTTTATCAGGTTTTGTTTGTTTAGTTGTGGTGGTCTGAAGGTTAGTGAAAACAACTTTTTTTTATAATTTTTTTCCTTTTGCACATATAGTACACTAATGCATGCTCCTTTTTATCAGATGTGTGGCATTCATCCACTTTATTTCACTGTTTGTAAATGTTTTGTTTTAATGTTAATGAAGGTGGCTCTTATCATCACACAGTCTAATGAATATTTGTGTGTATGTCACCAAAATGTCTTAAAAGTTAACTGGATAACTTCGGTGAACCTCCATGTGCTCACAGGGTATTTGCTGAGGACAAATTGCTTGATGCAAATATTTTTTTTTTACATTCTGTTTACTATACAGTACAGTCTCTCCTCGACATATGACATATTCGACTTAAGACAACCCGGACATACGACGGCCATGGTCGTATAAAATATTTTTCACACCCATTTTAGAATTTGTAGTATTATTTTCACCTTTTCGACTTATGACCTGGTCGTTGGAACAGAACCTCGTCGTAAGTCGAGGAGAGACTGTTTACATTTTTGAATAGGTTAATGAAAGTGATTTATATTGAATTCTCTTGCCATATATATAGTATGATTCTCTCGCCTTGTCCCCACTGTAAAGTAGCAGAATGTTGCAATAGTGTCACTGCTTTTCCCAGACAAAAAATACAGAGGTCCTGATACAAGTTTTAAGATAAAAAAAGTGAAAGAGATATTGAGTCATAGGTTGTAGGTGCAGCTGCCAATAGATAACAGAGACTTTTGAGATATAATTTTTCCTTTTGATGACCTTATACTGTTTCTCAGCTATGCTTCTACAGCCACATATTTTAGCCAGCACAATGTTGATCAAGGCTTCAGGTATTTTGATGATGATCTATAATGTGTTACAGTGTGTACATAACATAAGTAATATTGCTTGAAATGAAAAAAAAAATGACCGCTTTTGTGAACCCATGAAAGTTGAACTCTGCACTTAACACTTTTGAAACTACTGTAATAGTAATTCACTGAGACCATTTTTCCTTTAAATATTAACTTATCTATTGCTGACTTTTTGTTTCTGGGCATGTGAAGCAGCAGTGGTGATGGAGAGATAGTTATGGAAGTTGTGCATATTTTATTGTCTTTGGTAAATTCTTTATACACCCCAAGAAGAGGGGTGGGTTGGGGGTGTAATGATAGTTACGGTTTTTTCCTGCCTTGGATACGTATATCCTGTATTTTTGAACATTACATTTTTCTCTTGGGCATATCCCAGAAACAGCTTGACTGATTATAATGCAATTTTGATGTATGATACAAGTTATGAGAGAATGTGCAGACAACCAAATTCAAGTCTAAGTCAAAGGTCATAATTTAAAAACCTTGTTCATATTATAATTCATGTATTGGTATACGTACATATTTTCCGGAAACTCCGAGGAGTATGTATCATCAGTTGGCTGAGTGTACAGAATCAAATGTGTCAAAGATCAGAGTGTTGTGTGAAGCATAACTCTGGTATTTATACAGATATTTTAGCAAGACTTCACTAGACAAAATGCTGATTATTAAATTTATTCTTGGTGTCACAGTTCAAGGGTCACTGTAAGGTCAGGAATTAGTTTGGAGTGTAACACTTGTATTTGATGGAGATATTTTGATGAAACTTCAGAGTAACTATTCTATCAGTAGATTAAGTGAAGAACACAAAATCCAATTGGAAGCCAAAGATCAAGGCTACTGTATAATCTAATAGTCTAAACTTTGTTCAGGTAATAAGTTACAGTTTAGTGATGCAAATATTTTGATGAAAACAAATAATTTGATGAAACTGTACAGGAGTTCATTATATATGATCGCTAGTTAAAATGTAAAGCATCAGATTAAAGTCTCAAACACAAGATAAGGTAACAGGAAGGTCGAAATTCAAAACCATGTCTTGAGGATAACATGTAAAAACATATTTTGCTGAAACTTAACATAACATGTATAATGGGAGATAATGTGCAGAACATCATACAGGGTATTTCAAAGATTAAGTGTAAGGGTGGTAAAAGGTTGAAGCCTCATGTAGAACATAACTTTTGTGCCCTCAGATATACTGTACTGTACTGTAGTTTGATGACGATACAGGAGAATGTTTACTGTCAGTAGACAATGTGTGCAACACTACTGTATATTAATTTTATGTGTCTTAAATTCAAGGTCAGAGCTAAAGGACTACATTAATGCCATTCTTTGCACCTTTTCATTGGAAAAAACTTATGAAAATCGGGAAGTTTATTGTTACGTACTGCGTTGTCTGTCCGTCCGTCCATGTGTGTTTACTTCCGTCCTTCACACTTTTTGTTTGGGTTATAACTTTAGAACTTTTCAAAACAACCCCATGAAACTCTTTACAATTATTAAGGGACATGAGATGATATGTAATGAACAATTCTCAAATCCCTATCTTGAAGTTCAAGGTCATAGGAAGGTTACAGGTCAAACTTCAGGGGGCATCCATCAAATTTTAGCAATTGTTTGGGTAAGAAAATCTGAAGTTAGGTCTATTTGTTTGGACGGTATTGGAAGATTTAAAACTTTAAGGTATTGTTGAGAAGATAATGTAAGAAAGGGTTGTACAAACACTCCATTCTGACTCTAAAAGAAAAACAAATAACAATAGCTACTGAAATTATAAAATTGTGAATGAAGCTAATTGTTGGGAATTGTTGGGATGAAAAGAACAAAGGTAGTAATGTTGGGGTATATGGGTTGAGTAATGCATTACGGTACTGTGAAACAGAAATGAGCAAGAGTAAAATGTTGAAGTTGTAGGTAATGTCAACACATTCATTGATAGAATATTGTTTGACATAGTTTGTATAACTTCTGTAGATGAACTAAAAAGATATTGGATATGGGTGTGATTGAGGGAGAACATTGTTGAAGTGGGTATGGATGAAGGAATTAATTATTGCAGAGATATCTAAGTTTGAAGAAAGTTGTTCTTCCTGGAAAATTACTTGAGTTACAATGGAGATGTAAAGGATAATAGAAGACGTAAAATTTACTATTGTCTGTATTCATTTGTGAGTGCAATAACTTAATGTAATGTATCTTCATTTTTCCATTCCTATATTGGTGAGTCTTTCCCTGACCAAATTAATAGTTGTCCTAAGAAGGTTGTGTATTTTGAAGACCTTTTCTGTACTGTACATGCATTTATAGGGATTGTAGCATAGAACTTGATTCATATTCTGTGATACATGTTGGAGTCATCATTCACAATTGATAGGTAATGATATTGAAGGCATCTCCCAGTTAGTTTGGGATGAATTTAGATTACTGATACTGTAATATGAATTGCACTTTTTCTTAGCTGCCAGACTTTATGGTGACTGACGGTATCACCGTTTATCTGTACTAATAACATGATATCATTAATGGAATAATTTAAAGCATAGTATTATTTTCACTTGAGCTTTTGTCTAGTCTCTATCTGGATATTGGTGTTATGAAAACAAGGTCTTTGAAGTTTTCTAATTTAGTTAATTGATATGAATCTAATGTGTTAAAAAATTAATGACAGAAAAAGAGGTTCATTGAATTGTACGGTTGATTCTAAAATTCCCTCAATCCTTGGGCAACATCTGGCATGTACGGTACTTAAGGCTCATGTATGTGATGTCGGTCGGGAGTTTAACATTAAGACTGATTTTTCTTTGTACTGTATTACAGTATGTTGTTCCGACATGTTTTACAATGAATAGGAACATTGACCAGCTATAAACTGATGACACACAATCCACAAGTAGATCTCAGATACTGTCAAGTGTTGAGGGACTATTGGAAGTGACTGTACATATTGTGCTGGAACTTTCCTCACAAAGATCAAAGAACTACAACAGAAGAGTCCTGGAATTACAATGGCTATTTTGTCAGTGCCCATCAAATTGTACTGCTGAGGTTAGAAATAACAGACAAATATTTCCTTAAGAATTATTTATGAACTAGAGAAATAGATTCATGATACGTAGCTGTTGTGTGACATGTTTACTCTTAAGTCTTCTTGTCCTCCTGCGACATGCAATTTATTGTTTTTTAATGTGTAGAACTCAACTCTTACTGATTACTGGTGTAATATTTCATATGTTGTCACTGTTAATCTCTGAAGATGGATTATGATACACTATGGATTAATTTTTGTATTGACTTCTGTTCACCAGATGTGGGAAGTGGCTTAATAGGTGTACATTTACTTTAATACAAGTTTTGAATGTTCTTTATGGTAATACCATAAATGTATTTTTTGTTTTTGTTTTTGGATGGTAGTCGTAGACCAAGAGAGAAATTAGATATTGAGTTGAATTTCTATGAGAGAAATGTGATGGTGTATGTTACAGTAGTTATGATATCATGTTTAAATGTTACCAAGAAGTAAGGTGAGCATTCTGTGATGATTCAGCCACAACATTGTCTATTGTTATTGGAAACATTGTGAGACTGTGGCTGCTTTTGGTGATGTTTAGTACCTGCCCTAATATCTTCATATGATTTAAGTCTTTTTTGGTCTGTGTATTGTCAATGGCAGAACTAGCTATACTAAAATGTCATGTTGACATTATTATACATGAGTAATCAGATGAGTCATGACTGATCCTTTGTTGTGTAAGTACCTGTGAGGGTGGACCCAAAGACGGTGTTGCATGTGAGAGATCCTGCATAGTAAACTGTATTCAACAACCCATATTAAATGATAACAGGGGTTACTTCATAGATAGGAAAATATGGCATCCTGTTAAGTTGGATTTGCACTGTGAGTGACTCTTAAAACTTTGACTTCTCCAGCAACATTAATTAGTGATGTCAGACTGGGAACTGTGCTGTACTTTGCCTTCTTCCCTTGGGGATATACTATGTAAGCCAATAAAGGTGTAATTGATTTTTAATGGTAACAGAGTATGTTAAGGGTTGTACTTGCTGAACAATGCTGCTCAGGTGTAGAGTAAGCTATTGAGACATGATCACTGTTTTGTTTGATAACAATGTTCGACAAGATGTGATCTCTATTTTGCTTGACAAAGTTCTTCAGGTACAAAGAAAGTAATGAAAGACTTTTAATAAATATTTTGTTGTATAATGCTATTGAGGAAGATTTGCGATCACTATTTTGCTTGTCGATGCTTTTGTGCCACCAAGGCAACCATGGATAATATAGTCACTATTTTGATTGATACTGCTTTTGGGTGTAAGGAGCCGCCATGGAAGACTTATGAAGAGCTCTGATTGATAATACTATTCAAGTGTAGGTAATTCATGACAAGTTAAATCTTTATTTCCAAGTTTTTCCTCATGAAAAATCAAAGAGATGTTCAAAGATAATAAATTCCAGAAATAGAACACATGCTTTGTCAGTATTTTAATATTACTATTTTGTCACATTGACTCATTCACTGGGTCAGGAATATTCTGTATCTTTTTATGTATATAGATGAAACTGACCAATAAAAGAATCATTGCCTCCTATATTTAACTTCCTACACCTTAAACTTTCCCCTTTGTGTTAACATTGTATTTTTGATGCTGTTTAAGGGAGCCGCTGTAGATGTACTGTAAAAGAACCATTGCTTTTTTTTATCCCTTCCTATACCATGTACAATACAGTACTAGTGATGAAATTTCAGGGAGTTACAGTGTACATCACATATCATTGTTGGGGCCTTGGAAAGAGGTGCTTCAAGGATTTGTCACAGCTTTTCATGCCATCTTTGTAAGTTTCAGTTAAGCTTTTACCAATTGGAAGAGGAGGCAGGGATGTTTGAGCACCCTCAGAATACTGTACCCACTAAATATGTCACTTTCTTGTGGTTAGAAGTGATGCTTATGATATGTGATAAATGAATTATTGTACATGTTATGTTGTGTACAGCAAATGTCAGGTGTGTATGCCAGAGAATGGTTGGCAAGATATATGTTGTTGTAAGATCATCATGAGCAGGACTTCTTAGTCATATAATTTTCAGACAGTGAAAGTATGTACTATAGGCCTGACAGTCTGGGTAATGTGGATACAGCACACTTCAGGCTAACCATTTTTTGGTATATAAGGGGGCAGTGTGGTTGGCACTGTACTTGATCACCTTTATTTCCCCATCTGTAAAGTTAGGTACCTATTCAGAGCTGAATCAGCTGGAGGTACCCTGGGTGTATACCCCACACCATCTGGATTAGGATAGATTGCTTGGGTTTTGTTTAGTTTGGTTTTGGGTTAGGTTAATTTAGATTCTGTGGGGTTAAGTTGCATAATGTGGGTTTGGTTAGTTTTATTGTTTGGGTTAGATTAAGCTAGGTTTGGTCACTACTGTAGGTCGGTCAGATAAAAAAAAATCACCGATTGTGCATCCCCAAACACTATTATCTTCAACACATCTTCATTGGAAAATTACTTCAGTAGTTGGTGAAATGAAGTTTAGCAATTGGTACTTGTTAACCTCTTAATGTGCTCTTGACATAACCTCAAGATCAAAAGACAGCGTTGTTACACCCGAGTTTACCCAAAGCTGATAAACAGTCGAGATTGATCAAATATGCGCCAGTCCTAATCTAATTTAATCATTAGTAACCATTAGTATTGGGGCTGCACTAATAGGCCCCAACCTTGCCCAAACCATTAAGAGGACTAGAGTCTAATCTTAATGCGCCCACGGTACTAATGACGGTTAGGTATGAACGTTTGAGTGGGCCTCTTCTTCCTTTTCGGTACTTGTGGTCGAGAGCTACGAGGAATTAATTAAAAATGATAATTATATTTAAAAAGTAAAATTGCCATAAGTACATGTTTACAATTGGATAAGCATGTTTAAAAACTACAGTGCAGTATGCAGTTGTACAGTTCAACTCGTGTACAGTGCACGTAGGTTATAATTAATAATTATGGGAGGACAGATATTGTATACTGTACAGTTTCCTGTGTCCTGAGACTGCAGGTAAACAAAATGGTAAAAAAAAATTATAATATTATATATATATATATATATATATATATATATATATATATATATATATATATATATATATATATATATATATATAAGGCAATGTGATCAATGATAGTCGACAAAGCTGTCAGGTATTTCCAGGAGGGTACTGAAATCTAGTCATAAATTTACTGTTTATTATTATTTATTAATTACAAATAAAACATACATTGTGGAGGTGTTTGGAGTCAAAAGAATCACTCTTACGATGGAAAAAGGATAATGATAAAAGATAAAGGCGCGAGTAAATACAGTCATGGAATGGAGTGAAATGGATGAATTAAATGTTGGTATAGGTCAAGTGAAACCCCAAAATATACCGGATAATACAGTACGTATATGGTGTAATAATAATAATAATATACAATAGTAATACTGTATCTGTAATAATAATAATAATGATACAATCGTGATACTGTACCTGCAATAAAATAATAATTATAATAATAAAATAATAATAATGTTTCAAACAACCACAAAGCAGCTTAATGTAGCCATGTTTACTGGCGGCAGTCATCACTGGTCAGGAGTCCGAGTGGAAGGTTGCACTCTGTTGAACAAATTTGACATTTTAAGGCGACGATGCAGTTGAACATTTTATCCATTTAGTAATGAACATTTATTCACAGTGAGTACGATGAATATTTTAAATGAATACCAGGAGTCCAATATTTATTTATTAGCGGTGAAATTGTAGTTAAGAGGTGAAACGCGATGGTCAAGACGTGGAAACTACATCTGCCAAGAAATACTCAAACTCACATTCCTCGTAACCTTTGGAGGATTATAAAAAGGAATTCAGTAATTAACTACATATTAATATCTCGTACCTATTTAAGTGTTGGAAGTACGGAATTACATTACGCTCTTGCTTTCGTATTATGGTCGTGAGTTGTTCATTGGGGTTTGAGTACAGGACATATTTCGATATTTTTGTTGTTGCTAACTATAATTTCAGACAAAAACAAAACAATTTTCATCTATGACACTTTTGGCGCATTTTACCCATAACCGAGTTATTAGGAGTTGAAAATCAGAAAACGAGAAAACTTGTAACTTAGCAGTGCTAAGGTTGTAGTGGTGTAGTGGATTTCTCCCCTACAAACGCTGTTTGTCGCTGAGTAGCCGACCCCGCGAATTCCCCAGTGTATGTCTCGTGGTCTAGGTCAACCAGCGCCGCCATACATCACGGAGGTCAACTATTAAGCCACGCCTACCTCCGCTATAGAAGACCTGACCTCGTGGTGACCTACCTCTCTTTCTACCTACAGCCAGTCTTCAAGTAACACCTCCTCCTCCGCTCCTGCCTGGGGGCCCTCGCTCCCGCCAGCAAGCATGGTGACCCACAAGCTGGTCCTCGGAGCATCCTCACCAACCAGCTCGCTCTACATCACGCTTGCAACCACGCTGCCACTTCCCAGCACCAAGCTGCACTGTACATCCAATACAATATGTATACAGAGAGCACATTGTGAGTTTTCTTTCTCCATCCCATCCTGAGTGTGAACCAACATCTCGTACCCCACAAGGTATTATTGCATTTGTTGCCACCAACCGAATCTCAGGGTTTTTTTGTTGCAAGACAATTCTCTTTTTGACGCTTCCCTCGCAAACGACCTAGAACCGATATATTTAATATGCCGGAGGTTAGATAGGTTTGATTGGTTAGGCTAACTAAATTAGTATTACATGGTTGGTATTGTAGTGGATACTCTTCCCTACAACTGCTGGTTGATCACTTGCCGTCCGCTTACCAGCGAGGTCCGAATGTGATGGGCCTCACTTTTGGACTGCGCGGCATATTAAATACAGAATCTGTTACGAGAAAAAGCGCCAAAAGTGTCATAGATGATAATCGTCTTGCTTTTGTCTGGACATAATATTAGCAACATCAATAAAAAATAAAAATCGAATTATGTCCTGTATCATAAATTGACCGTTCAATGGTTTGTAATGAAACTAATTAATTGTTAGCATATTTGATTCCTTATTTTATTTGGCTCATACAGTTTAACAACTTAAAAAAATATACTCATAAGTTACAATATTTTTAACAATGTATAGTTACCGTATAGGTAATCTTGTAAATTAATGAGCGTAAAGCCACGAGTGCCGTTGTTGACATTCGGCGAGATGGGAACTTAGTGCCAGACTCCAAGGTAGCAGCATTGTATAAGTTATCGTTCATAAATGAACCAAACTAACCTATCTAATCTAAAGTTATGTACATAAACTTGAGCTTCTTTTCATCAATATTATATGATTTAGGTTAGTTTATTTTATGAACGATAAATTATACACTAGCTGTATCTACTATGTATACCTTGGTATCAGGTATTTCAGAAAGTTCTCAGTCTCGCCAAATGTCAACAACAGTACTCTTGATTTTACGCTCAATAATTACAAGATTTTTTTTACTGGGTATAAAGTCAAATATTCATGTCCTTGCTCAGTGATATACTGTACATGTCACGATATCAGCGGAAGATTTGCAAGCACATGAATTTGCACTGAGAAAAATATCAACTGTACTTACAATATGTTCAGAAAGATGCATTTTTAAAACAATATTAAAACTACACGTTGTAATAATTATAATGGGGTATAAAAGATTGTTATTGCAAATAGAGGAAGACATCAAAATATCGATATATCAAGACGTACTGTAGGTATTTCAAACGATGACTTGCCACACAAACAAACCGCCAGCATTTCTAGGGTTAATTGCACGAGTCCTATTTCTACTCGTGTAAGATCCATAAACAACAGAGAATGAGTTCATTTCTGTGTTGATTAGTTCACTTTGATATTTTACTTGTACCGGTAGTAAATGCAGTTTGATAACCCCAGGAAAGCAGGAAATTGGCAGACAAAAACAAAATGTAGGTAACATTTATAAAATGCTAAACAACAACCTTTTCATTACAACCTCGTGGAGGTTGTGTAATAGATGAATATAAAAGTACAGAAAAATGCACCAGAAATGTTACATACCTGTACATGGCAACTTTTACTTATATTTGAAAGTTCAATATTTTCACTGGTAATTGGCGATACAGGGGTGGATCCAGGAATATCAAGAGAGAGGACCCAAGAAGTTGTAGGTGGGGGAACATGGCGAGCACAGCGAGCCCACCCAGCCGTATGAGGTTTTTGGGGAGCGCTGTAAGTCACTCCAGAATTTTTTTGAAATCTGACCAATATCATGGGCATTTTGAGACAATTTTGAAACCATGTGCATTTGATATTAGGAGATATTTTGGTCAATAGTAATTACATTTTACTATACAAAAACGCCTGAGCACAATACTGCATTAAAGAAAAAGTATTGGAATTTTCTGATGAAAAGGGGGGGGGGGGGTATCCGGACACCCAAAACCCCCCCTGGATCAGCCTCTGGGATATGATTGCCGCTGGCAGCTGAAACTGTTTTAATGCAACGCTACTAGTAATACCATAAAGGTATTTATCTAATGCAGGCCGCCTAGCTGCAATAGAGAAATTGGTACAGGGTATAAGAACTAGGGCGAGGCTATCAACTTTGTTCAACAACACCACCAACAAAAACTACTGCTTACTTCACCTAGCAACCTGACCTAAGTTATTGGATAATATCGAGACTAGAATTAGATTAGTTTGTCCAGGTTAGGAGGTTTCCGTTATATGAGACGCACAGTACTGTACTATACTACCAATCAGTTAAATTTGCGGATGTCATCTTGAGAAACTGATTATTCAAGTTATTTTATTATTTTAGCTATGTATATTTGAGTGTTCTTTAAGCGATACACACCCAAGTCGGTGAGTTTTAAGAAAGAATATTTTTTTTACTATTGATAAGCTAGATGGATCTCATTTTTTGTATTGTTGATGACTATCGTATTTTCTAATCTAGAATTCGCTCAGTTGTTGAAGCTCGTTAAAATATTATAACAAACATCTAGAATTATAGATGGATCATAGACAAAAATTCCCAATATAGAAGAGTGAAATACATAAAATCCTACTCATTTCAAATTTCCACAAAACCAGATATATTATTAATGGTTTAACATGATTAAGTTAGAGTTTGTCTTAAAACAAATTAGGACCACAACAATTGCAGGTATCAGCTAGGCTAGGATGACCAGGCATCCTGATTTTCAACGGTCTGTTTGGCCTCCGTCACGTGGGTAGGACGATTAAAAAAAAAAAGTTCTTCATAAAATATAAAGTGTTGCGGCAGCCCGAAAGTGGTGGCCCACTTCGGCAGCTTTTGTCGTGCTTCTACTGTATATTCTGTTTACCACGCAGACTCCCAGAGCGTACAGTATTTGAATTTTGGACCTGTACAAGTTAGCATTATGCCTTTGACATTTTAGATGAAAGTCCCTAAGAGTTAAGACACTTCACGTTATTGAGTACTTAATGCTCAAGCTGGAGCTGCCCACTGAGAAAAATTTCAGGCTCAGTTCTTTCCAAACAGTTAAGACAGTTACTACGAGTGACAGTTTAGTGTACTCTGCCACCGTTACCAAAAGTGGCTTACTGACTCCCATTACTAGCGGCATGGTTCTCTCCACCACTGTCTCCCTTGTCTTGGCACTGGCAGCCACCACTACCACTACTGGGTGACTGGTACTGTCCACCACTACTAACAGCAGTGGGAGCTTGGTACTGTCCATTATCACCACCAGCAGTGGGTGGCTGGTACTGTCCACCATCACTACCACCAGAGGATGTTTGGTACTGTTCACTACAATTAGAACCAGTGAGGACTTGGTGCTGTCCACTTTCACTACCACCAGTGGGTGACCGGTACTGTCTACCACCACTACTACCAGTGTGTGGCTGGTACGGTCTTTTACCACTACCACCGTTGGGTGCCTGGTACTGTCTACCACCATTACCACTAGTTGGTGCCTGGTACTGTCCACCACTACCTGCAGTGGGTGCTTGGTACCGTCCACCACCATTACCACCAGTGGGTACCTGGTACTGTCCGCCACCACTACCACCAGTTGGTGCCTGGTACTGTCCATCAGTGGGTGCCTGATACTGTCCACCACTATCACCAGTAGATACCTGGTACTTTCCACCATCACTACCACCAGTGGGTCTTTGGCACTTCCAATCGCCACTACCAACAGCGATTGACTGGTACTGTTCACCACCAGGATGCCTGGTACCGTCCACCGCCGCGGGTGCGTCTGGCACTGTCCATTACCACCAGTAAGTGCCTGGCACTTTCCTCCGTCACTACCTCCAATTGGTGCCCTCGTACTTCTCCACCACCAGCAGGTGCCTGGTACTTTCCTCCGTCACTACCTCCAATTGGTGCCTCGTACTTCCACCACCAGTAGGTGCCTGGTACTGTCCACCACCAGTGGATGACTGGTACCGTCCATCACCACTGCCACCACACGGGTGCCTGGTACTGACCGTAACTACCAGTGGATGCCTGGTACTGTCCATCACCACTGCCACCAGTGGGCGTCTGGCACCGTCCACCACCAGTGGGTGCCTGGTACCGTCCACCACCAGTGGATGACTGGTACCGTCCATCACCACTTCGCCACCAGTGGGTGCCTGGTACTGTCCACCACCAGGCTCTGGTACTGTCCACCACCAGTGGACGACTGGTACTGTCCATCACCACTGCCACCAGTGGGTGCCTGGTACTGTCCAATCACCAGTGGGTGCCTGGTACTGTCCACCACCAGTGATGACTGGTACCGTCCATCACCACTGCCACCACCAGTGGGTGCCTGGTACTGTCCACCACCAGTGGATGACTGCGCCGTCCATCACCACCGCCACCAGTGGGTGCCTGGTACTGTCCACCACCAGTGGATGCCTGGTACTGTCCACCACCAGTGGATGACTGGTACTGTCTCATCACCACCGCCACCAGTGGGTGCCGGTACCGTCCACCACTACCACCAGTGGATGCCTGGTACTGTCCACCAGTGGATGCCTGGTACTGTCCACCAGTGATGCATGGTACTGTCCACCACCACTACCACCAGTGGGTGCATGGTACTGTCCATCAGCACTACCACCAGTGGGTGTCTGGTACTGTCCATCAGCACTGCCACCAGTGGGTGCATGGTACTGTCCACTACCACTACCACCAGTGGATGCTTGGTACTGTCCATCACCACTGCCACCAGTGGGTGCCTGGTACTGTCCACCACCACTAGCACCAGTGGCTGCATGGTACTGTCCATCACCACTACCACCAGTGGATGCTTGGTACTGTCCTCCACCACCAGCACCAGTGGGTGCCTGGTACTGTCCACCACCACTGCCACCAGTGGGTGTCTGGTACTGTCCTCACCACACCACCAGTGGATGCTTGGCTGTCTCCACCACCAGCACCAGTGGGTGCCTGGTACTGTCCACCACCTGCCACCAGTGGGTGTCTGGTGCTGTCACCACCACACCACCAGTGGGTGCATGGTACTGTCCACCACCACTACCACCAGTTGGTGCATGGTACTGTCCATCACTACTGCCACCATTGGGTGCATGTTACTGTCCACCACCACACCACCAGTGGATGCTTGGTACTGTCCTCCACCACCAGCACCAGTGGGTGCCTGGTACTATCCTACCACACCCACCAGTGGGTGCATGGTACTGTCCACCACCACTACCACCAGTGGGTGCATGGTACTGTCCATCAGCACTACCACCAGTGGGTGTCTGGTACTGTCCATCAGCACTGCCACCAGTGGGTGCATGGTACTGTCCACTACCACTACCACCAGTGGATGCTTGGTACTGTCCATCACCACTGCCACCAGTGGGTGCCTGGTACTGTCCACCACCACTAGCACCAGTGGCTGCATGGTACTGTCCATCACCACTACCACCAGTGGATGCTTGGTACTGTCCTCCACCACCAGCACCAGTGGGTGCCTGGTACTGTCCACCACCACTGCCACCAGTGGGTGTCTGGTACTGTCCACCACCACTACCACCAGTGGGTGCATGGTACTGTCCACCACCACTACCACCAGTTGGTGCATGGTACTGTCCATCACTACTGCCACCAGTGGGTGCATGGTACTGTCCATCACCACTACTACCAGTGGGTGCATGGTGCTGTCCACCACCACTACCGCAGTGGGTGCATGGTACTGTCCACCACCACTATCACCATTTGGTGCCTGGTACTGTCCACCACCACACCACCAGTGGATGCCTGGTACTGTCCACCACCACTATGCCATTTTGGTGCCTGGTACTGTCCACCACCACTACCACCAGTGGATGCCTGGTACGTCCATCAGTGGATGCCTGGTACTGTCCACCAGTGGATGCCTGGTACTGTCACCACCACTAGCACCAGTGGGCGCTTGGTTGTTCACCACCACTACCACCAGTGGATGCCTGGTACTGTCCATCAGTGGATGCCTGGTACTGTCCACCAGTGGATGCCTGGTACTGTCCACCACCACTATCACCAATGGATGCCTGGTACTGTCCACTACCACTATCACCATTTGGTGCCTGGTACTGTCCACCACCACTATCACCATTTGGTGCCTGGTACTGTCTACCACCACTACCACCAGTGGATGCCTGGTACTGTCCACCAGTGGATGCCTGGTACTGTCCACCAGTGGATGCATGGTTCTGTCCACCACCACTACCACCAGTGGGTGCCTGGTACTGTCCACCAGTGGATGCCTGGTACTGTCCACCAGTGGATGCCTGGTACTGTCCACCACTGTACTACCACCAGTGGTACTGGTACTGCCTGGTAGTACCTGTCTACCCTACCACTACCTGAACCAGTCTGCTCTGACCTGCCTGGCTACTGTGCCGACTCAGTTGGACTCCCGCCTGCCTGTGTAGACCATCGTTCCATGCCAAGTGGCCATGACCCCTGGTACCTGGTCCACCAGTGGTTTTATGAGACACGTGGTAATCGTTGCTTACCACCTTACCCATCTACCGACCAGTGACAAAACTTTTGACGTGCCCTTTTGTTGTTCATATCTTGCCAAGACATTGGAAGCATAATGTGTTGTCTAATGGTAGACCCTGCTGCCATATGACATCAAAAAAATTGTGACCAAGTCCCAGGTTGCTGATCTGACTTTCTGCCTCATTTACACACAATTGCAGGGTCTCAATTGTTTATCTTATTTTGACAACACAACTTATATCTATCGTTTATCACTATTGGTTTGTTTGCTTTTTAATCTTGCATTTATTTATGGTTCTTTGTTATTATTATTATATTATATATTTTTATTATTATTATTATTATTATTATTATATATATATATATATATATATATATATATATATATATATATATATATATATATATATATATATATATATATATATATATATATATATATATTCGCCCCAGGCCCTGATGTGGGTCATTGACCTGTGCTTGGTGGGCTAATCCCCAAAACACACACAAAACACACACACAACACACACACACACACACACACACACACACACACACACACACACACACACACACCACAGGTTCCAGAAACAGTGTCATGCCAACTTTGGACTCCCGTCACGTTCACTTAAGAGAGAGAGAGTATAAGTAAGTGAGTTAAACACCAATAAAATGGTTTAGCTGACGAAGACTTGGCGATGGCTGGGTGTGGTGGTTTGTAGTTGAAGACGCTTTATTTTAAATCGAAAAAAAAAAATGACTGAAAAGGATAGTTGAGGTGATGTTAAAATATATATCGAAGACATGATTTAACACAACACAAACAAATTTAACAGATTATTGGTTACGTTAAATAAAGAGAGAGAGATCACGTATCTTAGTTTGTTTAGTTGTAATTAATGTCGTTTGTTTAGTTGTAATTAATGTCATTTGTACATTTCTAAAAAAATAATCACGTTTTTTCCCCATAATTGTTCACTTTTACTGGACGACGAAAGTACATTTTAATATAACACACACACACACACACGTAATTCTGATAAAAATATGACTTAGAAGTCTTCTATAAAGGTGCGGGTGAAAGTTTCGTTACACAACACTGAACATATTTTGTTAGGCGAACACTGATGATCGAATATCTCTCACCCACAGCCTCACGCTTGAATGACTCGGAGCATCAGCTGGATTCTGGAACGTGTTAGGGAATGTCACCGTGATCCTCTGTTTATTCCCCAGGTAAATGTCTTCTTTGATTTTATGAAGAGAAGATAAACTATAGCTTGGGGTACAGCTGTTTGGATAAGTTAGCCTCCACTAGGTGAAAATTATATATATATATATATATATATATATATATATATATATATATATATATATATATATATATATATATATATATATATATATAAGTACCACCTAGTGGAGACTAACATCAAACAACTCAGTTATCTTCTTCTTCATACTCTCTATATATATATATATAACATATATATATATATATATATATATATATATATTTTTTTTTTTTTTACGGGGATTAGCCCAAGGTGGGTAGGTAGATACCTACCTTGGATTAGCCCACCGGGGCACAGGTCACTAACCCACATCAGGGCCTGGGGGGGGGCGAAAATGTAATAATAATAATAATAATAATAATAATAATAATAATAATAATAATAATAATAATAATAATAATGATAATAAAGAAATAGAAAAAATGAAAAAAAGATAAAAATTGAGAAACAATATACTGTATGTACTGTATGTTGTGTTGTCAATAGTAAGTGAAACAATTGAGACCCTGCAATTGTGTGTAAATGAGGCAGAAAGTCAGATCAGCAACCTGGGACTTGGTACAAAATTTTGTGATGCCATGTGGCAGCAGGGTCTACCATAGACAACACATTATGCTGTCAATATCTTCCCAGGCGGTAGTACCTCCCTGTTTGGTAGCTGCCTACAGGTGATGGACTTTGAACGTACAATACTGTACCAATACTTGTTCTTATAATGTCTCTATATTCAATAACTTTGTGTTAAGTTTCTTAGTATATGGCAATTTTTTTAATTAAGTTGTTATTATTGCTGGTGCTATTATTATTATTATTATTATTATTATTATTATTATTATTGTTATTATTATTATTATTGTTATTATTATTATTATTATTATTATTATTATTATTATTATTATTATTATTATTATTATTATTATTATTATTATTATTATTATTATTATTACTACTACTACTACTACTACTACTACTACTACGTGGCCTCCAGCCTCCCCCAATAGCCACACCTTCGCCACCATTTATTTACCTTAATATTAAATATCCTAATACATAAGCAACTATCCTATCTGTGTTAAATTAGTTGAGCCGCAGATCGATGCGGCATTCGGTGACTGTAGCCTCATAGTCGATATCTGCAGCAGTTGACGGAGTAGGGGCAGAAGCTCTCGTTCCCCTGAGGCAGAGCAAAGCCGACCGAAGGAGAGAGAAGGACAGTCGACATCTCATCCAGGCTGTGACATAACTTCTGGGCTGCTGCTTCTGTTCGGAGATCAGCTCCGCGAGTCTGGCGTAGAAACATCTTGCGCTTGGGCCCATCCCACCAGAGGTTGTGAACACTAGCGGAGTGAAGCTGCCTTGATCGACATTTTGAATTCTCTCCCCATATGCCCTTCTCTTGTCGTTCTCGTTCCTCCTATGTGCAGCATCGAGAGCTAGGTTACGGTGACAAACGGCCATGGGATCAAAAATCCTGATGTCGAAGAAGGCTCGCTGTCCCCGCGTCCAGAATCCTCGAGCACTGACGTCCACACGGGCTTCGTTAGATGTGTTTGAAGTCCTGTGTTGGAGGATCTCGCCATCCAGTGGAAGGAGGGTCGGTTCTACCATGACGTCCCGGCAGGTTTCCTTCAACATATTTGCTGTGAGATCCCTTACCTCGTCATGCCTCATGCATATGAAGCCCCCCTTCTTGCAAACCATGGCGTGATCGCCATCATAGGAATAGCCACACACGCATTGGGAGGGCAAACCATCTACTGGCCAACCGTACCTTAGAGCAATGGCATCTGTAAATTCTTGTTTGTTAAGGCTGAAACCATTTGCCCTTATCGGTAACGTAGTTAACCAGTTCGAGGCGCCCACCTCCTGCGCTATAGCTACTTTTTTTGTCAAATTTTCTGGAACCTGCAGCAATAGTTGCTGCAACATGTCATTTTGGCAGTGCTGCCGATCTGTTGTAATGGATCTACGGATCTTATTAACTTCGCTGGTGTCCACTTCCCCTGTTGCATTCTGGGCTATTATGTGGTCAGTGAGGGCTGCCGTGAGCTTAAGTGAATTTTGATGTTCAGAGTCTACTACTACTACTACTACTACTACTATTATTACTTTATTTTATTTTTATTATTTTTTCCTACTATTATTACTGCTACTACTACCGTACTACTACTACTATTTTTATTTTTATTTATTTTTTATTTTGTTAGAATGGCCTCCAGCCTCCCCCAATAGCCATACCTTCGCCACCATTTTATTACCTTAATATTAAATATCCTAATACATAAGTAGCTATCCTAGCTGTGTTGAGTTAGTTGAGTGCGCAGATCTACTACTACAGTACAGTATTATTATTATTATTATTATTATTATTATTATTATTATTATTATTATTATTATTATTAGATCGAACATGTCGGGATTTTACAGTAAAAACACAAAAAACAAGAAATTTAGTAACGTAAGTTCATCTATCCCAAGCTAACAATCACATAGTCATTAAAATTCTGCCTTGGGGGGGGAGGGGGGGGGGTGGGGTGGGGTGGGGTGGGTAATGATGTGGATTAGCCATTCCTCACCTCTCATCTAATTGAAAATGTTAAATAAAACATGTCAAAAGTATTTTTTTTTCATGACTCCACTGTTTCTGGCAGTGGAAGATAGTAATTGTCCGTCTGTCTGTAAATTTTTAGTTGCGTTTGGTAATATTAGCTTAGGTTCTGTTAATGTGATGAATGTATTTATGTTAAGCTTGGGCTAAGTTAGGTAAGGTCTGTAAAGTAATTTAGTGGTACCTTATCAACCTAACCTTCAGCCTAGCAACACTGTATCAAGACACTTGTACACCCAACATCAACAAAGGGCGGCATTTTGATAACATTTGGCAAAACAAACTTTCGGAACTTTGGTGTATAGTTCATTGTGCTTCCAAATAAATAAACCATTTATATCGACAGATTCGTTGATGCCGACAGACGTTACCTTGGTTATGACTCAAAGTGGCTGCCGTCAGTTTCAACGGGGCTCGACCAGTCAACATTGCTCAGCTCAGTGACCTGCATGCGGCCCACCTAAGTTCATTACCGGGATCACACAAGGAGTAGCCAGTGCGGAGTGACGAAATTTTATAAGTACGGTAAGTTCATTTACTGTACATCTCTAAGTAGATCTGGCATACTTCAGTAGACTGTCAAGCGGTTTGATTGATTAATTATTGTAATTTTTAAAAATAAAAAATTCCGGATTTTTGTAGTACAGTATTTTACGACCAGTGTGGACGCTTATTTTACAGACGCAGCTACATAATTATATTACAACAATGTTCTTAAACTTATGTGATAACCAAAATATTATGTAATATTCCCATGACATATTGTATACATCAAGACGTGTGTTGGAGCTCTGTCCATGAGTAATGATGTTACAACTCAGTATAGATGATGTACGAGTGCATCTTGTGTGAGAGATTACATCATGACTGTGTGAACGTGAGGTGAACCTGGTGCTGAAGACCCGTGAGTTGACATGTGTGCACGTCTGTTGTGTTCCATTAGGTGAGAACGTCATCACCAGTGTATGAGATATTGCCAGGAATGATACGGTACCGGGTGGCTTATTATTTTAGACGTTGGACTTACAACACTGCCTTCTGATATTCATTTACTGAATAGAAAGACAAAAATGTGGGATGTGTAAATGTAGGTGGAAGCAGAGTGATAAGGAGAGAGTGACAGAAAATACGATGAGTGAAAGGAACCAGGATGTTGTGAAGGGCAGAGGAGAGGTGATCCGAGAACAAGTGAAAGGAGTAAAGCCGGGAGTGTGAGCTGCAGTGTGACGGTGATGACGAGTGATGAAGTGTGAAGGTGTGTGACAATATCAAGGGAGGGTCACTCTTATAAATAAACTAGAAAGAGAAGGTGGAGTTATAGTTCGTGCTAGAGGATGAGAAGTGCAAGGAGACAAGAGAGAGAGAGAGAGAGAGAGAGAGAGAGGGGGGGGGGGACCTTAATAGCTGTTAGTGCGAGGAGCGATGGACTGATTGTGTGACCATTACTGGGTAGAAGTGAGATTAATGGTGAGTGGAAGGTTCACGCTGTAAGAGATTTAAAGACTTAAGAAGAAGGTTATGGAGGTCGATGAGCCGAAGTAAGAGATGTCGCAGAAAGATTTAATGAAGTGATTTAGACAGTGTGAAAGTAACAGTGGGACCTATAAGCATGGTGACCTGTGAGGGACTGTCGATAAAATCTTTATTATGGAAGGAAGCAGTGTGGCTGACTGCACTCGACCATCTTCACTGTCCACCTTTGAAGATACCTCAGGATAGAACAGAAGAGAAGCGCTGTATTCACCCGGCCGCAGCACATAGTAGATGAGAGAGAAGGCCATGGTGGAGTGGTGAGAGAATGGTTGACAACAGTGAACAGGCTGCGTGTAACAGAGTGGAGGGTAGCAAAGGACTGACAGAGAGTTTGTGAAGAGGAAAAGATGATAAAAATGAATGTTCCGAACAGCAATATTATAATAATTTATCGGGTTTCTCCAGATTCAGGAGGAACATTATGCAGTACACAGTCATATAAGATGATCAGTTTGGTGTGTTCTCTCTTGTTGTTGATGGTGTGTTTGAAGTGATTCTGGAGGGAAAGTGAAGAGAATGTTGTAGTGACAAGTGTGTCCCTTCACTGTTGTCATCCCCCCTCCCATCCTCGAGACCCAACAAATGGGTTCAGAATTATCTTCTCGGGTTGAGTTTGTTGTCCATCTCGCCACCACATGATTACCTGATGGCATGGTGTCCCGGTTGCCATCAGACAAATTTGGAGCAAGTTTTACGGCTGGTTGCCCTTACTTATCGTAAACCCACTTCATACAGAGTGGGTAGTGGGCATTAGTGTATGACTCCCAAGCGCCCCCTTAGCTAGTAGCAAGGTAGGGTCGCTTCTCCCTGAGGTGAACAGAAACTTCCTTATGCTCATAATTGTTATACCAGTTGTATGGGGTATAGTTAAATACATTCATTAGTTGTTTTACCTTTCCTGTTCATTGACCAAATTTCCGGTGCTGTCACTTGTCTTTTACTTATTCAGGTAGTGGTTAAGACTTCAGGCCTTAGAACAGGAGGGAAATTCTAAGGTCTTAACCAAAGGCGGCGTGTATGTGGAGATAGATCGCTCAAGTTTATCCTGGTACAGTGATGCTCTGACAGCTTTAATACTGCGAAGTGCTGGTGATAGTCCGAGTATTACACTACATTGTCCCTACATCGGTGATTACAAAGTGTCACAATGGGATATTATAATGTATCACAACACAGATATACCTATACTTGACTTCGTAAGGTTAGAATAAGGCCGTGGCTACCAACATGGGTCCAGCTCTAAAGATAGTTTGGCTAGAGCCGACAAAATCAGCCCGTGTATAAAATAACTACTTGTGGCAGCTGACATGACCCAACCAGATTTAAACCATCTGACATGACTTCGTGATTTTAGGTTAGATTTGGTTCGTGGTGTTTGTATGTCGCACATTGTGGCGTCCTGCGTGTGTGAATGGTCACCAAATCAGTGTCGTGCAGGTGAAGGCTATTGCATTTGTCAACAGGCGATGGGAGGTGTGGAAAATGGCCGTAGAAGGGTATTGGTCGTGATGAAGAATTGTCAAACGTTTAATTTTAGTATAGAAAACTGGTGGATGTTTAGTGTTTTAACTGAATTGACTGTAAATCGGTTTAGTGTGTGGAACAACGTGTACAGTACGAACAGGAAGATGTCACACGTGTCACTAGTAATCACAATCTAACCTAACTCACACATTAGTACCACAACAAATCAGTGTTAATAAGGGCTCACCTGACGCCGACCGTCGGGCAGCACGACGTAGTAATGACCATACACCACGTTACCGTCACTGTGCTCCTGCCTGCCGTACTCAGCGCCGTGACTGGGGTCGTTCACCGTGTAGGAGAACCTGTAGGGCGTCCCTGAGTCCTGAGGTGTAATAAATTATATCATGGTGTCATTATATCTCTCTCATTACAATTCATATATCATGGCTGATTTGTTGTTATTGTATATATATATCATTTTCCAGTGGTATTGCTTTTGTTATTCAGATAGGCTGTGGTGTCAAGGAATCTATTGTATTCTGATAACTTTTGCCGATGACTATGTGGGTGTGTGAAGGCGAAGTGTCATCCAGCGATTAATAATGCCACTCTCTCTCTCTCTCTTCTATCTCGATCATTATTTCCTTTTCTCTGCATCTCTAGTGCAATGTTATGCAACGATCGCTTTCTCTGCCAGTCGCTACCTACTTACTTCTCACATTTTATTTTCTCTTTATTTTTTTTTTACTGTATTCTGTCTTTATTCTTCTTTCCTCCCCCCCTCTCTCTCTCTCTCTCAGTTATCTACCATCTTCTCAGTTCTCTCAATTATCTACCTTTCTCTTTAAGTACAGCAGTAGTTCCTTGACTCTTTTATTCCATTCCTTTTCCCATTTATCATTTCTCCTTCACATGGCTTTCACACACCCCATCCCGGCATCCCACCCTCTCCTTCCTCCAATGAACTAACGACTGTCGACATGCAGGGGGGGGGATGTCCAGAGAAGGGGTGCAGGGGGGGGGAGCGTAATGCCCGTCGTGACTTAAGTAAACAAACCCCACTTTCCCTACAGCAGTCACATGGGGGGCTGCAGGGAGTCTCAAAAGGAGGTTCTTGGTGTGGGATTTTCCTCGTTATCTGGAGATTTTAGATCACCAGTTGAGGATTATTTGTTCCAGCTTATTTTATTTAGTTATTTTACCTGGTGATAAATTAATCCTACCTGAAGGGGTTATATTAGGTTAGATTAGGTTAGGTTATATTTGGTTAGGTTCGATTAGGTTAGGTTAGGTTATATTTGGTTAGGTTAGATTAGGTTAGGTTATGTTAGGTTATATTTGGTTATGTTAGGTTATATATGGTTAGGTTAGGTTATACAATATTTGGTTAGGTTAGGTTAGTTGAGTATAATAATAAAGGTACAATACGGTATAGACTCACCTTGTGGTCAGTAGGATGTCGCCGCTGCTGTTGACGTGACCTTGAGGCGGCTGATGACCCCGACGTAGGATCCTTTGAACCAGTAGCCGATAGTGACTCATAGATCAGCCTAGGACTTCGGGTGGATCCTAGTAGGTCTCTGGGACTTGGGGTGGGTCCTGGTGTACTGGAGGGCTTTTTAGGACTTTGGGTGGGTCTTGGTGTACTGTAGGACTTTTTAGGACTTTGGTTGGGTCTTGGTGTACTGGAGGGCTTTTTAGGACTTTGGGTGGGTCTTGGTGTACTGTAGGACTTTTTAGGACTTTGGGTGGGTCTTGGTGTACTGTAGGACTTTTTAGGACTTTGGGTGGGTCTTGGTGTACTGTAGGACTTTTTAGGACTTTGGGTGGGTCTTGGTGTACTGTAGGACTTTTTAGGACTTTGGGTGGGTCTTGGTGTACTGTAGGACTGTTTAGGGCTTGTTGTGAGACCTAGTGTGCTGTGGGGTTGTTTAGGATTCAGTGTGGGACCTAAGGTGGATCCTAGTGTACTGTAGGATTGTTTAGGACTTAGTGTGGGTCCTAGGGTGGGTCCTGGTGTACTGTAGAACTGTTTAGGACTCAGTGTGGGTCCTAGGGTAGGTCTTGGTGTACTGTAGAACTGTTTAGGACTCAGTGTGGGTCCTAGGGTAGGTCTTGGTGTACTGTAGAACTGTTTAGGACTCAGTGTGGGGCCTAGGTAGGTCCTGGTGTACTGTAGAACTGTTTAGGACTCAGTGTGGGTCCTAGGGTAGGTCTTGGTGTACTGTAGAACTGTTTAGGACTCAGTGTGTGTCCTAGGGTAGGTCTTGGTGTACTGTAGAACTGTTTAGGACTCAGTGTGGGTCCTAGGGTAGGTCCTGGTGTACTGTAGAACTGTTTAGGACTCAGTGTGGGTCCTAGGGTAGGTCTTGGTGTACTGTAGAACTGTTTAGGACTCAGTGTGGGTCCTAGGGTAGGTCCTGGTGTACTGTAGGATTGTTTAGGACTTAGTATGGGTCCTGGTGTGCTGTAGGACTTTTTAGGACTTTGGGTGGGTCTTGGTGTACGATAGGACTTTTTAGGACTTTGAGTTGGTCTTAGTGGGTCAAAGGAATTTCTGGGACCTATGGTGGGTCCTGGTGTACTGTAGGACTTTATAGGACTTCGGGTGGGTCTTGGTGTACGATAGGACTTTCTTGGACTTACGGTGAGTCCTGGTGTACTGTAGAATTTTGTTGGTCCTACGATGAATCTTGGTGTACTGTAGGATTTTTTAGGACTTGGGGTGCGTCTTGGTGTACTGTAGGACTCTCTAGGAGCTGAAGTGAGTCCGGATGTGCCATAGGAATCCTCAGGACTTGAGATGGTCTTTGACGAGCTATAGGATTCTCTTGGAGTTAATGTAGGGCCTGATGGAGCATTTGAGTTTGAAGATCTTGGTAAATCGTAGGATCCTCTGGGAGTTTGTGCCTCGTAGGATTCTATAGCAGTTTGTGAGTCATAGGATTCCTTGAGAGCTTTTGCATCTAAGAATAGGTCGTAGGATTCTCTGGGACTTTGTGCATTATAGGATTCATTTTTTGAAGTTTGTGTGTTGTAGGATGCGTAGTAGGATTCTGTAGGAGTATGTGAGTCGTAGGATTCTCTAGGAGTTTGTGTGTCGTAGGATTCACTAGGAGTTTGTGTGTCGTAGGATTCTGTGAGAGGTGCGTCGTAGGATTCGATTGTACTTGGTGCGTCGTAGGATTCGTTGGGAGCTATTACGTCGTAGAATAGGTCGTAGGATCCTTTGGGAGTTTGTGTGTCGTAGGATTCCTTGGAAGTTTGTGTGTCGAAGGATTCTTTGGAAGTTGGAGTGTCGTAGGATTCTTTGGGAGTATAAAAATCGTAGGATTCTATAGAAGTTTGTGTGTCGTAGGATTCTGTGGAAGTTTGTGTGTCGTAGGATTCTGTGGAAGTTTGTGTGTCGTAGGATTCTTTGGGAGTATAAGAATCGTAGGATTCTCTGGACGTTGGAGTGTCGTAGGATTCCTTGGAAGTTGGTGTGTCGTAGGATTTTTTGAGATTATAAGAATCGTAGGAGTCTAATGAAGTTTGTGCATCGAAGGATTCTTTGGGAGTTGGTGTGTCGTAGAATTCCTTGGGAGTATAAGCATCGTAGGATTCTCTGGAAGTTGGAGTGTCGTAGGATTCCTTGGGAGTTGGTGTGTCGTAAGATTCTTTGGGATTATAAGAATCGTAGGATTCTATAGAAGTTTGTGTGTCGAAGGATTCTCTGGGAGTATGAGTATCGTAGGATTCATTGGAACTTTGTACATGGTTGGATTTTTTTAGAGTTTCTTCGCCGTGAGGATCTCTAGGACTCTGGGTAAGGCCTGAGAGACCATAGGACTTTGAAAATATTGGTGGGTCGTAGGATTTTATAGGCGATCGTAGAATTGGACTCGCTGTGGAAGTTGTTGAATTGTAGGACCCTGAGATCCCTACCAACTCGCTCCTTTCTGAAGATTTTAGTGGATTAGGCCTGTAGGACTCTATGGAACTTGGAGTGAAGAAGTATCCTACAACACCTGGTGGCTGATAGGATTCTCTTGAACTTATATCATAGGATTCAGGAGGACTTGAAGTGATGCTAGATTTCGTAGGATTTTGTTGGTCATGGGATTGTGGGCTATGGGACTTAGTCGGAGTTGTTAGGTCAAAGGATCCTGTAGGACTTGTCGGACTTATTAGGTCGTAGAATCCTAAAGGACTTGCTGGTCTACGGAGTTTTGCAGGACTTGATAGGTACAGGTATCCTTCGGGACCTGTTCCGTTAGTGGACTCTGAAGGCTCCGATAGTTCATAGGATTTTACAAAGGTCGGTGGGTTAGAGGACTCTTTAGGACTCAGTGTTTCAGATGATCTTGTACCTTCCGTAGGACTTAGTAGGTCATAGGACTCCGTGGAAATTGACAGGATATAGGATTCTACAGGAGTTGCTGGGGTATGGGACGGCATAGGACTTACTGCTTCGTAGGATCCTATAGGACTTGATGGATTATAGGCCACCGCAGGACTTATTTGATTATAGGATCCCAGTGATGTGGTTTGGTTGCTAGTTGGTAGGATATAGGACTCCTTAAGACTCGCTGTGTCATAATATCCTGCAAGGCTTGACGGCTTAATAGATGCTGGGGAATATAAAAGATCATAGGACTCAACATTACTTGGAAGGATCTTGGATTCAGGAAGACTTGACAGGTCGTTAGATCCTGCAACATGGTGTGGGTCATTGGACTTTGTAGGACTTGGAAAGTTATAGGATCTTCTAGGAATTCTTGGGCTGTAGGTCTCCGTCGGACTTAGTGTGGTATAGGATTCCTCGGGAGCTGCTGGGTTGGAGGATACTCTAGGATTTAATAGGGTATGGGATTCTGTAGTAGTCTGTGGGTTATAAGACCTTGTAGGACTTGGTAGATTAAAGGCTCCTACTGGACGTGGCGGGTTACTAGATTCTGAGGGTCTTGGACTTGATTGGTCGTGGGATTCAATCCGAGTTAGTAGGTGCTTGGACGTGGTTGGACTTAACAAATCCTGGGATCCTACAGGACTCGCCAGCTTACTAGACTCTGCAGGACTTGACAGCTCACGGGATTCTACAAGAGCTGATGGATTCTTGGACGTGGTTGGACTTAACAGATCGTGGGATCCTACAGGACTCTTCAGTTTACTAGACTCTGTAGGACTTAACGGGTCAAAGGTTATTACATAGGATACTGGTGTTTCATAGAGCTCCTTTGCACTTACTGGACTAGAGGATCCTATGTGACTTGAGCTCCTAGATCCTGTGGGATTTGTCAGGCCAAAGGACTCTGAAAGAAATGGTAGGTTGTAGGACTCTCCATGGGTGGTAACCTGAAGGACTTCGGCAGGATATTCTGTTACGATGGAGTCCCTGAGGTCAGCTGTATCTAAGGACTCTCGGGAGTTGACCGAATCATTGGACTTTGTGGGACTTGGTGTGGCGTAGGAGTCTGTAGTATCTGTTGAACTGTAGGACGCTAAGAGAGTTGATGGACTTGCACTGGGAGATTCAGGGAAGTCTCTTGGACTTGTTGGATCATAGGATTCACTTGGACTTGAGGACTCATGGGATTCTGATTCTCTTGGACTTAACGATACATAGGGTTCGGTCTCACTTGGACTTGAATAATAGGATTCTTCTGGACTTAATGGCTCATAGGACTCGTTTGGACTTAATGGCTCATAGGACTCGGCTGGACTTAATGGCTCATAGGACTCGTTTGGACTTACTGGCTCATAGGACTCGGTTGGACTTTCTGGCTCATAGGACTCGTTTGGACTTATTGGCTCATAGGACTCGTTTGGACTTACTGGCTCATAGGATCCTCTTAGACTTATTTGTTCAAAGGATTCTTTTGGAGTTGCTGATTCATAGGATTGGCTTGGATTTGATACAAGATGGGAATTGCTTGGATTTGGCAGGTCAAAGAATTTTATTGGACTTGAATGTACTGTCCCAAACGATTCCTGTGGACTTGGCGCTTCAGTGGATTCCTTTGGACTTGATTCATCATAGAACCTTTCAGAACTAGGTAGGAGATAGGACTCTTCGGACTTTGGGGTAGTACTCGTTGAAAGTTCTGTTTGACCGTAGGATCTTATAGGACTTGAAGAAGGACCAGTTGACCCATAAGACTTAATAGGACTTGGTGTATTAACTGATATGCTCCTGGACTCTGAGTAACTTAATAATGTATCTGATGAATCGCGTGCTTCTCTGTAGGACTGTGTTGGACTGGAATATCTACCGGGTGGACTGTAATTCCTCGTTGGACTCAATTTTGTACTTTCCTGGATGTAGAAGCTTAAAAGACTTAGTATTTCACCGTACTCGGTACGATTTACATTAAGACTTGACGATTCATTGGAGCTCATTGTACTTGATTTTGGACTTGGTGTTTCATCGGACTTTGTAGGATTTGATGGTGCCGTTTTTAATTGAGGAGAATGTGAAGACCTTAGGGAAGGATTAAGTAATTCAAAGGACTGCCTCCGCCTCGCTGTTGGTCTTGTTGGATCATAGGACTCTGTTCGATTTGGCGTAAGATCCGTTTGAGCATAGGACTCATAACCACCCAGTGTTGGACTTATTAGAGCATAGGATTCTGTCGATGAAGTAAGATTCCTTGTGCCATAGGACTCATTTGGACTTGTTTGATTATAGGACCCTGTTGGACTTGTCAGATTATAGGACTCTGTTGGACTTTCTACATTATAGGACTTTCTTAGCCTTGTCTGACTATTGGACTCTGTTGGACTTGAGGTAAAATCCGCCGCAGTGCTATAGGACTCGCTCTCAGCTCCTATAATGCTCTGGCCGGAGACTGAAAGCAATATGGCGGCGCCCCAGAGCCCCACCAGCTGAGGAGGAAACAAGTAACAGTCTATATAATGTAAATTCTAACCACTCGTCATGGTTATTAGATAGATAGAAGTACACCCCCTGTATAGATAGATAGAGACATAGGCCTATAGAGATAGACACAGGCCTATAGAGATAGATAGATAGGTAAGTAGGTAGGTAGATATTTATTCAGTGAACTCGTTTTGCATGTATATTAAGACAGTATAAGTATCCAAACAATATTTTTTATTTTCTTAATTTTTTTTTACCAATTGGTTGTGTTTAAGTGAATAATTATGTCAATTATCTTGTAAAAAAAAAGTGAATGGGAAATATAATCTGAGTTACTGCTGCTTGATGTTATAGAGTGTGCACCAGGAAGCATTTGAGGTAGGTTAACCCTTTGAGGACGATGATGATTTTAACCCTTTGAGGACGATGATTTTAACCCTTTGAGGACGATGATTTTTAACCCTTTGAGGACGATGATGATTTTAACCCTTTGAGGACGATGATTTTAATCCTTTGAGGACGATGATTTTAACCCTTTGAGGATGATGATTTTAACCCTTTAAGGATGATGGTTTTAACCCTTTGAGGACGATGATTTTAACCCTTTGAGGACGATGATTTTTACCCTTTGAGGACGATGATTTTTACCCTTTGAGGACGATGATGATTTTAACCCTTTGAGGACGATGATTTTTACCCTTTGAGGACGATGATGATTTTAACCCTTTGAGGACGATGATTTTTACCCTTTGAGGACGATGATGATTTTAACCCTTTGAGGACGATGATTTTAACCCTTTGAGGACGACGATGATTTTAACCCTTTGAGGACGATGATTTTAACTCTTTGAGGATGATGATTTAGTTTGATCGGACCAAGATGGCGGCTGGCGGTGTACATATTGCGTTCACAAAAATGTCAACAAAATGTACACGACCAACATTTTTGTCTTATTTTCTGTATGTAAGGAATAAATGTTGCCGCCTCATTGGTGAAAGTAAGTGAAACCGTTATCTTAACTTTTATTGGTTGAAAAACAGCTTACATAAAACGTTGACTCTCCTTGAAAATAAATTAAATCCTTCACTCTCATTAGTTAATACAAATACAGCCGGTAACTGTCATTGGCTGAATTTAAACAGTAGCTAACTCCGATTGGCTAAAGTCAATACAACCATTAACTCTGATTGGCTTGCGTAAATAATGATCTCATACAGTGACATCATGTTAAGTTGCACCTTCATTGGTTAGTTAAGGAGAGAGATTGTAGCCATGGTCAGTAGCCGCAGTGAATGGAGGATGCAGTGAGTTGTTGGATTTCTAATTTAATTTAACATAAATCACCGTAGTTGTGTATGATATGACTCAGCACCAATATATTATGGATAAACAACAACATATTTATACTGTAATGTATATACTGTAGATAAAAAAATTCAGTACAGTATGTCAGTGTGTATTTGCATGTTATACACGGGACAAACTTTTATATGTATTTATGTATGTATGTATAAAACACTTGCCTCCATATACTAGTTTGAGGAGGTCGGTCTTACAACAGCTTTACACCGTTCATCTACTTTCCCGGACTTTTCTGCACCCTCTTTGGCGCTAAACATCCAACAAAGTCCTTCCCCCCTCTCGGTAAAAACTCGCTCGCCTGTTTACCTTGGTTATCGTCGTCTGAACACTCACTCGCTTGCCCCTACATGTCACGACGCACAGTTTAAGTTGCTCCTCACTCAGACAGTCATGGGCACCCACTACTTAATCTTTTACTGTTGTACTCTGTTTTAATAGGTATGTAGTGTGTGTGTGTGTGTGTGTGTGTGTGTGTGTGTGTGTGTGTGTGTGTGTGTGTGTGTGTGTATGTAATGTGTGTGTGTGTGTGTCTTTAGTATTGAGGAGTTTAGAGTTTCTGTGAGCACTATAGAGTCCGATTTAATGAAAGGTACTCAGTTGGGGGGCATTTGACTTAGTAATTTCCTTTGAGATGCTTTTAAACTCGAATAAATCTCCTTTCACCTGCGCTATGTTTGTCTTTAGGGAACTTTCGCCATTATCTCAGCCTCCTATAGCTAAAGGGATTTATTTTTTTAATTTCGCCGTTCTTGCACCTTGGCTAGACATGTCCTCTAATAAACCTTGGGTGATAGAATGAACGTATAAAGGACTCTTGTGTACCTGGACCCATGCACCTCTACCACTGTCTCGTGTACTGTACCATAACATTGCTCTTACACCTCTTGCTGAAGTTCCTCACTGTATCATTCTTATGTACTTGGAGGCCTGAGGCTAGTTTTGAGGGCCATTTTCTATAGGTTTTTCCTAACAAAATATTTACAGTACATTTACACAATTTACACGTACGGTGCTAAGGTTACTTGAGAAACAAACCTAACCTAACCTAACCTGAACAGAGTGTATTTTACCATTTGCTAAAACAAAACAGTACTTTACCACATTTGTGCACACTGTTATTGGGTGGCCACGTGAAGCCTCCCTGATACACTCTCTTGTGTTGTACGTTTTCACCATTAGTCAACAACCTCACCTCCCACTGTATTTCCAGCCAAGACTATAGGTCATGTATACACGGCACAGATAGTCAAAAGTAAAAGGTCATATTATTTTATTCGAGAACCTTAAATGATTACTATGCTATATTTCAAGACGTGCAGTAAACAGGAAACCCAAAATCAATTGAAATAAAGTCTGGTTTTTAGTTCCTTGTTTACTGCACGTTATAAAATATAGTTTAGTAATCATTTAAGGTGCTCGAATAAAATAAATGACCTTTGATATAAAAAAAAAGACCCTATATTTAACTTACCTCCCAGAATCTCATATTCAGTATATAGACAGCAATGTAAGAGTTATGTCCACGTGCACACACAACACCTGTAGTCACCACCGTCAGCTTCACACTGCCCACACTCCCGCGCTAACCTCCCCCTTTATACTCTTTCTCCACCGGCGATTTTCCCGGCTGGTGACGTGAAGCAGAATATGAAGGGAATGAAACTACAGATTCACTTTGTTGAAATAATTTTTGTAACGTGTGTCTCTTAATGTTTATTTATTATATACATAAAGGTGAGTAATACGGCGGGGCTGTCAATTTTTTTATTCTTCAGTAGCGTCTTAAGAATTTTTCCCCGTGTTAGAAGGCCTCATTCCTCGTGTGTGTGTGTGTCCCGTCAGTAAGCATCAGCAGAGCCAGAAACAGTACTGTATTTAAACCTATACAATATTATGGTAGCTTTCGTATTACTGGTGAAGACGTCAAGGTAAAATAACATCAGGTTTTTATTTAACTAAATCTTCTCTTATTTTACGATGGAAAATTGTGATTTAACAGCTGAAGGAAAACGTTGATATAATTCTGTTTTTGTTTTTTGAAAGCTAATTGTTTACCAGGCAGTGAAATAATATATCATTGTTTATATGAGGTCCTGAAAGTAATGTTTTTCTTATTTCCTGAACTATATATACAAATGTTTAAATGTTATTCGTTTAATGTTACTACACCATACCATACACCCATCAGACCAAATGACAATGGCGACTCAGAAACAAAGCAAAAAAAAGCTCTTACAAATGACTTAAAGTTGTATATTTTGGAGGTAAAGTTAAACACATGGATGTTTTAATTAGTGTTGTAATTTTGATCTTTGATGAAAACAAAAAAAGAGATAATTGCGACATCTGGAGGACGATGGTTCTACTGCCCTGATGTATTTATCTTAATGGTAAAAAACAAAACCTAGAATAAGTAATGAGGATTTTATTTTTTATTGTAGCTTAATTGATTAGGAAGTCAGATGCTTTCTCCACTCTAGCAAAGGTGAAACATAATGATAAACGTAAGAATCCTTGAGAACCCGCTCCTATAGATGTTCTCTTAACCCCAGGAGAGAACCATAACCCTTGAGAACCCGCTCCTATAGATGTTCTCGTAACCCCAGGAGAGAACCATAACCCTTGAGAACCCGCTCCTATAGATGTTCTCTTACCCCCAGGAGAGAACCATAACCCTTGAGAACCCGCTCCTATAGATGTTCTCTTAACCCCAGGAGAGAACCATAACCCTTGAGAACCCGCTCCTATAGATGTTCTCTTAACCCCAGGAGAGAACCATAACCCTTGAGAACCCGCTCCTATAGATGTTCTCTTACCCCCAGGAGAGAACCATAACCCTTGAGAACCCGCTCCTATAGATGTTCCCTTAACCCCAGGAGAGAACCATAACCCTTGAGAACCCGCTCCTATAGATGTTCTCTTAACCCCAGGAGAGAACCATAACCCTTGAGAACCCGCTCCTAGATCACGTCTCTTACCCTGAGGAGAGAACCAATGAGTCCCTGAGAACCCCGGGTGGTAGTGTTATGGTTACGTCACGTGTTGTGTTGGAGGAGTAGCAGCTGAAGAAGATGTGACACTCGAGGGGGGGACGTGAGCGAAGGGAAATGAATAAAGAGTGACTTGTGTTACTTCAGGATGGCGGCTTTCTCCTCCTCTCCTCCTCCTCCTCCTTCATGAATCACCTCAGGAGCATCACTCACCGACTCGGTATAGCTACTTACGTGACCATTCCATTGTCTCATGGGTGTTAGAGGTATATACAGCACTCTAGGTGGATGGGCACGTTTCCCCTGATGAGTTCGTTACCCACAAGTGCTCTAGGGCCCAGGCTTCATTTATCTGTGTGTATTAACCCAGTAATTGTTAGATAATCTTTTTTTTTCGATTGTTTCATCATGTTGTTAGTGGCTGTTTTACGGTGTTTTTTTTTCTTTTTTCTTTTTGTTTATCCTTTCGTTTTTTATTTATTTATTTATTTATTTATTTTTTAGTGGTGGCGCGCGTCATATTTTATTCCCGGTACGAAAATATTAAAAACAAACCCAGCGTTAGAGAAATGTTTTACACATGACGTGATAATAAAATATTGTCAACAAATAACTTATGATGTAATTTCGGTCTTTAAATAATGTAAAACAG